GCTGGTCGCTTTGGTTTGGGCCGAGGGAGCGGGGAGGTGAAACCCAGCTGTGTGCTACGCGGGGCTTCTTCCTGCGCTCTGCTTCCCCGTGTGCCGCGAGTCAAATTAATCGACCCAAAGGAAAATCAACACGTGGGTTACGAGGGTTCTGGGTTTGCTCAGGGCGAGTGTTAACAGCGTTGGTTTTCCACAGAAGTGTCTTGCAGCGTTTAGCGTTCAAATGTTAACTTTTCTGCGTTGCCCAGAAAAATGTAAGAGAGATTTATTCCCTGGCTGCTGTCAGACATCACAGAAAATCAGCACAAAAGGAGCTGGGCTCGTTGGAGAAACACACTGTTTTTAGCAACATCTCTTCTGAATCCTCCTAATCTTGTGCAGCATCCTTTTGTCTTATTCCATCAAAGTGTGACAAAGCCTTTTCATGGGGGTTGTTTTACAGATGCTCGTAGTTCAGCAACACGTTTTTTCCTCATTCACACGGAGCGCTGTCATTGCTGCTAATTGTATATGTTACAGGAACACCTCCGGGCCCTGCTGGGATGAATGATGAGCATATCTGTAATCCGAGGATTTGAAGGCAGTGGATGGGAGGGGACGGGGAGGCAGGCCAAGCTGGGGATGCCGCTGGGTCGGGGATGGGCTGGCTGTAGCCCTCATTTTCCTCTCTGCCAGGGCAGCGTGGCCCATCTCTGCCTCTTCTGGGGAGGGTCCTGGCAAGTGATGGTCCTGGGAGATGCTGTGGTGTGAGGGCTGCGTACGTGTGTTCTGGGCTTCAAGGTGAAGAAGGTAAATGTATTTAGCAAAGCTCTCCTTCAAAGCTGTAGGGGGTTTTGCGTGGCTCATGCACATGGTATGCCCTGGTTTGAGACCCATGGGAGCTGCTGCCTTCTCTGACTCTGCCCCAACGTCTTACCAGTCTCATGGTTTAAAGATGAAGGCACAAAAGCTTCGTGCTGTACCGTTTTGGCTGGCTCTGAGTTGGTCAGGCAGCCCCTGGGGTCTCGATGGCAGCTGGGCATCCAGGTTTTTCTGGCAGCTGGGAAAACATTCAAAATGAATTTTTCCCTTCCCTCCTCCTTGGAAAAAAAAAAAAAAAAAAAAAAAAAAAAAAAGAAGAAAATAAACGATTAAAGCTTGCTAAGGGTTTTCTGTTACACCATTAAACCATGCACAGCATGCCTCCAAACAGCCCTTAAGGCTATGGTCCTCCATCTCCCCATCCATCTCATGTCTGTCATGTCTCTGCTCAGGAGTGGAGACCCATTGCAGATGCAACTGCACATGGCAATCTGTCTTAGATCACGGATATTTTAATACCCTGTTTTTCCCTCGTGGTGAGACCTCGAGTTCCCGTGCTGAGTGGTGCGAGGTCAGGGCACTGCCCAAGTTCCCAGGCAGAGCCTGTCCCGTCGCTGGGTCCTCACCCGGCCGTCAGACCTGGTAGAAAATGATCTGGATGCTCTGCGGCTTCAGGCATGAGACAGGGTTTTGGAGGTGTTACCTGTTTTTTGTGCTCTGCCCCTAGGACACTTCCAAGTGGGGTCAAAACTCTCTGCAATCCGTCTGTTTAACAGTACCCAGAGTAATGCACGGGGCGGGGCGGGGGGGTGTCTGTTGTATCCCCGTAGCTTCAGTAGCTGTGAAGCTGCAGTCCCGTGTAAAATCCCACCACAGGGAACATTTTGTGGCCACTAGTGGCACAAATCACTTTTGTGGGTGGTGGGATTTCCAGCATCCTGTGGCTGTTACCCTTGGGTGGAGTGGAAGGGGGCTGGGGGGGGGTGGGAGTGAACTCAGACCGGCTTTTGCCAATGTATTTTGGGTGTGGGCTGTTCCCCTTGCCCAATATTTTGCTTTTATTTGCATCCCCCTCCTCAGTGCCTGCTGGCCCCGGGCTGTCGCCGGCCATGTGTCGCGACAGTGGCTCCTGAGGCGTGATGTGAAGCCCAAGGTCTGAGGGTGACTGGATGCAGGAGCTCTTGCCGTGGGGGGGGGGGTGGTCCCACACCTGGCGTGTCGCCCCTCACCCCCGGAGGGTCGGATCACTCGGTGTTGGATCCCAGCCTTGCACGTGTTCTGCCCCTATCCCCCCCGGCTGCCTAATCGCTGCCTGCTCCTGCTGCCAGGATCTCTCGTGCTGGTGATGGTTTTAATCATTAGGAAACATATATAAAGTTGATGGATGGTGTGATGGTGATATACGCTACCTACGCGGTCTTTAAAACAAGTATATTTGTAAAAATCTATTAGAAACCGAGGCTGGCAGGAGGCTTTTGTTACTGGAAGTCTGGTTTTGTCCCAACACATCCTTCCATCAATTCTTTTGTGAGAGCTAAAAATTGGCTGGCTTCAGTGGAGTTAATAATCATCTGAAATGGAGTTGAGCAATTGATGTTGCTGCATCAAAATGTTTCCCTCTTCCCTTCCCCCTCTTTCCCCCCCACTTCCCCCAAAAAAGAAATTCCTGGCTGATACTCAAAATCCAGTTCAGTTCTCACTGTGCAAGTATTAAACTGTGGGTCTTTTCTTTCAAGTTTCTGGGTTTTTATGGGCACAATCGGTCTGTTAACAGGACTCTTTTTTTTTTCTTTTTTTTTTTTTTTTTTGTGGTTTCAATGCATTTATATCATTGACCTTTGCTTTAAAAAGTGTCTGACAGTCTTTACTGGACTGGAGCTATGAAAAGGAGTGTTGTAAGGGGGCTTTATTCTATGGAAGCAATGACCACAGGCAAAGCTTTATATTTGCTGAGTGATTTAATTCTTGCACATGCAGAACTTGGCTCTGTGCCATATGTAACATGTTGAGAAAAGGTCTGCTTGAGAGGCATTAAAACCAAACTTTCCAAAACTGTCTTTTTTTTTTCTCTTTTTTTTAAAAATAGCTTGCTTTCCTGTTATTTTTAAGCCAACAAGTAAAATCAAGGGACACTGCCCCAAAATGCTGCATTGAGCTCTAGCAGAGTCACTGGGGAAATAAACCTTCTTTCAAGAAATGAAGTGGGAGTCTGGATGAAGGGTGCCAGCCGGGAGAAAGAGAATGGTGTCCTTAAGATAAAGACTTGATAATGGGACAGGAGAGAGTAAATCAGGGCACCCTGGACTCCAGGAAGAAGCCTGGGAGGATGAAGATTGCACAGCTCTAGTGCTTGGTCCTGTAAAGCCCTACTCACAGGGCATATCCCCAGAAGATGTGTTTTCAGGCTAGATAGGAGATCATCCTCCCTAAATGAGTTGCTTGGCTCTGCCTGTCCCCTGCCCTCTTACAGGAGTATCTGTCTGGTAGTGGTCAGAAGCAAATAAAAACAAACTGCTTTTTGTTTGCTCTTATTTTAAACCCTGTGACAACATTTGGATTAATGTTAGGTCTTGTGAAAAGCTCTTTAAAAGTCAAACATACTGAGCTGCTTAACAGCATCCCTTTGAATTCTGCATCTGCCTGCTGCAATTCCAGATAATGGTCCGGAGAGCAAGGAAACATTGTATTTCTTTTTCATTCTTGTAATCAGTCCGTTAAATATGCCTGAAGTTTCGTGTTCTGGAGCTATTTAATTGTGTAGTCACTTGGGCTGAGTTCTGTGTTTTGGTGTGCCTTTGAGTATTTTGTCTTCCTTTAGCAAGCAAATGAACAACAGAAATACTAAATTATGTTAATTTTTAACAGAAGCAATGTCTTCCCAAAAACATTCCAATCTCCTGCATTTTAAGTAAAAACAACACATCAACAGTGCATCAAGCCATTTGGAGCCTCAGCCTCTATTAGTTTTAATCAGCAGATTTTTCTGGGGGCTTTTAGAAGCAAATTGTGCATTGCTCACTCTTCCCCAGGAGGAGTGAGGGAGAACAGTAGATTGTCTTTGTGCAGGCACCCCAAACCCTGAAATACTGAATTAAAAAAGTGTATGAATAGGGTGGAGGTGATACAGGGGGAGAGCCAAGAGGGAGTTGCATCCAGCGGTGTGCGAGGGCTGCTCTGTGGATGGTACCCGCCTTGGCCGCTGCAAATAAATCCATCTGCTGGAGGGGACCAAATCGGGTTTATTTGGGTTCCCTGTGCAGCACGGGGGGGTTGAGGTTTCCTGCAGGTGGCCCCCGGGGCTGTGGGAGTTGAGGAGGCGCATTTCTGTGGTTCTCCTCCTCGGCTGGGGCGGTAGCGGTGCCCACGTGCGGAGGTGGGATGAGCTGGGGCTGGCAGTCGCCGTGCTGGGGGGTCAGTGAGAAAGAGCATTTCATCCATTCCTGTGCTTCCTCTGAGAGTTGAGCCTAAATGCTGCCAGTATGTAAAGTAACTTAGGAAAGCGATAGGTTTGAAGCCTCTACATGGAGAGACTGGCATGGGAAGCCGAAGGAATGAGGGGAAACTTTGCTTTTTCTAGTCTGCTGGTATTTGCTGATGCCAACTAACACAAATACCCTCTGTTTTACCTGCGCAGCGCTCCACCCTCCAACCAGTCTGGGTGCCCAAGTGAACAGGCTCCTGTCTGGGTTAGCTGTCCCACTGGGAGCCAGGAGGGCAGGGGGTGAGCAGGAAAATCCGGGAGGTGCTGCTCGGCGCCGAGGCGGAGGGGAGGTGTGATTATCCACGTGGGTGCTCTTTTATCGTTCGGGCGTAGCGACTGCGGGTGTCCCAGTGTCCTGCAGGCCCTGGGGAGGGGTGCAGGTGCTTGATGAAGCTGGGACTGGAGAGGGGCAGTCGGAGCATCTGCTGGGGGTTGAGGGATGGGGATGGCTTTGGGCCAAGGCTTTCCAGAACCAGTGGTGATTTCTGGTGCCCGGCTGGAAATTGCTGTCGGGGCAACTGGTTTTGCAGCGACTCAGCAGTTCTTGAACTCCCCATCACTTTGGAAATTGTTGCCCGTAGGTTTCATGTCCCGCTTCCAGCAGGGATTTCTGCGCAGCGTTCCCCGCTCTGGAAATGGAGCCCAAACCACTGACCACAGGTTTGTACTTTGGATGCTTTCCATCACATTCAGATCTCACTGTTTGTTTTTCTCCGTGCAGCTCTGGGAAATGCCAGTGTAAAGTTGGTGTCACGGGCCTGAAGTGTGACTGGTGCAGTGATGGATACTACAGGTTTAATGAAACCACCTGCGAGCTGTGCCAGTGCAACAACCACTCCAAAACCTGTGACAGCTTAACAGGTAACTTTCCTCTTGTGACCACAGTGGGTGCAGACTTCACCTGCCTCCTCTGTCTCTGGTTTTTGCCATTTTCATTCAGCAGGCCTCCGCTCTCATCCTCTTCATCTGCATCTTCATGCCCTGGGTACCCAGAATTTTTACCTTAAAACCGAAATTAAAATGCGGGGCAAGGTTAGAGCTAGTCCTCTTTTCAAGGAAGTCAATAAGGGCTGCATTATTTACCCCAGGCTGCAGTGCAGAGCCTTTATTCTGCAGACTCTGTTGGAAATCAGGGCACTATTGTTCTCTGCACTTACCAAAACACACAACACGGGCTTTTAAGGAGCTTTTGTTTAACTGCTGTTTACCTGGAAACATACAGTGTACTGGCACTGACGTAAAGTGACTGTTACTGCCACAGATAACATGATTAGTGCTCGAAGAAACTGGTAGCACTTAATTAATATTGCCCACTTTTTATGGATTTCCCTTGTTCATTTTCCTTGATCCTTTGGCTGTCTCTCACTCGTACAGATGTTGATGGAGTGTGAATGTGGAGGCACCTGTGCTTGAATGGCTTATGGGAGGGCAGAGGGAACGTAATTGCTTTCCCATCTCCACCGAAAGGAGAGATCCCAGAGGAGCAATGTTATGTGACTGCCTGCGCAATCCCCACTTTAGCAACAAAACTCACACTTCAGAATCGAAATTCTCATCAAAACTTCCAGGCTGAAATGCAGTTCTGTAATATTTATCCAGGAGCTTAGAAAGCAGTAATAATTTAAAAAGCGTTGCAGGGGCTTTGTATAGCTGGCAGTGAGGCAGAGCTCACCAAATAAGGTGGTTCTGGGCAATTTCTGCACCGGTGTCTGTTCCCTCGGGGCCTGTGTGTTTGCAGCAGCTGAGCGGGCAGCCACAGTGCTGATGGTGCCCAGCCAGGGCCCGGATCCTGCTCGGTGTCAGGGGCACCAGATCTGCACTTGGGGATGGGTTACTGCAGCCCTTCCTATACTGAAGTTCATGTGCTTGTGTCCTACCAAGATTGAAAGATATAAGAATGTGCCTAAAGCTGTGCACACACCAGCTGTGTTACTGATTTGGAGCTGGGTGTGTGGGTTTTGTGAAGGAGTAAGATAATCTGCTCTTCCTTTTTCTCCCTCAATGTTTCCCCCTCTCTTTGACATTGAAAAAAAACCCAGCACAGACCTTGCCTCTGGGATGGGGCTGTTCAGGCAGCCCTTCTGCTGGGGTTGTCCAGTGCTGACCTCAGCATTGCAAAGAAAAACCCTCTTTTTGGTTAATGACCTATTGTTGATTTGACAAAAATCCCTTTTTAAAAATTTTCCTCCATCTGCTTTATTTGCTGCTGGGGGGTGGGGAAACCCAACAAAACCAGCCCAGAGAACAGTCGATTAAAAATTAGATCCAACATCTAATAAGTAACGTGGTGCACTCAGCCTGCTCTAGAGACTGCACTTTGTGTGACCTCCTCAGCTTTACATCAACTGTGTGTAGTCTTTGTCAAATTTTCAAGGTCTCTTTTGCATTAATGCTGTACTTGGGGCTCCCTCTGCCGGCTCTGCAACCGTCTCCACACAGCCTTGCTCGGCCTTGCTCAGCCCAGGAGGAATATTTAAAATTATTGGGCTGGAAATTGGGCAGCCAGATCTCCCCAGGTGACGGTGCTTCCTTCGACACGACCCTTGTGCCTCATGTTGTGTCGTGCGTTGTTTGCTAGCTTCTTCCCAGGTGGGGTACTGTGAGGTCTGATCCTTCCTGAGGGCATTATCAGGATGGGAAGTGCTATTAATTATTAAGGCTTTCCACAGTGATACCTGATCACAAGCCCATGCGTGCTTTGCATGGCTGAGCAACTTGCTGACTCATTGGAAACGCAGGCATTTTGCAGGGTTGGTGTAGATAAATGTGAGTAATTTCCACTGATGGGAAAGACATTGGTCCTGAAATGACCAGGACTGTACAGAAAATGCAGGTGTGATTCCAGATTCATCCCACCATTAACGCCTGCAGAGCACAGTTCAAGGCACCCCTGCTGCTGATCGGGCAAATTAACCTTCCCCCAGCCAGCCTGTCCCCGGCATCCCGCTGAAGCAGCTGATAAAGGTTTGCAACTGGAGAAACCGAGCCCAGCAGATCATTTTCCCTTCTAACCCTGCCATCTCTCCCACAAAAACCACTGGCTCGTGGCTGACAAGCTGCTGGGTGAAGAGCAAACAGTGCGTTGGAGCTGACGCCGAGCAAGTGTCCTTTAGTCACGGGGGTGCTGCCAGCTCAGCCCCGCTCAGCTCAGCTCAGCTCAGCCCCACTCAGCTCAGCCCGGCCCAGCTCAGCCCGGCCCAGCCCGGCCCGGCCGCGTGTGACTCAGCCGCTTCCCGTCGGGATTTGCTTCCTGCCCCCGGGACCGGGACCGGCTGCCAGGATGTGCCGGGCTGGCGCGGGGACGCTCGCCTGCAGAGTCATCGCTGTGGAAAGGCAAGAGTAGGAGCCGTGCAGCGTGTTGGGCTCGCAAGGGAGCTGTTCCAATATTAATAAGAAAATCTGCTGTGGTTTTTTTTAACAGTCAGCATTAACCTAATTCAGGGCTTTTTCTGTGGTTAATGTTGATATGAGACTTTTCCACATCCCGCAGCACTGCTGGATTAGCTCAGTGAATCTCCTGTCTGTGCTTATGTATGCAGTTAATAAACTGCTCTGTGCCACGCTGGTTTGTTAGAAGGTGGCTGTTGCCTTCTCAGAGTCTTGTGTGTGGGATTTAATCATATAAGCTTCCCTTGGGTCACTGCCACCTCAATGAGGACCCTGCTGAATTACAGGGTATTCCTGTTGATGGATGGGCTTTTGATAGAGGCTGTGTTTTTATAGCTAGGGAGATTTTTCTTTCTCTGGTCACAATAGTATCGAAATGCAATTTAGAGGGCCATTAGGACACAGCCTTTGCTAAGACACAGCACGTCGATTTTCTGATTCATGGGTTCCCCCAGGAATGGAGGGTGGTTCACGTGAACCCCCAGTTCCCCTCTGTTTCTCCAGGAAGGTCGGGAATTGTTGCTGCCTTGCTCCTGTGACAGGGATGGCGGAGCTGGAGCCACAGGGGTGGGATGGAGCCATCTGCCCTCGGAGCAGGACAGTGGCACTTCCTTACCCCTGACCACCAGCTCTGTGTGTAGGAAGAGGCTGCACACAAGGAAGGGCAAAGGTATAAACTGGAGGGACCCCCTGAGAGTGGGGGATTTGAAGCATCAAGGTCCTGGCTCACTGGCACAGATGCAAACTGAAACTCCTTTCCTGGAGGATTGATAGCCTGTGTTTACCTGCACTGACCTTTTAAAGTGATGAGCTGTGAGCCTCTCTGCTGGGGCTGCCTAATTTTTCACATTATGTGTGTGTGTGTGTGTGGAGGTGGGGGGACGACCATCAGAAGGTCATAAGAGGCCGGGATCGTGTTTTGGCCGGGGGGTATCCAAAATCACCCGTGAGCCCTGATAATTGAGAGTGCTTCATGCAGATTCTTGCTCCAAATGTTCTGCTCCAGTTCCTGCTGCTGAACGGCTGCTTGTGCTCCTGTCCCTTCCCCAGGCTCCTGCCTGCACTGCCAGGAAAACACCGAGGGAAACCACTGTGAGCTCTGCAAGGAGGGCTTCTACAGAAGCACCCATCCTGCCCACGCCTGCCAACGCTGCCCGTGCTCCACCGTGGCATCGACCGGCACCTGCCGAATACGTAAGGCTTCTGTTTTGCTCTAATTCCTCAGATAATGAATGTAGCTCTTCTCAATTGAATTGCCTCTCAGAGCGCATCAGCCTAGCGAGGCGTTTTATAGCCCGTGAATCTCCTGTTTGTGGGACCGGGGGCACCTTGCTGGAAGTGGCGCCTGCCACGACACCTCCCTGGTGCTTGTGTTGCCTCTTGTGAGAGCAGCTGCGCAGCGGAGGGCATCAGAAGTGCTTCACTACAGGCTGCAGCCTGCTCTGAAGAACCTGCAGAGTTCTGCAGAGAGAAACCGCTGATCTTGTGGCAGCCAGGAGAGGTGCAGGAGATGTCTGGCAGTGCCGTGTGGCCCCCCCATACCTCTGTGAGCCCTCTTCTGAACATTTCCATGGTGTTCAAGCAGAGATTCCCCAATCTTCCTGCTCTGTTTTCATCAATCAAGCCACCTCTGGCTTTGTACAGGTGAAAAAGTTCCTGCAGATTGCTAGCATCCCAAATATAGTTCCAGCTGTTTTCTGAAATTGGCTGTTTGAGGTGGAAATGTTCAGGAGTAATAATCTGTTTGCTTAGCAACATGCTGAGTGTGCTCTATGATGCTGGTACAAAGCATCAGAAACCCCCAGAGCTTTTTTTTCCCACTAGGAACAGAGAAACTGCTGCAGTTCAAAAGCATCAGCAAATTTGAAGCATTTTCAGCTTCAAATTTTGAGATTGCTTAATATTCAGTGGCTGCTGATTTTTCTCATAGTGACTTGTGATCAGGTCCCACAGAACAAATCCCACAGCGGGTGTTTCTCTGTAGGGGACTATGGCACATACCTGGTTTGCTTTCTGTATTCTCTAGAGCCTGGTGAAACTGCCCCAAGGTGTGACAAATGCAAAACGGGGTACACTGGCCTGAACTGCAACCGGTGTGAGAACGGCTACTACAACTCCGACAGCATCTGCGTAAGGTGTAAATGCAACGGGAATGTGGACCCAGCGCGGTCACCCAGCGTGTGCAAGCCGGAGAGCGGGGAGTGCATCGGCTGCCTGTACCACACTGCTGGGTTCCATTGTGAGGAGTGTGAGGACGGCTACATCCGAGACCCCGAGGGGACCAACTGCACCAAGAAAGGTAAAACCTGCTCCTCAATCAGTGTCGAAGCTTGCTGCGTGGCTCAGGCGGGCAGAGGCTGCCTGAAGGCTGGGGAGGGAATACTGTTAATTGTTCAGCTTGATTTAAATCCATCTGGCCTGTGGTACAGGCAGGAAAAGCAGACTTTTATAACACGTTTGTGCCTACTGGTCTTGAAATACGTGGTTTGGAGATAGCTCTGTAACCACCCAGATTCCCAGAGTGTGGCAGGCACCTCTAGTGAACAAGCTGGGAAATTGCAGTATATTTAAATGTAGGTTTTCACATTTCCATTGCCTGATATACTTGATCTCTTAGCGCCCAGTGAATTGTCCTTATTGACTAGTCCATTCGATAGCGCTGTCTAGTTCCTTAGAAAGGGTGTTTATAATAAATTTTGTCACTGCTCATATTTTGCAAACAGTAACTATTTGGACCAAATTTAGATTTTTTTTTTTTTTTTTTTCTTTTCTGAATGGGGAAGCCAAAGTTCAGAGAGGTGAGATCCAAACTTGCATAGCGAGTCAACACCAGGATTTACTGGTACCCTCTGTGGGGATCTCTCATCAGTCTTCAGTCCACATCCAAGACACTGTGTGTAGCATCTCAGATGCAAACTAGCTCTGGTACTTAGAGAAGCTACTGTACGGCAGGAGGACTATTAGTAAAATGAGAGAAAATGGTGCTTAAGTTGTTCCTTCAGTCGGGAGATTGGTCCACAAGGTGGATCTCCAGCTCCATGCATGGAAACATCACTGGCGTTATGTATTAGATAAGAGAACTGAGAGTTCAGGAAAGTATCTGGGCTCAAATTCGTCCTTGTCGCCAACAGAGATTTAATTCAGATCTTCCATTAGGAGCTAATGTGGTTTTCACTCCCATGCTGCTCTCTGGAGGTGTAATCACAGAGTCCTTCTCTGCACAAGGAGATGATCAATACAGAAAAGTTGAATGCTCATTAGCTGTAACCATACTGTTACAGGTCTGGAAACGGCACTTTTGCATCAGGTCATCCATTATCTCTCCCTGCACAGCTCTGTCTTCGTGCAAAGAGCTACGTGACCTTGCTCCATTAAAATCCATATGTCTGGCTTTGCTTGTATACTTGCAGTTTTCACCATTCAGTTTTATTTTAATGGCACTGTGGTGGCCAATTCCTGATGTGGGGAAAGACTGTCCCCTTTCAAAGGGACTGAGACATGCTCTTCTAACTTTCCTGTTTTCTCGACACTTGTCTTTTCCCTTTCTCATTAATCAATTAAAAAGGTGTACAATTTCTTTCCAGTTTCTTACACACAGTTTGCCTAAAAATGACCATGCTGAGGTACTGTGTATTAACCAGTTTTAGGTTAAGATTTTCATAAACCACTAGTGCTTTTCAGTGGCTTCTAAAGTGAAATCATCATCCAGACTCGACTTAAGTGGTCGCAGTTGAAATAAGACAGGATGTTTTGTACAGCCTGGGCAAAGTTAAACGCAACCTTGAGTATCCACAGGTGCTGTTCAGAGTCTTAAACCTGACCAAGATTTCGATGCTTTCGAGGCTGATGGAGAGAATATTCAAAGCACAAGTGGGATGCCCAAGGCCAGTGTTTTCGACCCCTGGGTGGATGGTGTTCCGGCAGCAATGGTGAGGCACAGCAGCGAGGACTCAGTGATGCAGGGTGGCTCTGTGCCACCCAGCCAGGCATCGCAGCCCTCCCCGAGAGCTGGCGCGTGGGCTGCTGGCCCGGTGCTCCTGCCGGCGCTCTTCCATCGCTGGAGGTAGCAGAGGCTTTGCAGAGACCGCATTTCCATCAAGCAGCTGGGTATGACGCTCACGTCAAAGCTGCCAAAGCGGCCCATTGACTGAGCAGCTGCTGCTCTCAAGGAGTTGCTTTAGGACGTGGGGAGGGCTGGCACGGCCCTGCTGGGCGCAAACAGGCAGCGCTGTGTCACAGCCCAGAGGCGACAATCTGCCGTCGGAGCATGGCACCGTTTCACCACGACGTTACCATCGGTTCCAGGAAATGTTTTCACCCATGTCCCCCTTGCCAGCACTTAGCCGATGCTGACTCACAAATAAAGCCCCGAAGAGTCCTGTTTCCTTGCTGGTGAATCAGCCATTGTCTCTGTTCTGTTTTTTTCTAATTATAGCTACTGTCAGGGTTTGCCAAGAATTGAGTGTTGATGAAGGAATTTGGAAAGGATGACTGAATTCCTCATGCCCTTCTCCCAAATCTGTATCCAGGAACCTCTTGTTCCTGTCATGTTGCTTCCTACTGCAAAATTCTGCCTATTATTCCATAGAGAAATGCTTTCTGGCATTCAGTATCCCGAGTACTCTTATCAGCCTGAGGCAGGACCTGCAGGGAATAGAGGAGCTGCTGCGGGGAAGGACTCTGAGCAGGAACTTAAATTAGGTATGTGATGCCCCCTTCAGAGGAGCTTCTTTCTCCATTGCCTGAACTGGAAACGTGACAGCCCAAAGTTAACTCGTGGGAGTTCCCCTGAGGGCCTATGGCAGGAGATGTGCTGAATATTTCCAGCTCCTGTTGCCATTGGAGATGCAACTTAGTGCAAAATTAGTCCTTCGGAAGTGACTCTCCTCCTCAGTCATAATTAGCAGACGTTCTCTTCAGGAGAGCTGGATCAATACAGCACAGCACCATCAGCTATAATTGCTACAGCTGTAAGTGGGTTGAAAATGAAGTTGCATTTTTGATAACAGAAAGAGAAACGGAACAGAGTGGGAAAGAGTGTGCAGAGAGTCCTGTGGAGCAATAGGTGTAGCGAACATTTGGGTTCATTGAGGCTTCGGCTTCTGTAGGGTTCCTGCTGCCTGGACTTGAGAATCTAAAATAGATCAGGTTATTCCTGTGAAGAAAATGCTTTATTAGTTACATTTGGGAGCCTAATACTCAGGCTCTTATGGTGCTCTCTGATGCCTCTAGCTCAACTGGTTTGAAGAAGGAGTAATGAATTTGCACCCTGGTTATGAGATCTCCAGTGTTAACTTGTTGCTGACTCCCAGAACTGAGAGGGGATTTATCCCACACCTGCTGGAAGCATGGCAGGTTCTTGGCTATTTTGTGCCTGGGAACAGGCTGCAGAGGAAGAGGAGCTTGTGGCATGGTCTGGTGGTTCCCATGTTCTCATCCTTCATGTGCGGACATACGCCAGCCGCCGAAACCAAAACGGGATCCAAACTGGTTTGTGCTGTATTTGAAGGCTTCATAAGAACATCTTTCTGCTGCTGGTTATGCAGACGGGGGGTTTCCGTGAGATTTGTGTACGTCTTCTTCATTCAAAAGCAGAACTGGGATTATTTTGCCCTTTTATGTAAAGCAGTGTAAATATTGAAACCCGTTGCTAAACGCTGTGATGGCGGAATACTCATGGTTCATTTTTTTTCATTTTTGATCTGGCACAGGTAAAGCAGAAATAATAATATTGTGAATATAATCCTGCGTCTAGTGTACTAACCATGAATGGTGTAAGCTCCTGGAGTCACTGTGACGTCCTGAGCCTGATTGTGCAGCCCTTGGAGACAACAGGTGAAACTCTGCCTTTGTTAGGTTCAAAGTCCAGACTCTTGCTGAGCTTGGCAGAGCCCCGTTTTCATGGGCTGAACATGAGCTGGACTGGGTGGCTTGCTTTCATCCTGAGCTCATGTATCTGACACTGAATCTTGGCTACTGCACCTGTCCATCCATCACCAGGTTTTTCATAGGAATAATGCAGTCAATGAGCACTTAGCACACAGAATTATTTAAAAAAAACAAACCCAACCCTGGCTAACTATTTTTGTCAACTATTTTGAAAAAATACCAGCTTTAACAGTGTAGACTTCATTGCCATAATAACTGTGATATAAATTTCAAATCTCTTTTGTTTGTGTTTTATTCCAGTTTAGCATATTTTTATTGATCATTTTTTATTTGTTTTGTAGAAGCCACTCTTGGCCCAGAAACAAGGGAGTTTACAACTTCTGCTCCAAATGCCAGCAAGGCAACATCATTTTCAACGGCAGTGATAAACAGTACCTTGTCACCAACAACTATACAGACTATATTTCCTATGAGTTCCTCTGACAATAGTACCTCTGCTTTTGCAGATGTTTCATGGACTCAGTTTAACATAATTATTTTGACAGTTATCATCATTGTTGTGGTCCTGCTAATGGGCTTTGTGGGTGCTGTCTACATGTACCGTGAGTATCAAAACAGAAAACTTAACGCTCCTTTTTGGACCATTGAACTCAAAGAGGACAACATCAGTTTTAGCAGCTACCACGACAGCATACCCAACGCTGATGTTTCGGGGCTGCTGGAAGACGATGGGAACGAAGTCGCACCGAATGGACAGCTAACGCTGACGACTCCCATGCATAATTATAAAGCTTAGAAGAAGTGATCCAGCTATTCCAAAGTTGGCTTTAAAAAGATACAGGGCTTGTTGAGGGGGTATCAGGATCCGTGCCAAGGCTCCATGCAGAGGAATTTGCTCTTCAGATACTCTTGTGCTGGGCGTGCTGTAGCTTGCAGGTGAACAGAACAAAGTGTAGTACATCCGAATTTCAGGTAATATGGTGAAATGCATTCAGTGTCCTGTTGTCCATAAAGATCCATAGAATTCACTGGTGTTAAAGACTTGATTACGCTCTTCTGAAATGATTTTTTTTTTATGAAGAGGTGGTGGGGTGGAGAAAGCAATACCCCATGATTAATCAGAAGCTATTTGATCTCCAGCCAACCTAACACTTACGTCTGCATCCTTTAGTTTGAAAAGTAGCTCATGAATTAACAGTGGATTTTCAGGAAACAGAGCTTTGTAAAGGCTTCATATTAGTTCCTGATATAAATTTGTTCGAAAAGGAGGACAAAAAAAGGGAAATAATTGTTCACTGTACTACCAAAAGGCAAGTAGAGGAGTGAGTTGCACACCTGAAAAAAGTCATCATTATCGGTTTCCACTAAGCAGGGAAACAGGAAAGAAAATTAATTAAAATATTGGACTTAGGGAAGAGACTAAGCTTTTCCCTTTCTGAGTATTTATACAGGGTGATGATGCTATTAAAACATAGCAATCCGTTTTTTTTTTTTTTTTTCTAGAAGGAGTTAATGAACTTGTATAGTTTCTGTGCAAGGGAAGACGACAAGACATCTCAGGGTTGCCGTGTAAAAATAAAAGCTAGGCTTAATACCCTACCCTGATAGAAATGGTGTGTTCTGTATATAAAATGTAATATATCTTCTTGGAATTGTATTTGTAATTATTTGTAAAAAAAAAACAACCAACCAAAAAAAACCCCAACAACAAAATCATGAGCCCTTCTCCAACCTCCTCTATTCCTCAAGTCATATTTTATCATCTAGGTTTTAATTGTACAGCGGTTAGTGGCATTGTTTAAAAAGAAAAAAAAAAAATGAGGGTTGTTTTAAAATACTGTAAATTAGATGGCAATATTGTTGGAGCTGGGACTCTGGCAAACACCAACTGCTTAAAGCTTTTCTTCTAGTGTCATTGAATAACTTTCTTTTTTAGAGAAAATGTGAGTACTCCCTACTTGCATCTGTCCAATTTTTCCATTCCTTTAAATATAGAGTGAATACCGGTGTCACCATGACTAGGCCCTAGTAGGTGTCCAAAAATCGCATGTACCATACTGTTACTTGCTTTTAAATCTTTATACAAAATGCAAATACACTGTCATGAATGCATTGAGAGCCTGATCTCGATGGCTGAGCTTTTCTGAAGTGGCTGCTCATCATGTGAGTGGATCTCATTGCCGTCTCTCCCGTGCTGACACGGTGACGGGGGAGGCTTTGCCAGAGGGCTGAGCACAGCCTCCTGGCCTCTTGAAGGGCAAAAGCAAAAAAATCCCCTGGATTTGGGGGAAAACGGCTCTCAGCTGAAGAGCTCGCAGGAGCCGATCTGCGCTTCTAGGCTTAAAAGCTAAAAGTGCATGGATGCTTTCAGGAAACTTATGTAGCACAAGTCGGTGGTGGGGAATCAGCTGTCAAAAAAAACCTACCAGGGACTTTAGGCACCTCCCTGTGGCGGGGAGCCGCCGGGTCCGACCCGTGAAAATCAATACCATTACATTTAAGCAGGGAGTTAAACAAAGATGTCACCTAACTCGTGGCCAACCTCAGAACTAGAGCTGCATTGCCGTGCGTGGTGGTGCTTTGCAAGCGATTGATGCTGAGGATAAATGAAGTACCTGCTAAAGGTCAGCAGGAGCTGACTGATGCATCCTCAGAGCCAGGCAAAAGTAAGTATTTCTCAAGATGAGAAAGGGTAGGAAGAATGTCGTGATTATTTATTTACTTTCTGGTGCTGCATGGAAGCTTTTGTTATCATTGGAGACTTGGGGTGGGGGGAAATAGGTGCTTTAAACACATGCACAAAGATGCCAATTCTGCCTAATTCAAAAATCAAAATTCAAAAACTTGCTGCCTGATTTAAAGATGAGGCACAGCAAGTATGAAGGAAAGTAGTTGAGGATGACTAAGGGAAACCGGTGATGGCAGAATTTGACATTGCATACAGCCCTGAGCCGATGGAAAGCTCCCGTTGCCTGCTATGGGCCTGAGCGAGGTCCCACAGTATGGGCAGTCAGTTTGGCTGATGTCATTCAGAGCAATGTTAGTTTTAGCTATAAAACGGGGGAGGACTGGAGGAGAAAATCCGGATATTGCTAATCCTGGAGTTACTCGTCAAACTTTTAAAGAGCAGAGTGGTGACAAAATAGAAAATTTCCTAAAAATTGTAACTATTTAGCAGTGCTGATTTAGGGATACACTTGCACTTGGTCACTTCATAGGGGGGGGAAAGGTAATTTAGGAAGTGTTAGCTTCTGGGACTAACTCTAGCGGGCAAAGTGAAGGACAGATTGTTCACTTTAATGTTTCCAAAATATTTTACTAAATCGTTTCATCTTTGCCACAAAACACCTCTTCCACAAACTTGCTATGACTGTAGGCTACTTTGTAACAGGAATAGGCTTTGATTTTTCTCTCACTGTAGAAATAATGACCATCTGCAAAACCAGAGCGGGAGGTCAGATGATGCTGAGCCCTCCTAGTCCATGCCTACCGCAGCACAGGAGGGGTTTGCATCTGGGCTGCTCCTGACCTCCAAAGGGCTCTAAACATTTTGTGTTTGAGCCTCGGGTTTGAAAAGAGGAGGAGGTCGGGATGCCTTACAGTCGGTCTGCAAGGGAGGGCAGTACAGCGGTGCTGTTGTCTGTGTGTTGCACATCTGGATGGAGGGATCTCGACAGCCCCTGCAGATGTGATGGGAGGCCTGCTTGGGCAGGGAGGACCTGGCTGCCCCGGTTTGGACAGCGGAGGAAAGCACAGGATGTTCTGCAGTAAGGATGTGGCACTGGGACTATGCTTGTCAGAATGCAAAATGACTCGGCAGGAAAATACCAGCCATCTGCAGCCAGCCAGGCCTTTGGCATAGAGGAACAACCTTTATAAAAGGAGGTCGATGCCTTAGCAAAGAAAGAATAAAGAGCTTTGTGTTTGACTTTGGTGATGTGAGATTAGGTCCTCCTTGCTCTCTCCATCAGTCATGCAGCTGTCCCCTGGGCACCACGGATGGCGAGGAAGAAGCTGAGCTAGTTGGATCTCCACTCGCCTTAGGTTGGCATTGTATTTTGAGGGGGGCGCAGAGCTAAAATGCCTGTGCCAGGGTACTAAAGGCCACTGGGACCACCAACCTGCCATGTGTTATAACTTGTTACGAAGCTTCCCAGATGTTGAGGTGTGCCCTACACCACCCTGGGGCTTGGGCGGGTAAACCAGAAATAGATTTACAGGGCTGCATTGCAGCCCAACTCAGAAGCTCGCAAGACAAGGGGATGGCATCTAGGTGACGACTAGGGCTGCTGGAGCAATACAGATAATGTAGCATTCCTGGAGGGCCACCATGCATCACCTTCTAACGGCATGCCTCGGTGTGGCTGTCACGGAGAAAGGCAGTCGGTGGCGTGGTACGGTAGCTGCAGAGCATAGAGAAGGTACGATAAGGCAGGCGAGGGCTGGGTGAATGTGGGACACCAGCCCTCCAAGCACAATCCTCAGGGTCGTGAGGGCCCTGTGGACCCAGCTGGTCTGGATGGGGTGAGTTCAGTTCCGCAGTCGAGTAACTGAAGGCAAGAGGATATAATGGAGTGGATAAAGGGCAAAAAGCAATGATGTGTCAAAGGCGTGGGGCAGCCTGGATGGCTCACACCTTAGGAGAGCGTTTGGTGAGCACAGAGTGCAGCAGATGTGCAAAAAAGTGTTTGGGTTAATGTGAACAGATGATCTCGAATCATGAACCACTGTAGCTGGAAATAACTGTGTGGAGCGTGAGCCCTGGGGAGCTGTCGGGAGATGTCATCCACTGGAGTGATAATTCCCTTGGACTGGGCTGAGCAAACTCAGCACACTGGAAGCCATTTCTGAAAGAGGGGAGGTATTCAGCATCCTTCAGGTAACCTGGGCCAGTTAACTGCTGCTATACAGCATCTTTATCTCAAATGTTACATGCAATGTAAATGTGGCAGAAAGTTTGCACAGTCTCCTTTAAATAAAGGATGTAAGATTGAATCCTAAAAATACATTTCTCTTTAAAGTGAAGTCTTAAAATGAGCTCCCACAGGACTCTGCTCTTCATGTGTCAGAGGGAAGGATTAAAATAAGAAAATGTGGGCCTCTATAAGTTGTACTTGCTCCCAACTGAAACCCATTAGTCTTACTACACATCCAAATAAGGTGTCTCCTAAGCATATGCTATGCTTACAAATGCATTTCTAAAAAAAAATAAAAAGTGTATGATTTGAATATATGTCAGAATTTATACAGAAGAATGTTATTTAAAATTAATAAAAATAAATGTATATAATTTGTATCTATGCTACTTGGATTTTTGCATTTGTTTTTTGTTCATTAAAGTTCAGCAGGAGTCTTTCCACTGAGAGCAACCAGAGCTGGATTGAAACCTAAAGGGTTGAATCTGATCTCATCCCGGTAATGACATTTGTTCCAAGAGAATTATTCCTTCATTATAACCCTGTATGTGAGATGAGAATCATGGCACAAAAATGTTTTTTAACATCAGGTATTCATAAGTACAGGTGACATTCTGAGTCAGATAATCTATCTAAAAAATGAGCCCTGTGATCTATTGTGTCTGCTTATTTACCATTCCAGCTTTCAGATACTTTCATTGTCTAGCTCCCAAACAAGTTAGTCAATGCCTATTTCTGCATTATTGTCTGTAATATTCACATGGACATATTTTGTCAGAGATGTATTCAGTCATTAAATATGAAGCCTATAGAGCAAAGCTAGAAATTGGAAGAGGATATTGTATTTGACCACAATGGGTCTTTCAAAGGAAATTTATATTATCAGATACTCTGAAATCCACAGCTGTGGTGTCAGTGGTTTTGAACAATTCTGGTAAAGTCTGCAAAAGGACCTATGGAAAACTGACATGTCTTTCTCACTTGTCAGTGTCAGGAAATTGATTTTCTTGGTGCAGAAGCAAATACAAATGCTAAAAGCTAGTCTTTTCTGCTGAATGTTGTATCTAACTCTTTGGTCCTTATTAAGCAAAGAACTTTGAGAGAGGTTAAGTGAGCATCAATTAAGCAAGTGCTTAAAACTAAGTGTTCGCTCAAATGTTTAACTGAGGCAGAGCTATATAAGTAAGGACCACACTGGTGAAATTCCAGGGAGTTGATTGAGACCTGATTTGCATTAGCAGAACAGTTTGTGTATGATTTAGTTTAGGAGGAATTTTGCCCTGAACTGTAACGGGAGGAGGCACAGCCAAATGCTGAACCAGGTCCCCAGAGCAGGGACTGGAGAACAGGAAGGCAAGGAGGACTCGTACTCAGCTGATGGTGACATCCATCCTCCTTGTGCCACCATCGCTCTTCAGGCACAGCGCACTGAGCAGCTGGCTTTCATCCTGCTCCTTGGGAGTTTGTGGTCAACTCATCCATACCATTACACTCACCGTAAGTCTTTCTTTCCTAAACTCCCTTTAGTACTTTGTTTATGAGGTGGTAAGGATCTTGGCCTGCCTTGTAAAGTAGGAAAGTGTCGTTCCAGTCTGGCTTCCTGGTAGAAGGCTCTAGCGTAATCTCCCCAAATGCACTACTAATTAAGATGAGGTTAAATAGATTGTCAGAAGGCAAATTGTTAACTGCTTCTAAACAATACATCTCCCAGCTCTTTCTGCCCCTTGCAGATTCTTGGTGCTGCTGCAGATTTTAAAGACTGGGCAGTGCAGTAACCGAGGGAAATTGTCCTTCATGTCTGTGTGTACATATGTGTATATATCTATATGCCTTTGGCCCTCAAATAACCATTTCATGCAGTGATAAACTTAACAAAGGAGGGCCCTGCTGATTTCCTTTTGAACGATAGCATGTTGGGACATGGACTGTGGCTCCACAAACACAGAGGTGCTGTGCCAGCCCATAGCACACAAATCTGAATGATTTGCACATTACTTGTGGCTGATGGATGCTGATTTAATGGCATGCATCAAATCTGTAACACCTTACTGTAACCTTAAACAAGAGCGAGCTGGTATGATCCTTTTACTAAGTGGATGCATCCATTTTATGTAAACAAGTGAAGTCACATTTCAGTCTGGCTGATCAGTTCCTGGTGCCATATAGCAGACCTGATTTTGCAGATTTAACTTCAGCTTGGCAGGTGAAGCTGCTGCAAAAGGGGATCCAGTCACATAAGGTGATAAATGTCTCTCAAGGGCCCTGGAAGAGTGGAAGGGACTGAACATTTTTTAGGGTCATCAGACCCCAAACACAAAGCACGAGTCCTGTCCAGTTGGATAGGAGAGGAGATGAAGATTTTAGCTGTGCTAAGTAGTGCCTGGCATTTCCTGGCAGTTTGGGGCACTAACAGCTGCTCCATCATGCACTTGTACACATAACATTGGAAGACAGAAGTAGGGATAGGAAGCCCACCATGACCAGACACATCCAGTGGTTGCAATGGCCACTACCACCAGTCCAGGGCATTTTACAAGCTTGTAACTTACATCTTGTTCTGAATAGCAAGCAGAGGTGGTGCAGGTACATGGAGAAAATAGAGCTAATGGGGCACCATGACACTCTGGAATAATAAAACCACAAAATTACTGCGGCCGATGGTTAGCCCTTATCTGTGGCCTATTTCCTGGTCAGGTAAGAATCCCCTTGAGATAGCCCAGACGACAGTGAGCAAGTGAAACCTGACACACTCTGTACCAAAGAAGAAACCAAATCTAACGCTTAAGCACATGGTTACTCCCGTGGGTGAGAGCCAGGCGAACATCTCGTTGGAATGGAGCTTCCTCATGTTACAGGTAATGCTGAGAGTAAGTCCTAGCAGGGTGCACCGGTTGAGGCAGTAAATATTACAGGGAAGTATTTCAATCCTACTCACAGGTTTCCAGTACTGAAATAAAAGAGGGCGAAGAGCATGAGAAGCAAATCGAGGTTTGGAGCTCCACCTGCTCCCAGCACGGTCAGCTCAGGCCAGGCTCCTGTGCACCCAACCGCAGGGACAGCGGTGCCAAGGAGGGGAAATGGTGCAGCAGTTAATCCAGTTTAGCATTTCCCACTGCCAACCATCTGAAATGTTCAACATCATTGCATTTTCTCCCCGAAAAGGCAGGAGAGCTGCTACACTTAGATTGTGTCAGAATCAGCCTGTTTCAGTGCAGGACGGATTACAGTAGCAGTTGGCTTCCCAGATTTTCACCTCTGTCAGTTGCAAAGAATAATGACTGGAATTTGAAACTAAAATGTAGTAATTCCTCTCTCCAAATCTGTTGGCGGCTTGGCGCCGTGGAGGACACGGGAAACAATCAGCTCCAGTGGCTCTGCCAGGCCTGGAAGGGGCTTGGGGTCACGGCGCACCCCTGAAAAACCCTCTTTTAAATGCGTGTTTCTCGGAGCCTGGCCGCCGGAGGCAGCCGGGCAGAGGCAGCTGCCGCCCCCCACCCTGACCCCCGCCTCGGCCGGGCCTTTCGGGCGCCTCGCCACAGGCTCGAACGGCGCGCCCAGCGTGCCCTCAATAAAGATGGCGGCTGCTCGTCCCCACTTTTCCTTTGGAAAAACATGGCGGCTGGCGGACGTCGCTGTTGCTTCCCTCACTTAAGATGGCGCCCGACAGCTTCCCCCCACCCCCGTTTGTCCATCTGGCCTTCCCCGCCGTGCACCGCCCCACTCTGCCCTCACCCAACATGGCGCCCGCCCGCCCAACTTCAGCTACCGCCCGCAGCAAGCATGGCGGCTTCCCTTCAGTTTCTATTGTGCCCGCCTCGTGCGCTCTCCCGCGGTGGCTTCAGCGGCTTCACCTCCGCCGACGCAAAGGTGGCGGAAGCGGTTGCGGCCGTTTGAATTCCAGCGGAGCCGCCAAAGCCGCGCACAAAGGCGCCGGGGCTCTGGCCGGCAGCGGGGTGCGCGGGTTGGCGCCTCCATGGACTCGTTACCGGGGGAAGACCCGACGCTGCCGGTGGCGTTTGAGGGCAGGTAGGCGGGCGGGGCCGCTGGGCGGGGGCCGGTGCCACCGCGGGCGCTGGGCTGAGGCGGCGGCCCCGAGCGGGGACGACCACCCATCCCACCCCCCCCCCCCACTCCCCCGGGCGTTTCGGCTCCTCAGCGCTGTCCTCCTCCTTCCTCAGCGTCTCCCAGCTGCCAGACATCTCCCGTGGGGACCCCCAGCCCGGCCCGGCCGGCGGCGAAGGTAAGGCCGGATGGCGAGCGGGAGCCCGCCGGGCTCGGGGCGCCCAGCCCTTCACCGCGCCCTCTCGGCGCCTTTGCCGGGGGCTCGGCGCTTCTTGCGGGTCTCGAAACCTCAAGAAGAAAATGTTTTTAAGTGGTGCAGCTTTTTGTAACTTCTATCTCTTTAAGACTGTAAGACGCCAGCGACTGCTGCAATTGCTGCTGTCTGCTACGTTGCCTGTGGTCATTATGGCTCCGGGTCTTACATAAGATAATCGGCGGTTTTGTGGAGCGTGTGCTTAAGATACTTGGAATATCCAGCAAGGCAATGCTGCTGTTTCGTATTTTGCTTAGATCTGTGGAAGTTGCATGCTGCTTATCATCAGGTTTTCCAGTTCAGCTATTCATTTACTTCCTGCCTGAAGACCTGATGTAGATTCAATTTTAGCTTTTATCTATTTGTGCATTAAGATGCCTTCTTATCTAGTTCCTGTTGAACAGAAGCTGCAATTCAGTGCGTTTTTCTATGTGAAGACCATATACTGTGTTCATCTTAAGGTGTGGGAGACTTCCTTGAAACGGTTATTTTCAAGTAAAATGGCTGAATAGTTGTATTTTAAAACTTTCTATCTGTGTTTTTAACTGTTCTGTGTTCTGCTATGTAAATTTGAGGTATATATTTTTGACTCTCTTTATGCATTCATGTATCCAGCAACATAACTTGGCTGAGTTTATTGAACAGATGACCTGGGTAACTGAAACTAAGACAAATCAGGTGGTTTACCAGAAATACCTATTTGCTCACAAAAGGAAGCAAATAGAAGAAACATACCCGTGTTGCAAAATAATGTTACTGTATTCTGCATGTACTTTAGGAAAGCTGTCTTCTGAAATTAATTGGAATGTCAATATTTGAAAGCCAGTGGCTGATATTCTTTGGGTTATTTTTAAGACTGCTCTTTGTAGTTGCATAACAATTTTGCAAGTACTTTAAATTAGTTATTTTCTTTTAGTTAGTATGAGAGTCAGTCAGCCAGCCAGTCCTCAGCTTCCTCTTCCTTATATTTAAGATGATGTAAGTGCTACATGTTTTATACAGTCTTATTATTCTGATTAAAAGTTTACTCTCACGGTTTTGAGTGGAAATAAGTTATACGGTCCTGTTAAATGTGACTGTTACAGAACGTGTGTGCAAACAGAAGCTGAAGTACATGTACATTCAGGAGGGATTACATTTTAGGAACATAAATACTGGCCGTTTCCCTGAGTCTAAGGTGGAGTCCTGTCCCGTGACCTGTAAGATACAGAAAGATTTGAAGTGCTTCCTAATAGTTTAATAGGACTTAATTCTAATATGGGGGTCCTCTGTAGTTGCTCTGAGGACTTATTCTTAAAAGTGAACCTTGCATAGCTTAATTTCAGTGTACATCTTGGTTTAAACTAGTGATGTAGGAATTTGGCAACTTAGGTGATAGACAACTTACTGTGATCAGATGGAAATCTAGGTACTAACTATTTAATAGCACTAACATGTAATGTAAACAAGGGGCAAAAATATGCCTCCCTTGCTTCCCAAAAGGTATTGTATTTTTATTATAGATTAGCATAGGCCTTTGCAGTTTTCAAATTGAAGCCTATTTTAGAGATTCTGCTCTCTGAACCTGTTCTGTCGTCTTAACTGTTTAGTGCTACCAGATGTGGCAGAAGATACAGTCTCACCAACTAGAGCTCGGACCATGAAGGACTATGAAAATGTAAGCAGATTTTTAATATCAGACTTGGTGACAGATTTATGGCCAAGATATTTCTAACACGCTGCCTAAAGTATTGACTCTGTGGGTCAGGTTCTTTGCTTGTGTCTATCAACACAGATCTGTTGGAGGTGTGAGCAGCTGGCTATCTGTGCTTTGAACCTCCCTTTAAGAAGTGCTTTCAAAAAACAGAGGCAAAAATTTGTTGTTGAGACTAGCCAAATATTGCTCTTAAGTTACAAAACAAAAATTGGCAACCTTTACTCAGAAGTTCATGCAATCACCAGAAACATAAAAACTTGATTTGCAAGTCTGCACTTGATTTATTTCAGGGAAGCATCGTTTATTTTCATTTAGACTAGTACATCATTTGGCTTTTTAAATTCATTGATGTATAATACCTTTCTGATTGATTTTGATAATATGATTTTGATTCATTGCTATATAATACCTTTTCCGTTTATAACTACGAACAAGCGTGCTTGGAGTACTTTTACTGTAAAGATCTAGTATCATTGTGACAATTCTGCAGATAAAGCTGGTTTTGGCGCTTACTAGAATGTAAAGGAAAACATTAGACTTTTTAATATATTAATTGTGGCAGTTATTTAAATTGAAGAAGCCATTTGTTTCTAACTGCTGAATGATAGTTTGGTTGGGGTTGCAGGACAAGTCTCCTGTGAAAAGTTTTAAATTGTTTAACTCAAGTTCTTATGACTGTGTGAAGAAACTGTAGAGGGAAAAGCAATCAGAAATCTCTGAGATGACTGCTGCTGCTGAAGGCTGTGACGTGCCATCTTTAAGATGTGTTCAAGTGTCTACGGTTTTTAGTGTGCTTTTGTAACTGTTGTTATCTTTTGCAGCATTGTTATGTTTGAAATGAGTGTTTCTTCTAAACGTTTCTTGTGGCCTTACATCCCTCTAAGGAGAAAGCTATGCTCTTTGCTCAGAATTTAAAACTTGTTTTGGAAAGCCTTTATGAAGGGTGTTTTTACAGTTTCTATCTATTTTACTTTCTCTTTTGTTTTTGTGTATTTGCTGAGGTAGAAACATGCTGCCTTGGCATTAGTATGTAATTAAAATCTTTTACTGTGGTATCTGCCAAAGACCTCAGTCTAGAATATACCTTTTGCAAGTGGTTTATTATCTGCGGTGTTTGTTTGCACAGGGGAAAAAATTGTAGAAGGGAGGAAAAATCTGTTGTTTGTTCTGCGTGAGGTAGAGGAGAAAGGGTCTCCCCATAGATCTCTGGCTTCCTGGTACGTACAGACCCCTTATGTTAAACTGAGCTGTAAAACTTCTCATAGGCTCTTATGGATGCCAACAGTAGAATGAAGCTCAAAAATCCATTCAAATAAAGGGAGAAGAATCCTTTAAACACAGAGAGATTTCTGTAACTTCTGTTTTTGAGTCTCTAAGGTTGTTGGTAGCTGGAAGGCTAAACTTGAGAAAGGGAATGTTTACTTTCTTTGTCCTTTTACTATTTACGAAGCATCCAGTTGTAGCTGTGTTTAGATGTGGTTTATTCAGATTTTTTTTTAAAGTTTCTGATGTCTCCTGCTTGGAGACGGTTTGTGTATCTATATACTACTGCATGAATTTGCTGATCTTTGAGGCTATGTTACTTATACAGGATATGAGAAGGAGGTAATGAAAGGAGTGAGCTTCTTGCTTTGCAGCTCAGAGTACACGATGGAGGTAGTGACTCTTGAACGGGCTAGAGGGTGGGTCCATGTAGGAAAGGTCCTTTTGTGTTTAGACCTGGAGAAGATGCTGAGCTGATAATGTTAGAGGTGTAAATTTTTTTATTATTTATGCTGTGTCCCACTTTCTTGCAATATGCGGGGGAACCACCTTTTGAGAGAAAATGTGATTACATGGGCAAAGTGAAAGGCATCTTTAATTGAGGACTTTGTTATGGTTTATTAGATGTTCATGAATAGAAAGGGTAACTGGTATCAATTAGGGAATTAAGTAATAATATTTGTGGGGCTTTTTCTTGTCTCCCTAAAACCACTCAGTAAGGGTTTTGCTGTCTTGTAAAATGGCCTCTGCTGGCAAAAACTGTGTTGTGCTGCAAAACCACAGCCTCTGCTGACAGATGCCATTTTGCAAAAAAGTGGCTCTATGCAGACTTGGAAAGGAGCTAAGCCAAGTTAGGCAAGTGGTATTTGCTACCATGCTGTTTGTGGTGTGGAATAGTCTGTGTAGACTGTATTGCATTGTCCTGGTTTTTCAATAAGTGTCTGCTATTTCTCTTCTTTCATTTCTTTTTTAAATACAGAAATCCAAATGTGTAAAGGAATTAAGACTGAGTCTTTAAGTGCATAAGTCGAGAGGATTGCCATTAAAGCCTTCTGCAGTGTGAACTTGTTCACATTTTACACGTTGTTTTTTATTAAGCTATAACACTTTAATTGTAGTCTGCCGGAATTAACTTTCCTCTGAGAAACTGAATGTCAGAGACAACATTTGTTTCACTTCTTGGTTTATGACTGTGTAGTATAGTGTCTTTTGTTTGCCTTTTGAAAATAGTACCCTTAAGCTCTTTGGTGTAATTCTATTGCCACTGAAATACATGAGTAGAATTAAGGTATGCCGAGTTCTTTTGAAATTGTTTTTTTCCTTTTGACTCAGAAACATATTGAATGTGTGAAGACTAACTAGAAGTTCAACTGATATAATTTCAGTGTCTTTGGCACTTGGACTTTTTCTGAATGAACGGAGACTAACTGTTAGGAATGATCTACTTGCTGAGAGTTTAAAAAAAAAAACCCAAACCCCAAAACAACAACTACCTGTAAATTGAGCCAAGTGCTATAAGGCCTGCTTTTGCTAGTTGAAGTAGTGCTGAATTTGACAGCAAGACGTACAGGATCTGGCGCAGTTCTGTAGCCTTATTTCATTTAAGAAATCTTTAATTTCTTTGCTTATTCTGAATCAGGATTTCAGTTTTGAGCAATATTCTGCATTGGGCTCTGTGACTTGAAGTACAAAGTTGCATTGTGTTCATACTTACATCTATTTGAATGTTCCAAAATAGTCGTTCCAGTTATTTAATATATCCCCCGTGATACTCATGAGGTATCATGATTTAGGCAGTTACAGCTATTATCGTTCAAGTTTATATCCACTACTGTTTGTGGTCATCCAATTGGAATTATAGGGAAACAAAGTTAAATATATGTATTGCTACAGCTTCTAAAGACAGGATTCCTCTGGGTGTGTGAATGGGCCACAAAGTCTATGTAGTCAAGCATATTTTCAGTTGGATGATATTTACTTGTGTGAATAATGACGAGGCATCTTGCCGGGCAAAGATTATTAAACTGAAGAATTGTTTGCAGATGCAGGTTCTGAGAGCAGCTACAGAAAATAATCTTAGGTTTCACAAGCCAAATATTTTAAGAATTGTATCGCTAATAATTTTTACAAGTGGTACTATACTGTTCTGGAAAAACCTATATAAATATTTTATTAGTAGCTCTGTAACATATTAGATTTCTTTTTGCAGAAAGCATCTGGCAGGGGACACAAGTCTTATTTGAATGAATGTTTTTATGCGTAGTCTCCTAAAAAAAATTTAAAGGGAGACTCCATTCTTTAATAAAACCATCAACTATGTTACTGCTTCTACTAAGAAGGTTAAAAATCATAAGAATTTTTTTCCCAAAGAATTGCACTATGAAATATGGGATGGAATAAAGGCTTTATTGGTGTTCGATTGGGCTCATGTGCCTTGTGTACTTGTGGCTTTTCTTCCCATGAATAAGGCTACCATCCCAAGCTGTTGTGAAGAAAATACTTCCGTTTCAACATGATATCTTACATTTTGTTCAAATTATATTTTATAGAAGAAAACTACTTAATATTTTTAGATTTTAAAAAACTCTTGGATTCTTTTTGTGTGAAATCAGACAATGTTTTAGTACTTAAAGAAGGAATATTCTAAAGAGCGCTGTCTGCACAGCAGCATGTATTATGTATTTTTAAACAATACTATTTATAATTTGATTAAGTGCTAGTGTCTCAGTTTTGCAGGGCTAAAAATAAACACAAGCTAAATGGTAACATCGTACATAAACACACAAATTTCATGTGTGTGCCAGTGTGCCTATATATCTTAAAACAAAATCAAAACCCCCAAACAAACCCCAAAACATTCAGAAGGGGTAGGCTGGGGTGGGATTTCTTCTTGTTTGGGTGAGGCATGGAGATAGGGAAAAAAAAATGTTACGGATGGGGTGGTGGGAGAAAATGATGTCCTGTGATAGGTGCTGAAGCTGTAGAAGATACTCCAAGCCCTTTAACAGATTTGTATTTGCAGCTCCCTGGGTGACACTATCTTGGAGGGAAGGAGGTTTCATTTTGACTTGGCTGTCATAGGCTGTTACTAACACCTTCACAATTTAAATACATATATGTGTGTGTGTGTATCACCCATGCATATGTATATGTTTGACTGTGTCCAATGGGTTGAATTCTAATCTTGCAATGTGGAGAGCAAAACCAAATTATAGTAGTTTTCCCTCTTTATTTTGCTAGGTTTGAAACACATGACATAATTTCCTCATTTTCTTTCTTCTGTCACAGCAAATCACTGATCTGAAAAAAGAGAACTTCAACCTGAAGCTTCGTATATATTTTCTGGAGGAACGAATGCAGCAGAAGTTTGATGGTCCAACTGAAGAAATATACAAAATCGTACGCATTTAGGATAATTTAATAGGACTACATATCTTTTTGAAGTGTTTGTGTGTGTATCGTTAACTGCTTTACTGGACATTTTGAGCCTCTTTTCTTGGAAATTTTGGTATGATAGCTTTATTTTATTCTGGCCCAATCCTTTTTGGTAATAACTACATTAAAAGGACCATTATAAGGTGTGGAAAAATTAGTTTCAAATGCATCAGTGTCTGTAGTTACAGGACAGACTAAGAGATGTTATGAATCTTCAGTTGTGCTACTCGAATAATTTACTGAATGGGGAATAAAAGAAGCAGCATGCTTCTCCTTAATTTGGTATGTAGTTACTCCACTTTCTACTATCAAGCGGTTTAGCTCACAGCTTTTCTTTTCAGGGTTTATCAGGTGTCAGTACAGCTACTCGGAGGTTGTTTGGGCACTCCAGCTCAAAGTTGCTTCCTTTGAAGTGTGTAAATAAAGTTGTGTTAGGGTTGTGTATAGATCCTAGTTTTATTGCTCTAAATTTAAAGAATGCATATTTGTACAGGATTCAGGAAATCTGTTTGATTCCTGTGTCAGTTTGTAGAAGAAACTAGTATCTTTTTAAATGGGAAGAAGGATTTGAGTGGTATGTCTTGCATCCTTGTTATTTCATGTTTGCAGATGTTAGGAAGAATTTCTTATGCCCTTTGTTTGTGCATGTGTTCTAGGAAGGAAAACAAATAATTTTGGTAACACGGTAGCATGTTATTTATAACATGGTTGCATCAGATCTCTCTTCCAGAATAGGATGGAAACTTAAGTCTCTCTTGATGCTTGCTGCAGTAGTTAAGTAGATAAATTGATGCTTAGCTAGGTCTTGGTTTCAACTGAATATTGCTGACTGGTCTTCTGTCCTGATCTTCTACACTGGTTGTCTTGTAATTGCTAATGTATTGAAATGGTATCTGTTAACTTGCAGGCCAAATAGTTCTTTGTATTTATGCCATAAGTAGTTTTCTCAGGCTGTGACAAATTAATTTAAAGATTATGCAAAACTTGTATAGTTGTTTCAAGCAGGTTTTTAAAAGAAAAGGAAAGATCTCATAGATCAAAGAAAAACCTTGCATGGAAGCCCTAGAAACTCCCAAGTTGATCTGCAGTACTCCCTGTTGTAGTAGCTGAGTGTGTGTGCATATGTGTAGGTGATTTGTATTGCTTGAATACAGTAGTCCTAAATGCTTTTAGAGATTTCTGAAAGACTGGAACCTTGCAAAATGTGTCCTTTAAAAACTAAAATGTCTCTATGCTATTCTTAGCCCAATAATATTTTATATTTGCTGGGCCAAGCAGAAAGTAATCTACACATTGCCAATAACTTTTGGGTAGGGTGATCTCTGAATTCTCTCCAGACACTTTAATTCTTTTGTCCTAGAACATTGAGCTGAAAGTTGAGATAGAAAGTCTGAAGCGTGATCTGCAGGAGAGGGAGAAACTACTTATCAAAGCCTCGTAAGTACCAGGATATTTCTTGGTGTCTGTTACTTCGGATTTCTGAGATCTTGCTTCTCTTTGTTTTCTCCTACTGTTTTAGGAATATGAGGATCCCTAGGTAATATTTTAAGGGCACTTACCTAGAAATTGCTTTATTTATTACAGAAAATATGTGTGAATTCTTAAACACACAGTGATGTTAATGTAATTATACTTGATGGTCTGATTTTGATATTATCCTTCATTCTACTGTATTTTTCAGTTAAATAAATGACTCCCTAGTTGGAAATGGCTTAGTATTCCTATTGTAGAAGTTAGGCTAAGAACTTAATTGCCTCAACAGGTGAAGAGGTAGACTTTTTATAGCACTGTGTTGAAAAGACATTACACAAAACACTTCTCAGTAAGGCTGAGAGTAGTTCAGATCTCATTTAGAGTGATTCTTGTGGTTTTTAATGATATAAAAATGAGTGCACTTAAAATACGTGCTTTTCTGTTGGAACTTCTTTTCTTAAATAAATACAATTTATTTAAAAATTATACGGTTCTACATTGTCTCATGGAGTGAGCAAGGTGGAATATGCTTTGGAGAGGGAATGGCTGACTGTAGGGCTGACAATAGTCTGTTAGACTCCTTCCTTCTAGGTGTCTGGTTCAAAACTAATCCAGGCTGGCAATGACTGACAGCTACTGACTGCTGCACGGGCCTCAGTTTCAGTGGAATTTTCTTTGTGTGCCCTACCTCCTGTGGCATTGAGTTGTTACCAATTAGCCTTTTTTTTTTTTTTTTTTCCAGTAGTTCAGAGAGGCCTAGTTTCAAGGAGATCTTGAGGACCGGGTTAATTTTTGTTTGGTCTTTGCAGGTAACTGTCAGAGGGTATTGCTGAACTTTGAATGGAATCTTACCCAAGTTTATAATAGGAAGCAAAATTAGGGGGAAATCGTAAGCAAGTGGTCATCCATTGTTTAGTAAGGAAACACTAGCTGTTCTTTCCTTACAAGGTATTAACAACTATTGCAGAAGGCAGTTGGAGAGAACTCAGTAGCTATGTATGTTCAGTTTATTCCAGTGCTGCTTTCTGTAGAAAATACATTACCAAAGGCTTTTGTATTTTGAAGCTTTAAAGATCTGAAGGAAATATTAGGTTTTTTCATCATACATATAAAGTGTTTGCTTATCCACTGTGACAAGGCTTATGTGTGGAACTTTCGGACTATACCACCAAAATTGCTGTATAATGTGTAGATGTTTGTATTTAACCATAAAGTGACAAGCAGGTACAGATAAAGTGGAAGACACTTGCTTGTGCATAATCTATCAGCCACTCGCACTTTAAATGTGTTTCGCATTGATACGCAGTAGGATTTATGTCTATCTGATGGTCTTTCAGTAAGGCAGTTGAAAGCTTGGCCCAAGGTGGAGATGCTGAAATACAGCGTGTGAAAGAAGAGACACAAAAGAAGATGCAAGAAATGAAAGAAATCCTGACAAGCAGAATAAACTTTCTTGAAGAGGTGAGTGGCTGAAACTGAAGGAATAGTTAGAAATCAGTGCTGTCTATAATGTTGTCTGAGATTTGGTGCTGTGATCTACCTGTATTTTCAGAATTGTTTCAGCTTTCCTAGAAAGTAGCCAGTGTGAAACAAGACCAAAAAAAAAAACCACTCAAAAAAACAAAAGGGAAAATACAATGAAAGAGAGCAGTATGAAGGTAGCAGTTCTTCAGGAAATTTGTACCTATTGGTGGTATTTAGGTACATTCAGCACAAACCTTCAATTCCTGAAGTCTAGTGTGAGGAGGTTATGCTTTCATAACCGCAATCTTTTTAGAGGAAGAGGGACTGGGTTTTGAATACTTCTGCTGCTGATTATATACTTCTCAATTTCATGAATAGCTGAAACCACTCTGTAGGCATTCCTGTCATTCCCCATCTTTATATGGGATCTCAGTATTGCAGCATCAGTCGGAGATTCTGTGGCTTTGTGTATCTCCACTTTGTGTGCTCATTATAGGCCGAGAGAGGCCACTTACTTATGGCAGCTTCTGGGTAGGTGAACCAGTGGGTGCTTCCCTCTGTTCTGCCTGCATGCCTTACACTCTATTGTTAGATTGACCTTTATCTGCCAAATACTGTTGGCTTCTGCTGTCACTATATCACCTCTTTGCATAACAAACTCCTGTGCCACAAGGTTATTCTTAACAATGTCTTTTTTTTTTATTCCTTGATGTCTGTGGTTGAGACAGTTTATTCCTGTATTTATTGTTGAGCCATTGCTTGTATCTTTACAGGGGGATTGCTTCACAGTTTCCTCATTTTGTAGTGTAAAGGCAAAACCAATATATTTACTTGTATGAATAGCATGTTTCCTCAGAAGCAAGGAGAAGTTAAGTTTCTTGTAAAGAACAAATTTGATATTGAGTGGTCTGTGCTGGAAATGTTTGTGTCAAGTTCTAGAAATACATAAGTTCATGATTGTTTTGCATCATTGACTGTATACACTTATCTGGAGGTGCGGGATTTTTTAGCTGTGTTTTTGAGGAGGATAGATGTCTGGTGTTCTTTCTGTGAGTAAACAGAAATAGAATAGTAAATACAAGTGGGTATATTCCAATATTTGCTTTCCCATCCCTAAAGAATGAATTTGTCATGGAAGGTATTGGTAGTAATCTCCTGATGGTATTTTTTATCAGGATGATTTAACAGTATTCAGAAACCAGTGAGCTCCTTCTGGGAGGAGGGTGGAATCTCCATGACCTTTTTTCAGATTAGTGGAATTGGAATTTCTCAAAGCATTCTTTGTGCAGTTGTATAGGTAGAGAAGTTCCTAAATTTCTTACTCTGTACCAAGTCAGCCAGTCAGACCAGTTTTTCTCGGATCTGACAGATAGAAGGGCAAATAATCTAATTTCATGGTGATAGAATTTTTTCTGTAGACTGAATATAGTGTTGGCCTCTAACATATTAATATTGTTAAGCTTATGAATGTAAGCACTTTCCTTCAGAGTTTTTGATTGAAAGATGAATGCTGGCAGAAGAGCTCCTCAGGAGAGGGGTTGAGTGGTGAATTCTACTGGTGAAGGACCTTTTCCTCATCCTCCCCCCTCCAAAGAGATATGCTTTTTAATATAGACTTGAAGGAGAAGGTGGAATTATTTGTTAGGTTACAAGGAGGCTTTTAATCTGTAGAAAGCAAAATTCAGTGAGCACAGCAGGGAAGCTTACAATATAAAAATGAAAATCTAAAACAAATTTTAAGTAGTGTGACAAGTGTGTTTTTTTCAGTGCTCCTGGTCTCTGTGAGTTGGATCACCTAGAGGAAGTTGCCTGGAATCTCTGGGTGTTACCTCTGTTTACGTTGCTGTTCAAGAGAAAAATATCTGGTTCATACTTTATTAGTTCTTGCAAAATATTATAAATTATATTGGGAAGAGTTTCAGTTAGCTACAGTGAGCCTGTGAATATTAATTTTGTCTGTGAATAAAAAAGCCCTTCTTTAACCTCTTTAAGTGTAGCTATTTATTAAGATAGCGGGAGGACAATGGGACAAAGCCAAATTATAATAGCTAAATCTAAAGCTATAGCATGGATGCACTTTCATTTCCAGTTCTATCAGTTAGGGTATTTGTTTTTATTTTTTTGAAACAAACTTCCCTTCTTTCTTTACCACAGAAAATGGATTAATCTTGAAAATGCAGACACAAAGTGCTCAGAAGCATTTGCAAAGCACTTGAACTACTTGGTTAAAGTTGCTAAATTAAACATACCAACATATGTTTGGTAGAAGAAACTTCAGTATGTGAAAATTTTTGTGAGTGTTTTGTTCTTACAGGCATCAGGACTGTGTGTTTTAATTACAGAATCTGAAAGCTGCTCAAGAAGATGTGGAAAAAGCCATTACAATGACAGAGAAGGAAAAAGGTCTCAGAATAGCTGCTGAGCAGAAACTTTCTTCAATTATGAATGCCCCTGCAAAGGATGTGGATATGATTACAGGAGCTGAGAAAGACAGGTCAGAACTCTTGCTGGTTATGTTTCTGACTAGTGGAATTCTTTATTGTTCAAGTGCAAAGAGCTGACATGGAGCTAGGTTTTAATAGTTTGATTGTAGCCTCAGATACAAGAGTGAGCGTTACCGGCCATCTTGTCTGTTCAGCTGTTAAATGAATAGCAACACAGCAACCAGTTTACATGCTGCATGATACCAAAATCATCTTTAAAAGTTTTTGAAAGTCTAGAAGGATCAGTATGCATGTGACATGAGCATGTCCGACTTTAAAGCATCTGTGTGACTTTGCTGACTTACCTCCTGCTTGCTGCTTTCTTGAACCTTTGGTGAATAGAACTTGACTTTACCATTTGTGTTCACTTACTGCTGTTGTGGTGTTTACACTTCAGTCCCAGTAGTGTATCTGTTGTGGTTGGTAAATTAAATGGGAGGAGAAACAGTGTGTTTGAGCTTCATGGTTTTGATTGTGCTTTGCAAAGCGCCGGCTCTGTGTTGTTTTGCAGGTAGTTGGAAAAGTGAGAGTTGTTCAAGTTGTTCAATAACTTTGTGGGGAAAACGTTAAAACTCAAATGTCAATACTTTGGAGGATTTTTAATTTTTTTTTTTTTTATTTTATTTTTTTTTTAGATATTAGGGTAAAATACATGCCTGTCAAGCCTTTCATTAAAACTTAGTTAGTTCGGGGATGTGAATGATGTGGAGATTGAAAGACTGTTATGATTCTTCATACTTTGGAGTATCCTTTTCAGTCTGTTTGTCACTGAGCCCTGCAGGTAGCTGCTCTGTGAGTAACTGCATAATTGGTTTACCTTGGTAACAGAAAATTATGCTGGCCTGAGGCCTTCACTTCGTAGGTTTTATTACAGTAGGACTAGAGGAAGGTTTGCAGTGTTTTCCAGACAGTTTTTGTAAAAGCATACAGATAGAAAACTGCAAATCTGAAACCTACAGTGACATAAAATTATGAAACTGTTCTAATAGGTTTTGATACAGCACCGTATGTGCCGCGACAGTAATTATAACCTGGCTCTCAAGTGATCTCCTTCCTTTCCACTTTCCCTTTCTGTCTTCCTCTTTCTATCTGTTAGTCATCTGTGTTGAATACATTTGTTCTCTTGTGTGACTTGAGCTGGGAAGGAGTTACAAAACCAGTCCCCTTCAGAGGTACTTTAGTTGCCAGCTCTATAGCTTGTGTGAAAACAGTGCTTAAAGTGTGGAAGCAAATTGTCAGGAATGGATCATTGAACTGAAGGCTGTGTGGAACATGATGAAGAAAGTCTCTTTTCTTCTTTGTTTTTCCTATCTCCTTCCCTCCCACACCCTGTGTGGTGATCCACTGTTAGGATCTGCTGTAATTACATGCTGGTAGATCAGTGTAAGTATTCACAAGACCAGAAAAGCATAGTTGCTAATGGAAGAAGAGAATATTTGACTTCAAGTGAATCAAATATTAATGTGCAATGCTTTAAACTTGTCTGGGAGTAGCACATCTGGAATTCATATTGTGTTAAAAAGATACTTTTGCCATCTAGGCTATGAATTATGAAGGGAATCACAGCTGGCATCTTATGCCAGAAAATTTTCACTTATAACCCTTATGTTTGTCAGAAAACTCAAGGGTGGTTGTTTTTATCAGTTGGAATACTGGAAGTGTCAAGATGTGTATTGGCCAAAGGAGGAAGTGCTGACCTAACTTTTTTTTGCTTATGTGAAACAAGAACCAGTTTAGGTACAAATAAGTAGTAGGTACTTGAGGGACGCTTAGTGATGGCACATAAGGGTAGTGTTGTATCTGTTAAGAATCGGAATAGATTGATAAGCTTTTTGTGTGTGCTTTAAAGGAGAATGTAACTAAAATATTGAAGTTTAAGTGTTGACATTTGAATTGGTACTGGAGGAATACAAGAATGAGCACTTTGCAGAAAGCTTAAGCGTGTTTGTTGCTTGTTTTGAAGTTACAGCACCTTTTCTGGTTTCTCTGGAGAGAGAAGGGGCTGTGAAAGTGTTCTGCTAAGTTTTAGAAGTATCGTCTGGTGTGTACACCTAGGAAAGTTGTTTGCAAGATTTGCTGCAATGACTGGAGAATTGGTCATAGATGATCTAAGATTAATATTAAAAATCTTGTAATTTTAGACTTATAGAGCAACTGAATCTGTCATTGAAAAGTAAAGAAGCTATAATTCAACACCTTGAAGAGGAAAAGTCTCAGAGTGGATCTTATGATGGGAACTTATCAGCAGAAAAAATCAGAGAACTTACCCTTGCTTTGAGGCATGAAAAAGATAGTCAGATAGAGGTGAGGAATCTGAACAGATATGTGTGAAATCTCATGTGGTACAGGATTTTAAAGGTTTTATGCATGACAGTATGTGAGTGACTGAAGCCAATTATTTAAAAAGTTCTTCTCCACAGTTATTCCCTCCATCCTTTCTCCATTTCCTTAACATTCATTGATTATATTGTTGTTTGGTGGTCAATATTATTCCTTATTATCCATGCTTACCCTTCATTCAATGGGAGGTCATGTTTCTCATTGACTTTATGCCTGTATTATAGATATTGTGCAATCACTTTACAGAAGCATATATAAAAAAATGCTGGGTGTTAATACATCCTGCAGTAGATGACATGGCTTGTTTAGAAGTTAAGAATGTGACTTGAGTTTATTTTTGGGAAGTATCTTTACTGCTATGATCTGGAGAAAAAGCTGTGGTAACAGAGGTAGGCATAAAAAAAATCTCATGAAGTGGAAGTCTAGCCTTTAGCTTACAAAAGGTGCTAAGAGTCAGTCTTGCTTCACTTGGCTCTTAAAGAGTGAGACAGATACTCTGAAAGCTGAAATGTAGAAACAGGTCTTAAGGCTTGTTGTCTTTTTTTTCCCATTGGTTATTCAAACAAATTAAAGCTGGCAGAAATAAGAAAGCACTCAAGGAGGCTGTCATGCTTCTGAGAAGTTTTCTTCTCTTTTGTTTTGGAACTTAATATTGATCACTACCTACACACTTTCTTTTTTTGTTTATATCAAGAATAGACAAGAGAACCTTCTGCGATTGGACTGATTAGTCAAATTAAAACTTTTCAGTTCTGGGTGGTCTTGCAATTAAATCGGTGTATGTCAGAAAAACTACCCTGATTTCACAATAGTACTTGTGTGTCAAGGTGAAAACAGGGTCATCTGTAACCATTTTCTGGTAGGTAGACAGACTATGATAATTTTGGGGTGCAGTATTGGGGAAAAAATCTGAGGAATATCTTTGCACAACAGTCTTTATATATGATTACTTTTTTAACTAAAAAAATCTGTAACCTCCCCAAAGAAAAGTGCTAATTAAAAACTCCCTTAATAAAAGCATCCTGCTGACATAGAAAAATGTCACATAAAAATATGTTTTTATTAACTCTGCAAGTACAGTTGTCCTGTCTCATGGAAGAACACGTTTTATGGGTTTTGTGTAGGGGTTGGTTTATTTTTTTTCTCTTAAGTTGGAGAGGCTCATTCTGTGCACCGGGTAGATTTGTAGACTTCTAGGAACTGATTCAATATGTTCCTGCCAAAAGGCATATACAGAGGTTTCCCCTCCTCCAAGGTTAAGTTCATTTTGCTTCATTTTAATGTTTTTAATGAATTACATTTGTGTTTACAAGGTATTTACTTGACCATAACTGTTTTGTTCTTATAGACTATTAAAATGGAGCTTAAAAATGAGAGAAATTCCTTTGAAAAAAAAATTCAGGTAAGTGCCAGTTTTGTGTTTCCTTGACCACTTGCAGTGCAGGTTGGGATCTCTTCTGTTACACATTCATAGATTCAGAGAGGCCTTGACTCAAAAGGAAGCAAAGCAAGTCTTCTGGTAACTTCTCATTTATGCTAGATGCAGGATGGCTCACCTTGTTTTTGAAGCAACTTTCAGTAAAGCTGATAGGCATGCTCATCAAATATTGAAGCTGATACTCATGGCCAGCCCATGAGATTAGGCTTCTAATACTATATTCCAGGCACATCTTTAAGATGATGACTCACATTTTGGGACTATATTTTATGTTGGTAATCTGAGTAATAAATATACGAACTCTGAGAGAATGTATTTACTAATGTGCAGTTACAGTATCTTTTAGTGGGAAGTTAATGCAACTTTCACGTAATCTGATTTAGTCACTTCAAGAAGAGCTACAAGAGAGGGAAAATGAGCTTGCTGTTGAAAAGAAGAATGGTTTGAAAAGGGATAAAACCATTCAAGGGCTAACTGTTGCATTAAAAGCAAAGGAAAAAGAGGTATGATGACTGATCTTGCTGGTTTGTTGAACTCTCATTGGGAGGGGACTGTGTGTGTTGCGTATGTGGTAGGGGTCAACTGATCTCACTGTAACCATTAGGAGGCTTCTAGTGTGGGTCCTTAATCACTGTGGTCATATCTGTAGGCAGTTCTGTTTGTCTGGAGTTTTGGGTCTTGGACTGAAGGAGAGAGGAAAAAAAAGATGTTTAACTGATACCTTCTCCCTTAAGAACTTTGAAGAAAAATGTTTTCAGTTGCACACTGTTTTTTCACAGCTCTGAGCACCACTTAAAAGGTATGAGAAGAATTTTATGTTGTTGAGTAAGTGGAGCTGTCATAAAGACAGCTAAACCAGGAGAGGACGTCAGCTGCAATTCAGATTTTGTGGAAGAATGGGAAATATTTAACTTGAGTGATAGGCAGTCTAGTGAGCCTTCTATAAGGACAATTTCTTTATACAATATTTATTATGGTGTATTTGGTGTTTTTGTTACTTAAAGTATTTGTTTTGTGTATTTGGATGAATGTATATTGAGATGGGATAGCTGTTAACTGAATCACCATCCCTTAGAAATAACTCTTTCTACATAGTATTCATTTTACTTTACTTAAAGAATGAGGAGCTTGGTTCTGAAATTGAAGATCTAAATGCTTCATTGGCTAAGGCAAGAGAGGCAACTCACAAAGCACACATCCAAAAATTCAAGGTAAGAAGCAAGCAATTAACGTGGCTTCCCCCATCCCTGCTCCTTCCTTCTCCATAAATCCATACAGTCGATAGACCTTTGTATCTTTGAAAGCAGAGGAATGGAAATTAGTTTAAAGTGTTGTTTAAAGTGTTTAATTTTTCTTACTTTGAAAAAGAAGTTCCCAAATCAAATTATTTAAATGGTAGAATGTCAAAACATCTGATTACATAACTGGTTTCTTGAGTTTTTTCTTCTGTAACAACTGAGAATTGGTAAAAGTAAAATGAGTTAAAGACACAAATAGTTGCGGAGCTGAGACGATGTTGAGCTTACTTTGTTGACCTGAGAATGTTTCGTTTTTTCTTCCAAAAGTATGGCAACAGCATATTCTTCCTGATAGCACAGTTGAACTGGTTGTGAGATGCTTGTTTGGATTTATTTATGTAATAAATGTGAAACCACTGTTTATAGAGTAGTGGAATGTTTTTTGTGAAAATGTGATTTAGTAATGCGTTCATGTGTGTGGAGGAGAAAGGACTTTATGATGTTAGTTTATGTGTATTATAAAGGTCTTAACATTACAAGAAACATGTTGTCTATTCTAATATCAAATTCTTGCTCTCTCCCATTTTACATTTTTTCAGACTCAAACTAAGTCTGATAGAATTAACTAGGACTGATTAGAGGCAGTGATGAATGTTCCATTATGATGATTGTTCATCCACTTTGTCTCTTAGCTCAGCAGGAATGGAAGAGGTTGTTGATATGCTTGCCTCTGAAGTACACTGAAAGCTTTTGTGACTACTGGTTTTTGATTTGAGAGTCTAATGGAGTAGTAATGTTTAGTTCTCACAGAGCTCCTCCATTTCTTCAAAAGCCACTTATTTCACTCAAGCCCAAATTTTAAGTGTGTTCTACTGAGACAAGTATGTCCTGTTTCTTCTTTAGGTCATTTTGGCCTGTGTGTAACTCTAGAGCTTATGTTTGCGTTTTCATACCGTGGAAGTCCTGCTTTGAAATATTACTCTAACCCTTTCATTTTTGAGAGCTTGATTATTTTTGAAAAGTTACCAGTTTTAAAAGTGTGCAACTAATCCCTCCTCTCCACAGAATCCACATTGCACGGTGGGTGACAGAGCAAACCTTTCTCCTCGTTGCTTTGCTACTTAGCTACAAACCTGAGCTGAAGGCAGTTCTCTGAGTAGATCATGCTGCGTAGCCCACTGCTGCTGTCATCAGTGTTTTGAACTTGGAGGCCAGTAGTAACAGTGTGTGATGGGGAAGAACACAAATCAGATTTGCTATTTCATATAAAAAAACCCCATGCTTATGACTTGGTAACTACTTGACCTAGTCTGGATTCAAACTGACCCAAAAGTAGAAAGCTTTATGTAAGAAGAGCTTTGCGAACCAATGATGATAATATGATCTCATTAGCACTATGGACTCCTTTGCAGGTCAACCTTTTATTTGGCTGTTGAAGACTTTTTTTTTTTATCCTGAGCTGGATGTCATTGAAAGCCGTTACAGTAGTTGAGAAAATTTTCAGTGTAACATTTTTTCCTGTTGTGTCAGTAACTCTTATTTCACTGTATTTTTGCACTGCAGTTCTGAAGTACTGGAAAGAGGTGCAGGGCAGTGGGTTTGGATGCAACAAGCATAAAGGCTTCCAGTCTCTGCAAAATACTCTTATAGAACTCAAATGCTGCTTTATGTTTCAGGGTGCTGAGGATTATGAAGCTCTCTTGATGGAGAAAGAGACCCTTTTAGCAGAGCTGCGTTCAGAAAACCTTACAAAGGATGCAGAGAATCGTAAACTACAAAGGAGGATTAAAAGGACCGATCAAGAGCTAAATGATTTGAATTTAGAAAGAGAGAAAATGGAGAAGGAACTGGATGAAGCACAACTACAGAAGAGCAGAAGTGACAAAACGATTAATGTTATTATCACTCTTTTCCTTCAATACATAAAGTTTAAAAATAATTTAGCACTTCTAGCATGTCCTTTTCTAACAATATTAGTTTTTTAATTTGAATAATTTCTGGAAAGTAAATGCATTTGCCTAAAGCCAGTGTTAAAAAGAATGTGGCCAAGAAGATTGAGGAAAATTCTGGCACACAGACTGCGCAGAAAAATATTTTTAAATATAATTTTGATAGTCTTAGGTCCTAGAAAAAAACATTAGCTTTTATAAGTGGTAAATGGTTGCTGTTGCTTTCAGGTTTTTTGATGGGAGAATCTGAACATGCATGACAAAGTATGTTTTAGATTTCTGCTGTATTTGTCTTGTAATTTAAGTCAATGTATAGACACATAACCTTACTTAAACTTTATTCTGAGTTCTAATGCAGAACAGGAGTAATTAACCATCAACCTTAAGCTTGATTTTTGCTCTCATAGCAGGGTCACTGTAAAGCCTGTATAAATAATAATTTATGCTTGTAAAGTTCCAAAAGCACTGGAATAGTTGATCACGATTTAACCAAAAAACGATGTGCTGTATCTGCTCATAAATTTTGCTTGCTTCATATTCTACTTAGGGTTTTTAACCTTGCTGTAGGTGTTTAGGCAAGCATCTCCACTTCCAGCATGCACAGCTCATGCAACAAAGAGAATGATCAGGTTTCTCCTCTTTTTACTTTGAAAAAAGGATGTACCTTCTGCTCAGTGTTTGACATCAAGATACATCTCACCTGTATGTTTTGTCACATGGATTTTTCTAGTCTTCTCACAATTGCTTCCACTGGGGCAGCATTTGCATAATGAGTACAGTCCCGCATGTATGCAAAGTCTGGTCCTCTTCAGTTAGGGATTAGTCTCCCGTTATATTAAATTACATAGAAGATTAAATGAGCTTGTCTTTATTCAGTGGATGTTTTGGTTCAATTATTAAATGAGGACCTTAATAAAGCAGGTATATGTGGAAGTGTCTGTTCCTGCAATATCACTTAAAACCAGTAGAGGGATCTCTTTACCTACAAATAAGTTCTCCTGCCCCCATCTTAACTTGCATTTTTGGTTGCTTGTCAACTGTGATTAGGTTGCTGTCACAAAGTCTCTATCTTTGGTGTGCTTTGAAATTTCTTCAGGGTGTTAAGGTTAAGGAGAGAAAGAACAGATCGCTCCTGTCAGTAAAACAACCACAAAGAACATACTTTATTGATTTAAAGTATTTTATATTTAACTGTCTATTCAGAAATTTTTGATCTTTCGGGGGGGCTAGAATATAACTCTGTATAGCAAAGACAGGAAAAATAGGACTGAGTAGGGAGTTGCCAGGGACTTCAAAGTTACTTGTGTTCCAGAAGTCTGTGTGACTCCATTATGTCCACGTTTTTCATGTAAATGACTAGGTCCTTGGGGAAGAGCATTCCTGCCAAAAGATGAGCAGTCTTATAAAAATTATATCCCTAGCCTATTTCCTACTCTTTGCAGAACAGCTGCTTCAATTTCAGAGTTGCTAGTACATTTGGATATAGCAACATTGACTGTGAAATGTTGCCCATTAAGTAGTAGATATGTGGGAGTAAAAAAACTGCTGTGATGTTTTGCTCTTTGACAAATAGTAAACCACTTCAGTGATCTGATGCAAACTTTTTATGAGACAGCCTTAAAAATTCTGTTCTATTTATGCTCCAAGATACCTATTTATCAGTGTTTCTATTTTGTTAGAATAAAACTAGCAAGGATGTTTGTAAACTGTAAAAAATGCTCTCAACATCTGTAATGAACTGCTGTCTTCGGTCTTCACTCACAGTGAAATTTTCAGTTACTTCGTGTACTGTAATTGGGATAATCCAAATTTCTGTGTATATATATTTTAAAAACCGAAAGAAACAAAACAAGAAAAAACAATCTAAAACCAAAAAGTACTTCTCTTGTAAACCCAGTTTGTCTAGAGATGATTTGGGCATTACTGCCCTGTAATGGAAAAAGGTTAAATTAAATGAAGCTTGTTACATGTGAGCTGATCATCCACATCACAGAGTGCACCCAGTTTTGAGAGTCTTCTGGAGCAATGGATGTAGATGTTCTTGAACAATGTCCCTGCCTCAGGGTGGGCAGGTGCCCTGGCTTTTTACTAGGTCAACTTTAAAAGCTAGATCTCGCAGTTCTGTGCTCTCCAGAAGCTGCTGTTAAGCAGTAGTCCAGAATCACCTTAAGCTTTTTGAAACAAAAGAATCTGGGCATATATTCTTACATATAATTGATGAGGAATACACATCAATTCATCTTTAGTGTTGCTTGTGTCCACCATGTTACTCTGTAACAGAGATTCAGTGCTTCTTGATCAGAGTTTGTTCAAATTTACATGATTAAACACTTTAGGCCTGGAGAGAGAATGGATACTTAAATGTAGACAATTAGAGTGTGTTTACTAGGTATTCATATTTGATCAGTTGGTTGGGGAAATGCAGAATAACTCATTAGGCAGAATTTATTATTTAGTTATCTTACCTGTAGTTTAGCATGAGAGGGAGGTTTTTGAGCTTCACAACTTAATTATTCACGAACCTGTTTTCCATATGACAAGGAGGGGGAGGCATCTGCTCCAGTTTTCTACATTATAGTGTTTCACATTCATTTTTCTTAGTTCAGCTATCATTAATCATAGGAAAGTCTCTTGGGGAAAAAGGTTGGCAGAAGGAATTGCAAAGTTTATGCTCTGAGAACTGTAGGTACTATATTATCCTTACAACTCAATGTATAGAAACCAATAGATTTTCTCCCAGTCAATTTGAGTGGTCAATGAGTTCAAGCAACCTGCAATAGTGATGGATAGTTTTGTGTGTTGCAGAATTCTAGCTCGTGCAATGAAGATAATTTTCAGTCTCAACTCTAGCTTGTTTTGGGGAGGGCTTAGGGAACTCTGGGGGCAGAAATACTAGAGGGAAAGTATCTGCAAATTGCAAGTCTTGCACGTTTTTTTACTTTTTCTACAATCGTGTGCTTTGGCACCACTTCCCGTAAGCCTAGCTGTACTATTTGTGCTGCTTTAAAGGCAGAAGCATAGTTTTCATACTTGACCAGTATTGTACAGCCAAGATGACTGAGATTAGATAATAGGAGGTGTAGTACTGTTATTGCAGCGGCATCTTTTATATCTGTGCGTGTCTATATTTTTTTTTTTCTTAAAGCTGTTTATGATTTTAATAAAGAGAAGTCACACAGTATTGGTCACCTGAAGTTATAGGATGGGACACAAGTGTTCCTTTGACTTTTAGTTTCCTAACGGGTAATGTATTCACTTAAAGCCTTTCAATGATGTAATAGTATAAAAACAATAAAAATAGAAAGTTAAGGAGTGAACTTTGAAACACAGTGAAAGTTGTAACACTGCAGTTGATCTTTTTCTTCCAAGTCACGTGTTCTGTATGAGTGGACTTAATATGACCCACCTGAACAGCTCCATAACTCGAAGCCAAAAGACTTCGTAGTTACCATACTGTTAGACTGCTTCCAAAAGAGCTGCACTACACTGCAGTTTATGGTTAGTAGTTAGGAAGAAATAGAAATATATTTGAGACACAAAACTTGGGCATGATTCTACAGTTCTTCAGTTTTCTTAGTCAAGCAAATACTTCTTTTGGTCCTGAAAAAAAATACCTTTATTAGTTTGCAGAACTGAAGTCTTAAGTTTAGTCATTCCATGAATCACATTTGAAGGTTTTTGGGGAACTACTAGGGATTTCTTAGCTGTATCCTGGTAATGAAGCTAACTGAAATAAAGCAAGTAAACCAAAAGGCGATGTAAATGACAATTTGTATTTAATGTACAAAATAAACACGAGTAAAACTGAAGTAGCAAAATTATGTTAAAGATTTGATGTGAACCTGCATGAAGCAAGGTAATTAAGTCAAGAAAAGGACATAAAACAGTTTGTAAAGAGATTGCAATCAAAGTGTCACTAGTACTATCTCTTTGTACTTAGAATAACAAACAACTATTGAATTTTAAATCATAGTGGAGGCATATGTAAAGTTTATAGGTGACTACTATATGTGCAAACTATTGAAGGGGCTTATGATACTTCACAAATGGGCCCTTTTGGGGAATAAATAGAAAACATTTATTTTAAGATGTAAGCTGTGTTACCTGCTTCTTTGTCTCTGAAGAGAAGTTTAGATAGTATAAAGTCTATTGTCAATTTTAATTGTTTAATTTTAGACAACAGCTTTGTTACAAGTTTTTATTTCTCTTTTTCCACACAATCCACACAGCAAATACTCTAGATCTTCTTGCAGAGTAAAAGCTTTTAAAATGAGGCTAGTGTATATGCAAGCTATGCCTCCTTCAACTGACAGAAACTTCAGACTTTTTTGCTGATTTTTTGGAAGTGGCACAAACAGTGGTGGTGGAAGAGATGTTGGAAGGATAGAGAAGACATGTTACAGATTTTTCTACTGACCTGTGCTCTTCCATATTTTCCACTCTGGGAACAGTTACATGCTAATAATTTATATATACTTCCATCAATTTAGCAGTTGTCCCAGTTCATAGCAAAATGTAAGGAATAGGAATTGTTTTATATTATTGCTTGGAACCCAAGGCTTTATCAGGTGGTCAGACTTTGGAACCTTAGTTACATTTTCAGATGGTGGATTTTCAAGTGAAGTGGAACAGGATCTCTAGGAATGCAGAGGAGAAAGCTGTGACTGTGGTGTGCATCTAGTGTGTGACCTGCAAACTAGAAGATACTGCTTTTTATATTGCAGTCGTCCATGTTGATCTTAACAGATCTCAAAGTCCTCGTGACTTGCTGCTGCAAAAGGCTATTGAAAGATTGTTTCTGTGTTTTAGAAGCAAAATGGACAAGTATATGTTTCTCTCATGGGAAGCTAAGATGTGGAGATGATGCAACTAATCTTGGAACTGTAGGAAGTAATTAACAAAGCCAGAATGGAGATCAAGTTCTGTTCACAACTTCTAATCACAAGACTGACCTGACTGGTCATTTGAAGTTTGTGGTCTTGTCAGAAGGAAATGTTTTAACATTTCTGACCTTTTGTTTGATGCAGAAGTAACTAGTAGTACAATGTTAGTGGAAGAATCTCCATGGTGTGATGAGAAAAAGAGCAAATGACAAAATGAATTACCCGTAACTGATTTCTTCCTATTTTTAGCAAGGGAGTAAATTGACTCAGAAGTGAGTGTTCATTCTGATAGTGGCAACATCTGTGAGTATGATATTCCCCACAGCCTTTGAGTCCAGTCATTTTGTATGAAAAGCATTTAAACAATAACAATCTACATTTTTAGAAGACAATACTGGTATCTCATCTATAAGTTTACTTTCTTTAATTGTATTCGTTGATGCCAAGAGAATGATACCAGCTTAAATGCATTCTCTAGACTATTCGGTGATATGAGTAATTTAAAGCAATGGAAAGTTAAGATAATGATGTGGGTTGTTAGTCTAAACTTTTTTTAAAGTTGATTTGCTAAACATTCACTTTCATTTTTTTGGTAGGACCTTAGAAATCAACTAGAGAAATTACATGGTGAAATGACTGAGAAAGAAAAAGCAGTTGAACATCATTACAATATTCTTTTGAGTGAAAGCAATCAGAAGTTGCAGAGCCAAGAACTAGTTATCAAGCAGCTAACAGACAATGTCAATCAAAAGGATCTACTGCTTCAGGTAGGTAGACTTAAGTTGAAATGAAAAATAGAAAGTTATAATTTGATTTTGTTTGAGGAATTATTACAAAATCACATTTGTATTTGGAATTACTGTTGATTTTGATGATAATCCTTTGATTTTTATAATACTGTATTTGCAGAAGAGACATGTAATTATAGAGTGTGTGGCATTCAACAAGATTTCTTGTTAGAGTTTTATGAAGCGTGTGGACAGAAGAGGAAGAAAGCTTTACTAATACTAATGTAGAATTTTCACTGTCGTGGTAAGATACCTTAAAAGCTCCGAAGGGCCTATGATTTTCAGTTTATTGTGCAGAAACTAGAAGTTGAGAAATAGGTATAGATACTGAAATATTTAATCTTTCTTTTGGAGCCTATTCAAAATGACGTATTTGAGAAGGTAGTTGCCTAAATGTTAATGGACCCCTGCTCAGTTTTTTATGGCTGGAGGTGTAACCCTGAAAAGTGCTGATGCTATTCAACCAGCAATGCAAGGAGTAATAGCTGAGGTTGCTCTATACCTGGAGACCAAGGTGCATGCCTTGACTTATTTTTTTAATACTTAAAAAACTGGATAGCTGAAGAAAGCTTCTGTTTGATCTTTTTTTGCTTCTATTATGTTAAATTGAGGTCTTTTGTGAGGTATGTAAAAAACACGTGCCAGATCATCCTTTGATATTCTCCTGAATTTTGTTTATCTGTTTACTTTGCAATATAAAACCAGAGTAAATTTTGTAGAACTGTCTCATTGTTTTCTTTTACTAGAAACTTGATGGAACAGTTAAAGAAAAGGATGCAGAATTGCAGGAGCTCCTGAATAAATACAAGAACCTTCTAAGAGCTAATGAAGAACTTGAACTGAAAATTGAGGGCTTAATAAAGGAAAAATGTGCTGCACAGTCTCAACAGTCAATCATCAACATAGTCAGAGAGTTAGAGGTGAGTTTTTCATAACTCTTACCATTTGCAGATAAATACCTTGACTTCGCATTGAAGAGAATTTTGACTTTGGCTTCAAAGATGTGGACTCATATACGTTGTAATTCACCCACGTAGCAAGGGGCTGATTTTTCTTTATATTAGTACCATATCAAAGTGTTCTGTATTATTAAAAAGGTAACAATGACTTTATTAATAATTGTGTCTACAGTTTGTATGACTGGTGGTGGCACATGTGGCCTCATAAAGAGTACACAGTATTGTTCTCTGATGAGTTTATATGGCATCACCAAACTCTTTACTCTGGAAAATGTGTAAAATGTTTTGCCTGCCATAAAGAGGTGGAGTTTTGTGTTCATTAGGGCAGACGTATTTCTCTGAGTGGGAGGGTATCCGTGTTTCTGAAGAGAGGTGCAGAGAAGAGTTTGTGTATGTCTGGTAGATAAAGGGAAAGATTGCACAGAGCTAGTGACCACAGAAGATAAATGGAGTATGAGAATAAAAAATACAGGTAGGTGTGAAGATGTGTCTGGGGCAAGAAGAAAACTACTTCAAAGTGAGAAAGGAAATAGCGCAGAAGTACATATATATATTTAAAAGAAGTAGAGAATATATGCCCGTTATTTTATTTGATGCCATAAATTGAAGGGATTTGTTAGTACCTGAAATCAGAGGTCAAAATTCAGAGTCTTAAATTGTAGAGTTATTGCCTTCCCTCTTCACCTCCCACTTCAGTACTAGTAAAAAAAAAAAAAAAAGTCAGGCACTGTTAAGAGGTTTTTGAATCACTTGCTGACTCCGTCAGTACATTTTTTATTATTGTGTACAGATTATTCAACAAGCTTTTGAAGGTATATTTCTTGCCTTTTTTTGTGTTTTTTTTGCAGCCTAGTATGTTAAGGTCTCCAAAAGCATCAGGCAAAGTAAAAAGATTTAGACTAGTGTGTACGAATAATAAAGGTATTTCATTTCTTTAATAACATATCAGTCATTAATGAGATTTTCTCAAGAAGTTTAAAATGAAGTGAGCCAATGGCAAAGGAAACATGAGTGCTATGTCTTGTGTCACATTTTGAACATGAATGATGAGATGCTTAATATGGGCACTATTAAACAAGGTAGATGCAAGCACACATTGAGTCACGGGTTATATGACAAGTTCAGAGTAAAGGAGCTGCATCACTGTTTGTCAGGGTACTGGTGCATAATATATCGAAGTATATATGAATATACATGCAGAGAAAATAAAGTCTGTGAAAGGTTGAATGGAAATTCTACCTCTGTAAAACAAACTGCAGTGCATGCACGTAACATCTGTCACAAAGGGACCTAAGAGTGATGGAAAATCATACAGAACTAATGAAAATCAAACACTAACTTTCCTCTGTACACCCCACTTCCAGTACGGGTGTATAACCAGGAGAGAGAACAGTGGCAAGCGAAGCCATGCATGGTAATGACCCAGCACCCACCTTCTAATCACAATCTATTCTCTATTGCTGATTCACTTAGTGATTGTGAACAATACCTAATCACAACCCATTGTCCTCTCAGCTCAACCTCTGTGTAAGATATCTCCTGTAAGAACCCACTTTGGCATGTTAATCATAAGTTTTTGGACACAGATTATCCAGAGCTCTGCTCTCATTGCCTGCCCTGGACTCTTTGATGACTTTACAGTGCTGCACCAACTCTCAACAAACGCACAGCTGGATCCTCCCCACCAGAGAGAACAGAAACCATGCTCTTCTAGCCTCACTGATCTTTAAAGTTGAAGAAACTGAATCGAGAAATGCAGAACTTTCTCTCTTTCATCATACCTTTTTACTTTATTTTAATGTAATGATAAATTTTAAAGCAACCAACATCCAAAGCACTGCTGGGTACCTTGGCCAGGACAGGAAAGATAAATGACAGTTTCTAATTAGAGTTTGGATTCTTGAGCCACTGTCATGGGCTGGAGAGAGAGTGTGTGAGGGCACTGATAATTAGGTTAGTCATGCAACTGCTGATTTTTGTATCTATGAAGTCTAGGAATGAAATATATTTTATAGCCAAGGAATTTACAAGTTCAATGGACTACATATAATTTTGGAAACTTTAGTTGGTTTTGCGCTTAATGCTCTTCTCTCACAATCAATACTCCTATTCTTACAAAGCTCTTTTTGTTGGAGCATTTGTTAGGTAAATATATTTCTAACATGGATTTTTAGACCTTTGTGGTTCATTTTATTACTGAGAAAAGCAGCAAAATTGAAGAATGTGGCTCTTGCACAGTCCTTGAGCTGTGCTTCTCGGTTCTGTTGTGTTGCATGTGTAATCTTACACAGACTGTATGCTGCAGTAAGGGGCTACAGTGATAGGAGATTCAATTCTAAATTGATTTCTCTAAGTATAAAAAAATTTCTCGGGTTTGCTTTTATGTAGCCTCTCTGTGATGTCTGGTTTTGGGAGGGGAAGCTTATGTACCACTTGAGGGTGGAGTAGGGACTGTAGTTAGCTGATATACTGCAAGGCAAATCTGATGTTTCTGCAGACACAAGCCATTTTCTAATTCCCATATGATCAGCATATTTGGCTTTAGTTATAATTACTCCTGTATTTAGGGAGTTAATACTGTGTAATCAGAGAACTGAAGAATAGTTGTGATGTAATTTGCTGCAGCTGGAGAAATTATAGTCAATGCATGGGAGTTACTGATGTCGCTACAGCATTGCAGATGATGTGTGTCGTGAGAACTGGAACTGGTGCAGTTGTTGCAGTACTGCAGAAATGTCCGAGCTGCGGAAATGGATGCAGTGTGCACATTGTTGCTGAGATGTCATAATTATGGGAAGTGATGTAGTTGACTTTTTTTTTTTAAGTACAAGTGTCCTGTCTATTAAATAGTGATCAATGCATTGTAATTGTTGCTTTCAGTCTCTTGAAATTGATATTGTGAACACATGAACAGGGTGACAGTTCAATTTCTGATTTGATGAGATCAGTGTATAGCTGAAGACAGCAATCTTTTTTGTCAATATCCATGTCTTCACACACTTTAAACATGATGCTTTTTACCTGTGACACTGAGCATGGCCTGGTGATGGGAATGGATGTGGTTAGTGTGTCTCACCATATCCATATTAGCAGAAATGTCATCTTAAAGGAGTTAGCCTGATGAAGTGGTATTTGCAGATTGTATATAGTCCAGTAGTCTTGCCTCACGTATCACCAAGAAGGGCTGTAATTTCCTCAGAGCCAACAACTTTGTGACATTTTCTGTGGTTGAGATGACATCTTCTAAAAGTCATCAACAAAGTCTTTTGCTATAGCCATTTTCATCTTTAAATATATGACTCAGTGGCCTGTAACAATTTTAATCTTATTACTAATAGTTTCATTTATGGTAGACCATACATAAAGTTTACTGCAATGTTAGAAGGAATTACCAAAATCTGGTACTGGTGGGTGGATGGATGGATGGATGGATGGATGGATCAGTGATGAGGTGTAGGTTATGTCCTTCTCTCAATCATGCATCCTCTAACTGTCAGAGATTTTGAAATTATCCTGATGGTTGTTGTAAGCAAGAGAGTATTTGTTGAGGCATCCGGATAGTCTTGTGACTTTGCCAATAAGTTATTTATTGTGGAGATATAAACCTTTTACTTTCATTGCTTACAATTTAAGAAACCTTTAATGAAAATAAGTTATGTTTTCCACCACTGCTGCTTAGCAATAGTATTTCAGACTTAAATATAGACTTTAATGTATTAGATTACCTCCTTTCATGGGAATGTAAATCTTTCACTGCAATATGGTCCTGGATGTCTTGCAGCTATCTCCTCTAACACATTTTCCCTCACACCATGTGTCAAGAGGTTTAATGTTTCATTAACTCCCACAGCATTATGGTCTATTTAAGTTACAGAGCTGCCTTATGTTTTGTGTACCGTTGGGGAGCTGATTGGAATAATTCACTCCTACGCTTTATTTAGAAATGACAGTAATAATGTACAAAAAAAAAAAAAAGATGTTCATGCTGTATCTTCTCATCCTTATTATTCATGAAAGATTCTCAAAAATCAAGAACACTTCTTCATGATTTTGCTAACCTCTATCTAGCTAGTTGAATTTAGAATTTAATAATTTGCGTATAGTCTGTGACATTTGGAATTAAGAAACGGCTCATGTTTCCTGTTATGCAGAAAAAAAAAAAAAAAGGAGTTGGGAAGATTTTATGAGCTTACTGAGATTTTGGTGCAAATGTAGAACTAAATTAACTTGTGAATTCTAAAAGAAACGTAAGAAACCAGAGCATGGTTCTGTGTATAACACTGCTTTGTTAATACAGCAGTCATAGACCCTGAACAATTAGTGACAACCGTTATCTAATTTGTGTACTGTAAACCCTTCAGAGTGACATTACTTTGCCAGTGCTTCAGAAAGAGCTTTTAATTAGGATATAGTTCCATAGTGTCTTCAGTAATAATTGCAAGACTTGTATCAGACATATGGAAGAGTTCAGTAGAACTTTTAACAGACTGTTAACGGACTAAATTAAGTCAAAAGATTTATTTCTTCCTGTTGCTTTCTACGTCACTGATGAGTGTAGTTGTGATCAAACTTTTTCCAGGTTAGATTGCAATCTGTGTGTGTTTAGTGACTGTTCTTGAAAGTCTGAGATTCCAACACATTGATAAAACTCTTTAATTCAGGCTGTAAGATGTAGTTTTTACTTTTTTGTGTCTCTGTGTGTGTGTTTGAGATTTTTTTATTAATGGACTCTGGATCACCCACTTCCATCTGTTTGCCTTTGTGATGCTGAGTACTCTGTCATCAGAAGCCGTTGCTATGTGCTTCTCCTCTGCTCATCTAGATAATAAACTTGATATGAAGCCCAGTATTTTGCATTTCATACACAGAATAGTATTTAATGTATAAATTGCACTAGAACCTGGAAACATTTGTTAGAATACAGCTACCATTAGGAATGAGGGTAGCTGAACATGATGCACGTGTACAGAGGCAAGGTCACTTCTTCCAAGAATCTGTAGCGTTGGGTGGCAGAAGCTACTCTTTCTGCAGTAAGATCTGACCTGCAGATTACCTTAATGGAAGTAATTTGATCAAAACTCAATTACGCTTGCAAAATATTATTTAACGTATTTGCTAGCATACTTTGAAGTATGAGTGTAAATAACTAAAAGTAAATAACAGTTGTCCTTGCTTTTGCACTGTTTACTTTGCAGAATACTAAATTTTTCAAATTAACAGAGTCTTTGCATCATTAGTGTGAATTAATGAGATTCTACTGTAGCTGATTTTTTGTTGCAATTCCTTCCTTAGGAATTGCAATTGGAGTGATAACAGCTGGTTAAAACTCCTGGGTGTAGATTTCTTCCTTGTTAATGATCTGTTCACTAATGATTTAGTATCTCTTGAGAGTTCCTTTAGCTGTGGCACTTTTTTTGTTCTTCCTTTCAGTTGAAGAACAAAACTGAGAGAAGCAACAGGGCCTACTGTTCCTCTCAAACAGAGGCAGAATATGTCTGTCATTAATACATTTAAATTTGCTATAGATATCTCAGTTATTTTCTCTTCTGGGACTGCTGATATCTTAGATATTTTTATGTATTAAGTGCAAGCAAATACTCCTTTAAATAGCTGCATTTTTTGCCTCCCGCTGAAAAAGTGGCTGTGTGGTTGTTTTGGAATGAAAAAAGTCTTGGGAAATTAGTGGATCCTTACTGAGAATGTAGCATAAGAGTCTGAATTTATTCTAATAATAATAATAATATACTTTCTGTGAGCAAGACTGCAGGTAAATAATTTTCTTTTCTTTGCACAAGTGAAGAAGCAGCTTGTAGTGACCCAGCTGAGTGTGCAGAAAGCTGACTCAATGAGTGCGTGTCTGACACATTCATCCTTTATTTGTTGACTCAGTACGGTCCTTTTTGTTCAGAAATGGAATAGAATTTGCAGGAACCCGTCCCCCAGAGAGACCCAATTTTATCCAGAACGCACGGGACTTGGGACAATGTAAAACGTGTGCTTGGAGCTTGGGCTTGTCTGCTCTCCCTTCTCTCCCTTGCCCTCCTCTGAAGCAGCTACCTGCCTGGTTGTTCCTGGGTTGTTGATTTGTAAACGTTGGAAGTGAGGATGCTTGGGGTAGGGGAGAAGCTTTTTAGACTGTGATAAAAATGATAAACCACTGTTTAGATAAGTGACTCACTTATGGTAGGTAACTAGTGAAACAGTATATGCCTCCTTTAATAATGGCTGTTTTTAAGTATCATGAATAATTTCCAGATTCATATGAGGCTTTGGAGGTGGGCAGTCCTGTTCAGCAAATGCTGATTTCTACTTAATTTACATTTTCTTCAGGACACAGGTATACACATAGTTATAGACATGGAAACTTAAAAATTACATTGTAAGCTTAGTATGTTCTTGTTTTAATTTAGGTAAATAAAGAAGCTGAATATGAAAAGCTGATCCTTGCTTTAAGAAAGGAACAACATATTTATTCTACGCTAGTGAAGACCTTCAAAGAATCGGATAGGTAAGTACTTTTTCTATTTTGGTGGATAATCTAAACTGAAAGGGCAAAAGACAGAAATTGTGAAAAAAGGTGCAGCTTAACTGGAGTGCTGATTATTTTGTACCGGCCAATTGTTTACAAGTCATAAACTAGCTGTAGTGGTCTCCTTAAAAGATAATATAAACTCACTTACAAAAATATTTATCTAAATTACTTAAACATTTCAGAAATATTTTTAGTTTGGATTGAAATCTTAGATGAACCAGATTTCCACATAGGTACCAAAGTAAGCAGCTAGATTTTCAGGAGTTACGTGTCTTGTGTTGAAATATAGGGGAAAAATTAAATTGCAGTGAACTTTTAGGTGCTGAAAAATTTGCCATGGTTTACTTCTAAAATACAGATACTGCTTATCTTAAAAGTGACACTGTGAGAATTTTGATGAGAATATAAGCCAGTAAGATTTTGGAGAAGGTTAAACAAAACAGAATAATTGAAGTTTGCATAGTATGCTTTCAATGTAAAGCATTCAGAAGCATGGCAGAGCAAGTGTTTTTTAACCTTTTAAAATCAAAGAACACAACATGTTAGAAAGAAATCTGTGGCCTACTTTGTATCCTATTACTGCTTGGCAGTTGAGAAGGAGCTGTTATGAGAAAATAAAGAAAATTCTTAGCCTTTAGGCAAAATAAATGTTTTATAAAAAATTTACTTCTGTGGTTATAATTACAAATATCTTAATTAGGTATTGACATCATTTCAGAGCCAGCTCCTGACTCTTCCTGCCTGAAGGCAATGGCGTATACCTGCCAACTTTGTGGGAATATGTGTTTGTATTTTGCGGTTGGTTTATAGACCTCTATAGTTGGGAAACCATCAAATGAATAGCACTAGAGTATATGAGGTCTGGTATTTGAATTAAGCGCATTAACAGTAATGACATCTTGTCCTTGGCCACAGCTCCGAAGCTGTTTTAGACACTAGAATATTTTTAATTAGGAAGAGTGATAGAAGTCAGATTATGGAGATTATTTCTTATCTCTGGGATAAAAAAAGCAATGGCTTTTCTGACTTCTCTGTTGAACAATCGCCAAATGAAGGAAAAAACCAGTTTATTTAAATATTTCACATGGAGGGTGTGACCTGACATTGAAACACGTTCTGTGGGTAAGGCGATTGTCAACACTGTATAGTAGTAACAACAAAGTAACATAGCTCTGATACTAGTTTTGCTTAAAATAACTTTCAAATGAGGAAAATTTTAACTGTAGTTATAATCATTAGGTTAATAGGAGTTTTGCAGTTAATTTCTGTATGATCAGGATCATTAGTTCTGTTTGCCTGATAGGGAGTTACAGCATGCACAGAGTGCACATGTTATGCAGCGATTTGAAGAGGATGCTCAGTGATTCAACAGTAGAACTGGAAGTTGGAGGCAGGTCTTCCTATTTCTTCTCCTTGTAGTTTTGTGGGCTGAGATGTGTTGTAAATCTTATCAAGGAAGATTTGAACCCCCAGAGTTCTAGGGAGCTGATAAACAAGCTCTGCAAATAAATTCAGCTTCCTCATTTGTGTAATTGCCATCAGCACTGACATAAATTTTAGACAAACCTCTGTTTTCTTGCTGGCATATCTTCTTTTAGGCATTATTTACTTTAAGCAACCGGGATGGTTATTTTTCAAAATAAGCTACTGAATGTCAGGACCAAGACATTTCTTGTGTCTCCATGCAGGGAATCAATGCTTTTTCTTATAAAACCTTTAACTCATGAAAAGGAGAAAATATGCTTACTTAGCTTCTAGTAATGTGTTGGTTTGGTTTTATTCTTAATTTTTTGTTGAGCACTTAAGACAGCTTTCTCTTCCAAGATACTCTTGAACGAGAGAGAATTGGTTAAAGCAATCGTCTCTTGCGTAGGGAACACTGACAGCAGCACATTTGTCAGAAGACAGTCTTTTCATACATTCTGCCTTTTAATTAATGTGTTTTTATGGCATGCTGTTATTCTCATGCAAGTATGATGTGCTGTATGTTCCTGTATAGTCTCCTGTAAGATGGATTGAAATGTTTTTTTAAGATGCCTGAACTCTCTGGCATTTAGTGCAGTGAATTGGAAATTCTACAGCAGCTTAATTTATCTTAAAACACTGAGGTTCTAAGTGAAGGAAAAGTGGAAATAAATAATATGAGTTCTCTAGCACCTTGTTATTTATTTATTATTAAATGCAATTTATTTAATTTTATTACAATTTCAGTTTTTAGTATACTTAAGTCTTTACGAACGGACCAAAACTGTCTTGTCAATGTTGTTGAAGGGTATGGGGAAGATCTAGCCAGGGACAGCTAGAGCTGCTGACACCGTGAGGCCTGAGGGACAGTGACTGATGCTAAAGTAAGAGCTTCAGTGGTCACCTTGTAAGAAAGCTGCTTAAAGAATTAATTCATCTTGACAAATTATCATTTGTAAGTTTTGGTGTTTACCCGTTGAGATAATTGAGACAATTTAGACCTTAAAAGGTCTTTTTACAGATTGTCGGATAAATGAAGAAATAAAACAGTTGTGTTTGGGTCATATTTTCAATGAAATATGATTTTTAATTTTTTTTTCTTACGTGGAGCATTAGATTATATAGTATAGCTCTGTAGCAAGGGAACAAAGTTTCCATGGTCACCATATAATGGAATACACAGAGCCATCAGTATTAGGTGATAATGATATTTTTCTGGCATACTTTTCAGAAGTTAGTAATTTTGATTTTCCTTAAAAAGAATGACACAGAAGTTGGCTAGTAGAATAGATCTGTCATGTTTAATCTCATTTACAAGCAGCACAGCTCAACACAGCAAGAAAAGGCTGTATACGTAAATGTTTAGTCTCGTCTTTCTAAGCAGGGATTTGTTTGTGCTTATGTATCAAAATGATGTAACTGTGTGATGAAAACCCACGATGGCTAATGTGAAATGGGCTCTTTGTGGAAGCCCGGATGTATAAAAGATGCTGAGGTGCACAACAAAACGTTTTGAATTGAATCTTGAAGATTTTTTCTCCTTTTTTAAGTATAAATAGCTTGCAAACGGAACTAAACAACATTTTCATGTTGCGAAAACAACTAGAAGAAGATGTTTTAGCTAATCGGAATCTACAGAAGGTCTTAGAAGATCAGATTAAGGACATTAAAAACCGACCAGGTCTGTATCTGTGTGCAGCCCATCCCTTTTCTTGATCATCTTGCACAAAGGAAAACTGGTTTTATTACTCACAGTTTGCTGTGATGGTGAAAAAACATTTGAGAGTAGAAAAAGTTATGAAAAGACTTCTTTTCAGCTTTCTATACTGAAAATTATTTGGGGGATTTGTAACAGAATGTCTGAGCAATCGGGGCATATACAGAGGGACAGCTTTTCTCTTTCCATGCAGCAAATGTTAGTAATTCTATGGCAATTCTACTGCAGTGATCATTTCAAGCTGCCTACAATTTTGTACCCATAGAATTTACTGTTTTCTGCAGAAGTCAGAGATTCCTGGCTTTGAATAATCTGTGTCCATGGGATCACTCTCTGACCATGGAATGTAATTATTTCACAATACTTTGGTAAAGACCTTCTGTCTCAGGAAATGGCTAGACTTATCCTAACGAAAGTATTTCAGAGAAAGAAAAAATAACCAGAGGCTTTGTTATTTTGTAATTCAGAAATAGTAGAGCTTTTAAACATAACTTACCTTCTAGCTTTTTTATTCTGCTTCTTTGGAGGTGTTTTTAGTATGTACTTTGATACAGTAAAGAGCAATGTAAGTGGACATTGTTAAATATAGTTTACTGCATATGTATGCATGTATCTGTTTTATTCCATAGGGGATATATAAATAACAATAAAGCCTGTTCACTTACCCCTTTCAACATAGATTTCCAATTTTAGCATCACTCCCTTGACAGCTATGATAACTGACAAAAGGTAAACTGCTGCCGTGTCAGTTTCCAACCTCCAAAGCACAAAGATGATGAACAACCAGGGTAGGCCAAAGGGTTTTTTGTGTATATTCCTGGGTTCTCAAGAGCAGTTGTGTTGAGGGAGAGGCTGCTAGGAATGAAGACTCTGAAAATTAGTGAATTTGTGAAGCTTTGGGTCCTCACAGCAGCCATGTGATCAGTGTCAGAGCTGGGAGTAGGATTTGGATGTCTCTTCTTTCTCCTAATTTAGATATGCTTTCTCCCTATCTAATGAGATAGATATATATAGAATTAACTGTCATCTATACTGTAAATGAACAGGTGCTTATTGAAACATAACAAAGAATTCCTGCAGTTACAGAGGAAGTGAATAAGTAGTTATTTTCAATTCAATTAATGCAATCTTTTGACCCAAAAGCAAAATAAATTCAATAACTTTGTCTAACCCAGCTTTTTGCCTTGAGACCTTGAGTACATGTTCATAAAAATATAGTTAAAACAGAATAATTATTCATGCCTTACTTATCCTTCCTAAAAATTATTTCTAATTGTAATGCTAAATATGCAAATGATAATTCAGAATTCCATTCACAACTCATGCTGATAACCACAGAAAATACAAGCACAGAAAATTCAGCATGTCTGTGTGTCAGAAGCACAAAGAAATACGAGGACAAAATTTGTTCAGTTAAACAGAAATCTTATTTTGGGGGGGATGAAGCATTTTAACTGTCCTCCCACAGATTTACTAGTAGGTTCTTATTGAAAAAGTTCTGTCTTAGAACTTTAAGCGGTGTTTTCCTGCAAATAGAGTTTCTGAAATAATTCCTGTCCTTGATTATTTTGACAGATGAGACACTATCTTTCTGTGGAGATCAAACATCTTATATGAGTATCTGTTTAGGAGAGCAAGATCATTTAAGCCTACAGATAGACCATCTGTCTCTTGAAGAACTTAAGAAAAAGGTACTGATCTTTTTTATTATTTGCTGTTTCTAATAGGTTGAATCTGCTTTGTTTCTAGTTTGTGTGTCTTTCACAAAAAGGTTTATTTAGATACAATTGGGTAGTTCTGAAAGGATTTGAAATTCTTATCTCTGTGGTTTGTGATCCACCTTTTATGAACTATTTAGTCTTTGTTATACCGCATGAGCTTCAGAATCAGCTGAAATGCAGGTGGCTTGCTGCAAAGGTTTTATGGTAGTTAGACACCTGGATTCAAATTACAGACTCAATACTGTATTTTAGTCATCATGAAGTATACCAAGTCCAAATAAAAGTTTTTGCATTAAGTATCCTACAATGTACATTTTATGTACCTATGTTAATCAGGAAGATGGTAGTGGTGTCTCTGACTTATGCTTCTGTATAACACACTCCATCCCAGGATTTGCAAATCTTTTGGGAAATATGGCATGTTAGAGAATAACCCTGAGGTAGGGTAATGTTGTCTCCATTCTACAAAAGGAGAACTGAAATTCACAGGGGTTAAATGTGCAGACCATTGTCCTACAGTAAATCAGTATTGGAGTTCAGAAACTTGTTCTTCTGACTCCTTATCCTGTGCAGTGACCTCTGATCCATGCACCGGTTTATGATATGGAATTACTTTGAATATGTTTGTTTGGGAATGAACATAAGTGAAGTTTTATATTTCTCACGGCCAGCTGAATTGTAGGCAGGTGTTCAAAATCTGGAGGTGGGTAATCTGAAGGAAAGAAGTTTGCCTTATGCTGAACAGGTGTCAATAAAAAAAGCCCCAGACTGTGTCCCAGTCCCATTCTGGGGTTATACCGCTTTTATCTCTGATCATATTATCTTCCGTAGGTTCAGGGATACTCATTAGCAAAAGATGTTTATAAACCATTTCTTACTTGAAAAAGGGTTTGTATGCCTGAAAGCTGCTCTGTTTTTTTAGAAATATATTAATTGGTCTAATAAAAATATTTCACTTTCTTCTGCAAACATCTCCTTCTTGATAAACTTACGTGAGTCTGTGACAGTAATGTCTGTTCAAGAGTTTTGCACGTGACTGTCCTTTCAGATTTTGTATCTGTGAAGCTACTCAGAATGATAGTGGCTTATAAAGGGTCTTTAAAATAAAACAGGTCGTTTCTGAATGCTACTATTTCCCTGTAACGCTCGTTTCCCTTGCACTAAAACGTTTCTTCTCAAATCAGCCTGTTGGTGTGAGGTGCCCTCAGGTTTCTTCTTGCTACTGAGTTGTGAAACTTGATAGGTCACCTTAATAACATGGCTGGAAACTACAGTCTTACAGGTTAAGATTTCTTGAACACTCACAAACATAATCATGTTTTCATACATAGGGAGATTGTCTCGTGAGCAGATACAGAAACCCAGGCTTTCCAGCTGTGGGGTTTAAATTTAACTGGAGATTTATATATCATCATTTGTGTTCATACTAGTATGGATGTTACCAGTTTTCCTTGTTCTTCCTTTGTTTATTTAGGTTACAGAACTTCTCTTGATGGTTAAGGATCTTCAGTCAATTAATCAAGAACTTAAGAAAAAACAGCTTGCACTTTGTACAACAGATTCTCAAGGGAAGGAAGCACTAAAAATATTAAACCACAGTGAGGTAGGTTTTCTGTGTTTAAGTAGTGGTGGATCTGATTCTCACATTTAATATACCTTATGGAGTCATTTACATCTGTGCCGAATGAGTGTAAACCCCTTGGGGCTTAGCTTGCTAATTCCTTATAATAACTTTTTAAATTAATGATGTAAACAACTTTAAGATGTTAGCACAACAGAGAATCAGCTCAATGCAAGTGTTCAGTGATGTGTCAAGTTGATTTTAAGGTAATAACATCCACATTAAAATACTAATTTGGACTGTGATCCATTTGTTTTGTCAATTGAAAGGGGAGGAAATAGTTAATTTTACAAAGAAACCAATATCTTATATAACATTTTAGTTATATACTAAATATGTCTCTGCAGTTCAAGAGTCATTCTCACGCTGTGTCTAATTCTGTAAGAGCTTAGTTTGTATCTCCTCTGCATCTGCAGAACAACTAGAGCTCACTGTAGCCAAAAAAGAGAGAACAGCGCTACAGGTCACTTAAACACATGGTTGTAATTTCATATAGAATGTAGAAGTGTATGAAGAAGTGGCCAGCATTGTGGTAGATTGCTGAGAGGTGCAAGGAAGTAATTGTTGCTGGTGTTTCAGTCTTTTGCCCAAAGCTAAGACTGTTTTTAGCTGTGGGCAAGAAGAGGTCTTGGCAAAATACTTCCACTGAGAAACATTTCGGGTGCTGGGTCCCCATGTGTCACCTTATGTGTGAATGATGAGGGATGTTGTCGTGGTTTGAGCCTGGTCAGCAGCCAGACACCACACAGCCACTCTCTCCCCCTTCTCTTCCGACAATGAGAAGGGACAGAGAGCCAGGCTTGGGGTTGGAGATAGGACCGGGAGGGGCAGATCACCCATTATGGGCACGAGCAAAAGGCAGACTCGTTAGGGGAAGAAAAAAAGAACAGACATTTATTACAGACACTAACAACACTTAACAGAGTAGGACAGTGAGAAGCATTGCCACATCTTGAGAACACCTTCCCCCCACCCCTCCCTTCTTCCCGGGCTCAGCTCTGCTCCCAATATCTCTACCTCCTCCCCCACTGGCGCAGGGGCAGGGAATGGGGGGTGCAGTCAGTGCTGCCGCTTCTTCCATCTTCCGTTCGTACCACTTCTCCATCTGCATGGAAATGGCCTCAAAGAAGTACTGTGTTATCTCCAGGGCCTGGGAGGTGACTCTGAGCAGAGGGACTGGTGGCTGTCCTGCAGGCAGGGCGGAGGGCTGCTCCTGGCTCTGATGTGCCCCTGCATGGTGCCCACGCCGGAGCAGCTCAGGAAGGGCTGCAGCTCATGGGAGGGACTCCAGTTGGAGAAAGTTGGTGTCCCACGCTGAAGCAGTGTAAGGAAATGCTGCAGCACATGAGAGGGACTCATGTCAGAGAAAGTTTGTGGAGGACTGTCTACTGTGAGGGGTACCACGATGGAGCAGGGGGAAGAAGTTCCAGAAGCTCCCCCCACCAAAGATGGAAGAAGCGGCAGCACTGCCTGCACCCCCCATTCCCTGCCCCTGCGCCAGTGGGGGAGGAGGTAGAGATATTGGGAGCAGAGCTGAGCCCGGGAAGAAGGGAGGGGTGGGGGGAAGGTGTTCTCAAGATGTGGCAATGCTTCTCACTGTCCTACTCTGTTAAGTGTTGTTAGTGTCTGTAATAAATGTCTGTTCTTTTTTTCTTCCCCTAACGAGTCTGCCTTTTGCTCGTGCCCATAATGGGTGATCTGCCCCTCCCGGTCCTATTTCCAACCCCAAGCCTGGCTCTCTGTCCCTTCTCATTGTCGGAAGAGAAGGGGGAGAGGGTGGCTGTGTGGTGTCTGGCTGCTGACCAGGCTCAAACCACAATAGATGTTCAGGGGATTCTGGTAGATTCCTGTGAACTTCCTAGCTTGTTACAAAGTATTACTTGAAATGTGGCTGGTAGTACTTTTCTGTATATTCTGTTGTGGTTTTTCTTTCAGTTACATTTTTGTTGTGCACAACATATTGAATAGGAAAGAAAAAATACAAAAAGAAATAATGATGGTGCTAGTATTTTGTGTCTTGAATTTCTGAATTAAACTCCAAAGAACAGAAAATTGGGAATAGTTTGAATCAGTTACATGTAGGGATTGCCTAATTCAAGAACGGGGACAGTGTATTGATGATTTTTCTGCAGACCTCTGTAAAAAGGGTCATGTCTTTTACTGTATGTGCTGCAGATGCACTGGGAGCAATTGTCAAAAGTCACAAAATATTCTTGCTTTTTCAGTTTTAAGACGTACTCATGCAATGTTTAATTGAAATATGTTTTGAATTATTGATTGACCTTTAGGGGTGCTGCAGGTTTTATTAAAACAATGAATGTACAATGTTACTGTAATAGGTTTGCATGAAAAGCTTGTAGATAATCTGTTTCAGAGTGCGTGCACTTTCTATAGATTAATATTTTTAGCAGTTTGGCTCATCATCCTGCAGAGGGTGCTGCACCCCCACAGATGCTGCAGTTTGCACAGGACACGAATTCCTTTGGTATTATCGTTATAAGATACTGTGTGCTCCTGCATTTGTCTCAGCATGAAAAGTTCCTATAGGGCTACTTACTTAAGAAGCTGTCGGCACGGAATTAGATGTAGAATGACAAAGAGTGAAGCTTATAAAATATAAATAAACCTCAAAATTCTGGTAAAGGAAATAAGAAATTAAAATACAGTATTTTGACCTGTGCCAGAATGATAATAGTATTATGAAGCTCAAAAGTGAAAGGATCTATAATTAAAAGTTTTTAGTTGAAAAGGTACCATTTTATCAGTCTTGAGCAATAAATGGTAACCTGGATTTCAGGTTATGAATTGTGACAACAGCACGTTTTGCATATTAATAACCATTGTCAAAAAACCCTAAGTTCTATTTTTTTGTGTGTGTTTTGGGATAGAATTTGTTGACAGGTAGTGCTGAGATGATGCTAACATATGTGCTATATGAGGAATTCGGTCAGACACAAGAAGTTACATCCTTCTCAGATCCTTAAAATGAACCCATCTTCCTTTACAAAGCTGGAGCACAGATCAGTTAAATCTGCATGTTGGTGCCTCTGCAGGGCATCTCCCAAAGGGCTGATAGCTCCAGCCCCTCGTATTCTATTTCTTGGCTTCATGTTCAGAAGGGCGGGAGAAGGAGGAGAGGGGAAGGTTGTTTTTGTACTGTCCTCTGAACATCTGCTTTCTCTGAGAGAAGCAGCCTCAGTGATTTCAGCCTTCAGGGCTCCAGGGATCTTTGCAAACCAAGCATAGCAGTGGTTCATTTAGGAAAAACATTCTCAAGGTTTTCAGTCTCTTAGGAAATACTTTAAACAGGCAGCTTATTCTTGGTAGACTTTTTTTTCTGGCCTTGAGACACTTATTTTCTTCTGATATTTTGTTGAACATTAGGTTGTGTTCCTTGAAGCACAGGAAGTTTCTTTTCAGCCTCTCAGACATGGGACCATAGGACCAGGCTCAAACTGCAGTCATTTGTTCTAACAGTGTGCTATAACCTGTTGATCTTATGTAATAGTTTTATTCTAAGAATCATCACTTACTAAACCAAACACTAGCCTGGGAAAAGCATATACTAAAAAATGTTGAGTCATAAAAGGTGGTAATTGGGTGGATAAGTTATATGTGCAAATAAGTTTACTTTTAACACACAAATACAGGGTTTGTCCTGAATCTACACATGGAAGATTAAACCTTAAAAGTTTTTTTTTTTTTATAACAGCTAACATTATTGGACTTTTGGCACCCTATGATTACAATGAAAAGATCTTTTTATGATACATGCCTTTGCTATATACCACAATCCTATCTGTGTCTTCCAGTTTTCAGATTGTCTTTACTTTGTGTTGTCCTAGAAAACAGAGTCTGAGTGAAAATACCAAAATAACTCAAACATGACTTGGAAGTTAGTTTTCAATATGGATTTCTAATAGTAAAGGGCAAATATATTAATATGTTGCACCATCTGGTTTATCTTTTAAAATTCATACTTAAAAACATCAGAGTTGCTTATACTGCTAGGGATTGGAAGATAAAAAGGTTTTTTTTCATTTCTTTCATATACATGTGTGTATATATATATATGCATACATTCTATGCATACTCAAAATTCAAAACTCCACATATGCATTCAATTCCCAGGGTTCTTGAGAAGCAAAAATAATGCTCCTTGCAGAATCTTGTTTGTCTGCGATTGGACTTGACATGCTGTGAGTGGAGACTTTCCAGCACATGATACTGGGGCAGCAGGTTTCTCTTTTCATGCCATAAGTTTCAGTGCTGTGCTGTACATCCATCAAAGCTATAAATATCACATCCACGACCCCTAGACACCAGTTTCTTTCCTTCTAGTCCATCATCTGAGTCTGTACCTATAATCTCAATTTTCTGTAACTATGCTTAAAATTCTGCTTTCCTTGTCTTAAGGTAGTTTTTCTTTAGCCCAAGTGACACCAAAATATGACTGTTACACAGAGCAGTACTATATTATTGCCACAAGTGCTTTAAGACTAAGATTTTTATCCGACGCAGATTTGAATCCTTTGTGTCAGTGCTATATCCTACCTATGGTTTAGGCATATTAGGCATCGCACTGTTGATATTTACCATTGCTTTTGCATGTTTCTACTATTTAATGAGATTTTAGCAGCGAAGATCTTAAATGACTATAATCTTCTATTAGATTGGGAAGTGTTCCTATAAACCAAGATGATATAAATGTCCAGTCTGGTCTTATCACAGGGGAGTGGTGGAATGTGGTAACTGCAGGTCACTCGTGGTGGATCCCAAAGTGGGATGAAAGATTGTCCTTGTACTCGGGTTTTTGTCTGACAGGCAGAATGTGGCTACTGAATAATTCTTTTTAAAAAAGAGATTTCCCTATGATCAGTATTAAACTAACATAGGCAAAGCTACATTCTCTCCTCATCTCCTGAGCAAATTGAGTAAAGGAACTTGTAAGTGAAGTGAAAATACTCTCTGTGCACCATGTATAAATGAAGCTTGCTCAGTAGTGAGGGGTCTTTGCTGCTGTTAAGAGAGGAGCAACGTGTGCGTCTTGACCCTTGCTTGCAGAGCTATTGCTGGGATGTAACATCCAGCAAACCCAAGGGGTTTTGGCCTTACTGTCAGTAATGCTGATGGCAGGAACTTGAGTTTTGCTACCAAAAGCAGAGTCTTCCTCCTCCTCTTTTCTCAGGAAATATTAGTGATGGGAGATAGATTGGGTCCTCTGGAAAACAGGGAGAAAAGATGATGTGTCACTGTTTGCTACAAATTGGCAAAGTTGGGCAAGACACAGCAGATTGTAACTTTCAGTGTTACAGTAAATCTTTTTAGTGTATAGCAAGCTAGATGTGCTGTGTTTTAAAAGCATCTATTTCTTGAATCCTGGGGAAGAGCCTAAGTTGTGTTGCAAATGAAAGTACATTCTGGAAGTTGGAAAATATAATAGGCACAATGAGAACGTGACTGAAGATATAGAGGTCCTTTGCCAGAAGAGTTTACAAAAAAATATAAAAATCACTTAACCTCTGAGGAGAAAGGGTTACATAAAAATGAAGGTATGTGTAAGATAAACTTTCACTGTGTTTAATATGAGTCATTCCTGGGTTTTATATTAATTTTCTTTGGTATTGTTGAAGAAATCTAATTCAGTGTTTATTACTTTGTATTACAGGTTTTTTTTATTTTTCTTTTAAGACATGTCACTGACTTATTTATGCATGTTTCATATCACAGTATTTTCGTTGTGCTACATTTTCACATCATTCCATACTTTGTGTAGTGTCTTGAAATAACAGAGGAGCCAGTGATGCTGACTGAAGGTGGTGACAATGACAGGAAGACGCAGAACAGTCAATTTTCTGAGAGGGTCAGTCAGGTAGGCCTCCGCTCTGGGTACGTTATGTTACAGTACTCTTTTCTCTGCATGCTCTTGAAGATTCTTATTTTCTTAGAACACAAAGTCTTTTGCAAACAAAGCATGGTATCTGATTTTGCTTTCAACTAATTGTTATCCTAAAGAGTTTGTGAAAGCTTTTTCCTATATTTTTCTGCTGCTAGGGTTTTGCAGTCAAGATAGTTTTCATTTCTGGTTCTTGTTTTCTCTTGTTTGAGTACTCATGATCTTCCTTAATGGGGATGACAGAAAGTCCCATGAAATTGTGTTTCTTTACATACACAAACACTGATCTTCAGCCTCTGTTGCAGCCAGACCTATAGTACAAATTGTATAAGATTCTCTTGCTGCTATGATTGAGGAAAAAATACTGTAGATCCTTCTTCAGGGTTGAAATATTTGATGTCTTGGTAACTTGACTACATTTTTATATATACAGGACTCTGCTGTTCTCTTATTCTAGCGTTCAAAAGCGATGTAACATAAAGCATCATAGAATCATAAAAAAAATGAGATTGCAAGGGACCTTAGAGAATCGTAGAGTGCGATTAAAGTTGAACCTTTCTGGCTTAAAAATTTGAATATGCTAAAATAGAACACAAAATGGGGCATTTTGATTAGTAATGTTGAAAAATAATGCTGTTCTGTTCTTTGAAATTTGTAATTTCTGTGTTTCTCTGTTTGCTAGGTATGCCTTCAGGTATCTTTGGATTTTCCTTGTGAGGTGGATAAACAGGTAAGTGTTGTGTTGTAAAGGTTCTCTTGACTCTTAAACATCTTCATCTTCTGCTGCTGATGTCTACTGATGGAAATTGTATCCAAACAGTTCCAGTCTGAATTCTCATGTGGGAAGACTTTCATTGATTTAAAAGGGGGTTGAATTACTGGAGAGATCCTGTGTAGAAACTTCCTAGGACACGTCTACACTGCTGCATATAAAAAGTTGGCAGTTTGTAAATACTTGAAGTTGCATCCTGTCCTGGCCATCAGGGTTTGCATCTGGAGATCCCAGGACAGAATTTGTACTGTAAAGACAGTTGATTCAAAGGTGAACTAATAAAAAGCTGCAATCTGCAGGCAACATTCCAGGAGTTTCATACCTCTTCATAGAGAAAGACCTTCAGGGAAATCTACTTACTACTTACTAAACAACTGATCACTATGAATTAATCATATGAAATAGATGTTAATTAGTTTTTCTATTAATAAAAAGTAAGTGAAATGTCTGTGGATGCTTCTTAATGTAGATAAAGAGCATCAGGAATTACAAAACCCGATTACAAAAAGATTACAGCCCTGAATTTAATAGAACATTACATACCTGTGTAATAAGAAAAATGTTTGCAATTTTTTAACAGATAACTCCATCAGGCTATTCAGAGAGTTTCTACAAAGATAGACATTATAGGAGTCCAAATAAGCCTCAGTTTGAACATGGTACAACTGGCAAACACTTTGGCAGAATAGGAATGGATGAACATGAAACAGAAGAAAACTTGCTCACATCTCTTTCAAGAGAAAATAGAACATCTGTACTGGAATCTACGTAAGTATGAGGGAAATGTACTGCTTTTGACAGTGTTTCTATTTGAGAAGAGAATATAGTGATTTTGCTAAAGTGAATTTAGATAATGGCACTATGTAATTTACCTGAGAGATTGGCAAGGCGCCTTCAGAGCCATTTTAGTCTATCATGCAATTAAGTAATTAGGAAACATACTATCAGTAGAAATCCTTATGAAAATCCCGTTACAAGAAAAAAACTCCAAAGTTACTGATACACGGAGCTTTACTGTAGGGACTGATTGTTTTCAGGATGGGGTCTAGCAGTGTAAAGGACTCAGACGATAATAGGTGGTACTTTTTAACAAAAAAAAATATCTGAGAGCACAGGCCAGTGAAAGGGGGTGGTGTGGTAGAGGGGATGGCACTGTACTGCTTAAAAATTAGATGTGTAAGGAACTGAGGAAGGAGGGATTGGAGTTACAGTGACTGTTTTACAGGGTTAATTTTTAATGGACATTATGCTCTGTGGCATTTGCCATTTCACCTGAACTGCCTGGACAGAGGTTTGCTCTCTGTCAACAATTTAGGAAGTCTGGGCCCATGTCCTGCAGTTGACTAGTAGGTTATTCCAGTGTAACCGCTTGTAGGACTGTGAACCAGATGAACCATCATGTAAGTACTTAGGTCACTTTTCTTGCAGGAGAAAATACTTGTGTAACTAAATCTGTATAAGCCATAGTGTAACCCGTGTTTTTCAAGTGTGTGTGTGTGTTACACTATGGTTTGATCAATTCCCAGCTGAAATGCTCATTTCCACAGGCACTAGACAATACCAAGCAAGAAAAGGGTGTATAGAGAAAACACATCCTGACTAGTTTTGTTTCCTCCAGTTTCATGTTTACACCACTTAATCTCCTGGTTGAAAACTGAATTAAAGTTTTGGTGGAGATCATCATAGGATAGAATCATAGAATGGTTTGGTTTGGAAGGGACCTTACTTTGCACAAGCCCAGGTAGATGATATCAGTTGCTCTTCCCTTATCCACAAACACTTTAAGCCCATTGTAGAAGGCCACCACATTCATCAGGCACAATTTGCCCTTTGTGAAGCCATGCTGGCTGTCACCAATCACCTCCTTATTTTCCATGTGCCCTAGCATATATTCCAGGATAATCTGCTCTGTGATCTTACTGGGCAGAGAGGTGAGACTTTCTGGCCTGTAGTTCCTTGGATCTTCCTTTTTTCCCTTTTTAAAAGTGGGGGTTATGTTTCCTCTTTTCCAGTCAGAGGAAACTGCCATGACTTCTCAGATATCATGGATAGTGCCTTAGCCACTTCATCCTCCAGTTCCCTCAAGACCCAAAGATGCATCTCACCATGGACTTGTGCACCTTCAGGTTCCTTAGATGGTCTTGAACCTGATATTCTACAGTGGGTGGTTCTTCATTCTTCCAGTCCTTGCCTTTGCCTTCTGCATCTTGGGCAGTGTGGCTGGAGCACTTGTTGGAGCATTTTTGCTGAGGCAGAAATGTTGTTGAGTGCCTCAGCCTTCTCCGTGTCCTGGGTAACCAGGTCTTCCACTTCTTTCTGGAGAGGGCCCACATTTTCCCTAGTCTTCCTTTTATCACTGACGTACCTATAGGAGCTTTTCTTGTTGCCCTTGACATCCCTGGCCAGGTTTAATTCTATCAGGGCTTTGGCTTTCCTAACCCGATTCCTGCCTACTTGGACAGTTTCTCTGTATTCCTCCCAGCCTATCTGTCCTTGCTTCCACCCTCTGTAGGCTTCCTTTTTGTATTTGAATTTGTCCAGGATCTCCTTGTTCATCCACGTAGGCCTTCAGGTGGTTTTGCCCGACTTACTCTTTGTTGGGATGCATCACTTCTGAGCTTGGAGAAGGTGATCCTTGAATATTAACCAGCATTCTTGGGCTCCTCTTCCCTCAAGGGCTTTATCCCATGGTACTTTACCAAGCAGATCCCTGAAGAGGCTAAAGTCTGCTCTCCTGAAGTTCAGGATAGTGAGTTTGCTGTGCAGCCTCCTTGCTGCCCTAAGGATCTTGAACGCCACCATTTCTTGGTCACTGCAGCCAAGGCTGCCCTTGGGCTTCACACTCCCCACCTGCTTCTCCCTTTTGGTGAGAACAAGGTCCAGCATAGCACCTCTCCTTGATGGCTCCTATATCACTCGGAGAAGGAAGTTATCATCAACACATCCCAGAAACCTCCTGGATTGCTTATGCACTGCTGTGTTGTCCCTCCAATAGATATTGGGGTGGTTGAAGTCCCCAGTGAGGACCAGGACTTGTGAGCGTGAAGCTGCTCCTGTCTGGCTGTAGAGGGCCTCATCTGCTTGGTCTTCCTGGTCGAGTGGCCTGTAGCAGACCCCCACTATAACGTCTCCTGTCCCTGCTATCCCTTTAATCCTGACCCATAAGCTCTCGGTCAGCTCCTCACCCATCCCCAGGCAGAGCTCCCTGCACTCCAGCTGGTCACTGACGTAGAAGGTGATACCCTCCTCATCATCTACCCTGCCGTCCTTCCTAAAGAGTCTGTCCCCTTCCATTCCAAACTCCAGCCATAGGAGCCATCCCACCCTGTCTCCGTGATGCCAATAAGATAGTAGCCCTGCAGGTGTGTGCATGTCTCTAGCTCCTCTTGTTTATTCTCCAGGCTGTGTGCATTTGCAGAGAGGCACTTAAGTTGGGTGCCCGATGAAGCTGACGCTCTGGCTGGAGTTCCTTTGTGCTGTTCTTCAGGTGCTCTCCTGCTGACCTGTGACCCCTCTCCAGGCTCTGAGCATCTATTGCTGGCACTGGCATCAAGCTGGTAGGAATGGGACGAATTGAGGTTCCCCTCCCCTGTCAACTTTAGTCTAAAGCCCTCTTCACCAGCTTGGCAAGCCTATGACTGAAGATGCTCTTCCCCTTCTCCGACAGACGGACCCCATCAGCCCCCAGCAGACCAGATTTCTCAAAGTGAGTCTCATAGTCTAAGTAGCTGAACCCCCGGCTTGAGGCACCAGTCCTGTAACCAGTTGTTGATTTGCTAGATTAGACTGGTCCTTTCAGAACCCTTCCCTTTGACCGGGAGGATTGATGAAAAAACTATCTGTGCTCCAGAGTCCCTTATCGCCACTCCCAGTGGCTCTGGAATCCCTTTTGATTCTCCTCAAACTGCTCCTGGTGGTATCGCTGGTGCCCATGTGAGACAACAGCAGTGGATAACAGTGGACTGTACAAGGCTTGGCAGTCCCTTGGTGACAGGAGACCCTGGTGAGCAGCACCCCTCTCTTTCGAGTGCATCAGGTCATCAGATGATGCCTCTCAGGAGTCTCCTACTACTATCACCCATCTCCTTTTCTTAGCTGCTCTGGTTGTTACACAGGGAGCAGGCCAGGCTGCCTTACTCAGCTCCAGTGTCTCTCCTGGTGCGACGGGTCTTTCCTCTTCCATCTGCAGAGTGGTGAAGCGGTTCTACAAGGGCATCTCAGGCTTCAGGGGAATCTTCCTCCTGCAGGTCTTTGCTGTTGCAAGCTTCCATTCTCCTGCATTATTGGCCCCCCCTTGCTTCCGCATGTGCCGGTGGGGGAGTTTTTGGCTGTGTGGCCCTGGGCTCTGGGCCCACTGCAGACTGTGCTTGGAACCAGCTATCTAACTGCTCCTCAGCCTCCCTGATGCTACACAGCCTCTCACCACCTCCTGCAGCTCAGCCACCTGCTGCAGGACATCATTCTCCTCCTCCTTTCCTAGTTCTCTCCACACTGTAATGGCTATGGACAGTATTACATGGCTTTTTACAGTGCCCGTCAGTGCTGTTTCTTCAGCTAGCCATAGTGTTTCTGGAGAGTAATGGCAATGACCTTCTATATACATTGTGCTCAGCAGTGCTGGTAGCAGAATGTCTTGTGGAGACACAAGTCAAATCCTGTTTTCTGTGTTCAGCATGTACTGCACTTGACTTTACTCGAGCAATTCTGTATTTTTACATTACTATTTAAAATTCTCCAACAGGCATAAATGGTCTTAGTCGTCAAAGCACTAGTTAGTGGTAAAAGAGGAGATACAACTTTCTTAGAAAATTAATAGTTAACAAATAAAACAATGTTAACTTTACTTAAAATTCTGCTAACAGTGATTCCAGCACCATCATCTTTACCACTCTAATGTGTAATCTTTTCTATGTTCGAGTATAAATGACCGGATTGACTGGTGATGAGCCTGTACTTTGTATAACTGAATTCTCACTAATGACATTAGATGCCAGAGAAAGACATAAAAAGCCTAGTTAGTTTCCACCATTTCAAATGCTAGCTATACAAATGCAGTTGTTTTAAATGCTGGTTTACATGTTTAGTGGCACAAACAGCTCTCTGGTGGATTCATGAAATCATCTGTAGAATTTGAGGGCTTGCTTATGTTTTAAATGTCTCTTATTTGGCTTCATTTTCACTTAAAATGTTGCTTTGCAGACTGTTGTCCATGGACCACTGGTTATCTGTGGGACAGTTTGGTGGTCTGTAATGAGCTGTTTTTGCAGGCTTTTGGCTGCTTTCTCAGTTTCCATCTTCCCTGTTACATTAGAAATACATGAAGGGATAGATTTTCAGGAAAACTCAACATCTAGTGTCTCCTGTGGTTTTGGTAGAATTTTATTTTTAAGGTAGTTAAATTGGAGAGTAAACTCCTGAAAATCCATTTCTAATATTGCAATGTTATGTAAGCAGTCGATTTAGTTATTGGAGGTTTAGTATCTGTTCACAAATGGGGAAAAGGGCAGTAGAGTATATATGGTCATAAATAGGAGAAAAGCATTGATAAGATAATTTGATATAACTCATGTTATACGTGAAAAGGTTTCAAAAATTCTGGTCGTTAGTAATTCATTAGTGGGTAGAACAGAATCTCCTGGGAATTTCAAATATGTCAAAACATTGCAATAGTGTTCCTTTGAAGGTATTCTTGTTTGCTTAAATAAAAATAAAAATTCATGCCTTTTCTTTCCTCCTTCCTATGTATAGCAGACAGGAACAAATGAAAAGTGTAAATGAACTGTTAGATCATCTGAATGCAACTGAGCAAGAATGTTCAAGTGAAGATATAGAGAAAAAGGATGAAAAAGATCTTAGGCAAATGATTATTCAACTAAGAGCTGAACTCAAACATTTCAAGCAGGTCAATAAATTCTTAGAGCATCAAGCAGAATTGAAATCAACTTTTGATGGGAAAGAGAAGCTTTATCCAGATGCAATGCCACAGATTAATAAGGATATTCAGTTGCTGAAAGTGGAATTGAAAGATGCAGCTACACAAACAATGACTTTAGAGAGTAATGTCATGAGATTCCAACATGAAGGCAAAAAAGGAGCCTCAGAAGAAAAAACAAAATATTCAAGATTAAATGCAGAACGAGAACATCAGCAAGAAAATGTGTGTAAGAAGGGTGAACAGCATGAAAGACTTTTTTTTACAAGGAGAACAAATGAAGTAAGTTTATTTAAGATTCTCTTTTTGGTATTTAGGGAATAGATGTATAAAAAAGAAAAATATGTTTCATTTCTAATATTAAATCTTGCTTTTATGTAATTTTTAAAATTAGAAAAAGAGATGTAAGCCAAATATATATTAGATAATTGTTCTTAGTGTTCAGAGCTTTTCATCACATACTTCAGTGTGCATTTAGAACATTAATTAATTGAATTTCAATCCTCACCGGGACCAGATACTAGTAAATATTGTAGCTTTTGGAAAAAGAGATAGGTTGTAGCACAATGGTCTGATTCTGTACTACCTCAACTCTGAATAGATATTCGTAACCTGCAGAACCAGAGCATTCTGAACTGGTAGCTTATTAAGTCTAAATGTCAAATGCATTCTAAAAAATTGAAGACTTGCGTAATGTCTGAGAGCATGCTGGTGAAGAGTTAATGGTAGATTTCAAGAAACTCAAATCTTAATTTTAGGCTTTTATTAACATCTTATCATTGTGTCTTGCTCCTAGAGAAGTATGACCAGTAGTACTTACTCTGTAACTGTGGGATCATTTCTTCATACTTGTTTGGAACCTAAATGTAGAAACATAATTTGCTTGTGTCAGATAAGTTTTCAAGCCCTTTGTATGCAGGCAGTCTGTGATCCCAAACAAAGAGGTGGGAAAACAGTGTCTGCTAAAGAGTTCATGTGTATTGTTTCAGTAGCAGTTATAAAAGTGAAGTTGAAAACTCTTTGAAGATCTTGGCTCTCACAGAGCAGATAAAGGAGAGTATTGCTTTTGATTTTGTGCACTGCTAATAGAGAATGTTGTAGCACCTTCTGCAAAGAATGGTTTCCATGACTTTAGTGATCAAGAGATTTCTGTGAGCTAGCAATTGGGAACAATTCATTTTTATTCTGGCTTGTTCTTGCTGGATTCATTTTTCTGAAGGAAGAGGCTTGTAAACCATGAGGTGTTGATAAGACTTTGTTCTGTACAGGCGTAAGCATCTCAGTATAGTTTTGGATTTTAAGGAAAGGAGTTTGGCATGCACAGTTGGTCCCTGGCAATCACCCTAGAAGATTCATGCCAGTCTTAGCAGTAGGTTATGATACCCCTGAAAAATCAAAACCTAAGTAACTCACAAAAGCTATGTCTTGTTTCACCACGCAATTTACATATAATCAAAGTCTATCAGAGTAGCTTCAGTTACATTCTTAGTCTTTTAAGCTTTCCTTATTGGGAGTAAATTTTCTACCTTTTAAAAAAATTATGTTTGGGGAGAAAAGATAATAACAGTCAAAACGTTCTTGGGCTATTGTTAATGTCCATAGTCTATTGGACGTGTGGTCAGTCATGTTTGCAGGCTGGGTGCTGTTCCTGCCCCTTTGGGATGCCCTGGCTAGTCTGAGAGAGGAAGTAGTGGCTGCGCTTTCTCATCCATTTGTGTTGGTGCTACCCAGGGCAGCTGGCTCCAGGGGCTCATGAAGACATGAGGGCAGGTGGAAGTCAGGAGGAATAAAGGAGGGTAATAGCGGGGGAAGGGGTTTGAGGACCTGCTGGTCTATTAATGAAGATCTGCCCGTGATGGCTTGCTTAAGAACAGTAATGATGTCTTTAAGTTGCTGGTCTGACTTCTCAGGAATGAAGGACAGTCTCTCTGAAGGCATGTAAAGGCCTCTCTGTCCTCCACAGGGGATACTTAGAGTTCTTTCTGCAATTCTCTTTTCTTCAGGTTCCTGTTTTTATTGAGTTTCAGTACACTGTTTTGACTTGTCATTTTCCAGATTCCTCTCTAGTTTAATCAATTGCAACCTCAGTGCAATCCCTGAGTCAATGGCTTTAAAAGCTTTCTTGTTTGGACTAATGCAGTGTATCTTTTGCTTCTGAATGGCTTTTATAAATAATTTCATGTAGCTGGCTGAACTGGACTTTGGTAATCTGGGTGACGTATATGTCTCTACAACAGTCCTGAGACAGCTGGAAATTGTTCGATGTTATTAGTGCAGTTTAGTAAAACTAGCAGGAAGTTCATCCCGCCAGGATTTATTTTTCAGCCTCCAAATGATACTGTATTCATGTATGTACGAAAGGAATTGAGTATGTCATTAGGAAAACGGAACTTGCTTTTTATTATTTTACATTGTGTAAGGACTATAATTGCTAAGAAATGAATGTGGAAAGGTATTTCAGAATACATTGGGTGGTAAAAGAAATGACGGGACTTATGACACTAGTGGAGCAAATAAACATCAAAAAAATAAACTAAATCTATCCAAACATGCCATTATTGATTTTTATTATTATTACACACAATTCCATAATTCTCATCAACATATAGCATGTTTTTATCTTTTTGGAGATAGCACTATTTTAATGCTCTGTGGTTTAAACAAGGACACATTTATTTTATGCAGTCTTCAAAAAGTGAGACACTAAAATGTAGTGACTTAAGAAATGTAACTTCTCCCCCAAACTCCAGTGATGGGATGTCTGTTACAGTAGGAAACAGGAATCCTGCAGAAGCAACCTGTAGAGTATATGGGTAGAGAAGCTATTCTTGATCATAAAGAATTTCTCTATGTCAGAATAGATTTCTTCTGCGGCTGATGCAAAGCTGTCATGATTTTTTGAAAAATATGAAAGAGCGATGGTACCAAGTAGGGTCTGTTGTGTGGAGACAAAAGGAAGACAGGAAAACATGTTCAGGAATTTGTGAAAGATTAGAAGGATCCTCAATTTAAAAAAGAGGATTTAAGGGAAACAGTTATTGGGCTGTCAAACATTTATGATATGAATGAGGAGAGTGGGAAGTAGCAGTTAGAGAGGTCAGTTTGAGTGAGAAACTATTTTCCTAGGGCATACACAAATTCAGAGTTAACTAATATGCCTACTGATTAGCTTTTGCTAATCAATGGTGAATTTGCTGTCTTGCTTCCTGAACTGGAAGCCATTCACTATGTGGCTGTGGATGCATAAACAGCAGTTGCAGAAAATTGAACCAATGGGATAGGTTTTTTTCCTCTCTGAATGTTTGTTTTTCACGTTGCAAGGGTATTGTGATCTTATTTTCAAAACTAATGCAACAGCTGACTGATCTTGCAGGAAAATGTTAATTTTCCTGGAATGTTTGTTTATATTTCTTTTACTTGACTGTTCATGCAAGATACCAACTCCCCATTTCATTTCATGCCTTTTTCAGACTGATTCTGCTTCCCTGCCCAAGAAGTCCCGTCTGCCTATTCTCTTAAAATCATCCAGACCATTAAGAAACCTGCCTTTGAACTCCTGTATGCAGAGGTCAGATTCAAAACAACAGTGTTGTACCAGGGCACCTTATGAAGGTCTGAAAACATGTGAAGTACAAGCCAAACAATTTCAGTCACAAACAAATGGAGGGTTATTATCGGATGAGTCTGTAGCTGAAAACCTTCAAGGAAAGCCTGTGCAGGAAAGCACATCAGTGAGAGGTAAATAAAGAGTGGATGTAATGACTTGTAATACTGCTTGAAATAGTGGATTCTTTTCTTATAGTAGGAAGTAAAACCAGATCGTTCTTACATATGTACGATGCTGCTTAATCTTACAGTTTTCCTGGGTAGGCAAATATGTATAGGTCTTGAAAAACACCTTTTTTTTTTTTATCTTTGCCACTAGAAAGTAAAACAGTTTTATATGGAATAGAAAGTGCTGTGTATATGTGGCATAAAGTATATAATAAATTACAGTTTCACAGGGTGCCCACACATGCACACATATATGTCAGTGTTTAGGTAAAAGAAAAATTTGCTTTATATGATGCCAAGTCTGAATAAAACTGTCTGTAATGGAGACAGGAGAGTATAAAAATACTGTATTTGTTAATGCTGCATAAATAAGTTTTTCCAGTATTCTGCTGATCAGTCAAGTCATTCATGTCTGTTTCCAGTGTGGCTGGGTTAATTTAGAATCAGTTGTTGACAAAGTATCTGGATCAGCAAAGTATGACAGATTGTAAGGCAGAAAACAATGGGTATTTTATAGCGGTTTGGAGTGTTAAAAAAAATAAAAATGAATTTGAGTAGAGATGTAAAGGATAGGTGGTAGAAAGAGGAGGTGTAAATATAAGAAAGAAGTTTCAATCGAGTAGCAAGCGAGCCACTGTCAAATGCAGAGGTCGCAGAGACTTAGTTGTTAATGATAACGTTATTGTGGTAAGGGACAGATATGGCAGAGCTTTACAATAAATACTTAAGGTGTTAGGACTACAGCAATTAATTTTGGTAAGTGGAAGATCCCTGGGGAATTCTGAGAAGGGCAGTACTTTCAAATTGGATCCTGAAATGAATCAGAACCTGTTAGGACTGCAGTCCTCTGATTTCCCTTCCACACTGATTTCTTTACCCTGGGTAACAGTTATACTGCACACTTAGTTCTGAGACGTGATGCAGTGGGATATTGCAGAACATTAGTTTATGATCAGTGCTCATATTGGATAAACTTTCTAGCCTTTTCTCTATTCCTAACACAAAACATTTAAAAATGCACTAACAACTTATTAACTGTTAAATTACAAAAAGGGCTGTTTGTCTTCATTTGTTAGTAGGAAGCCTTTGCAAGTCACATTCTTAGTAGTTTTCCTATATTTACAAATGATTACAAATTATTTACAAATTATTCAGAACAGTGTGCAAACACTGTTTCATATGACCAGTAATGTTTGTATTACATTTTCGGTAGTTGTTCTTCCTTAGATGATTTTCCTGTTCCAGACTGTCAGAGAACCAGGTTTGGATTTGTGGGGTGGGGTTTTTTTTGTTTGTTTTTCTTTAGTGCTTTTTTTTGTTGTTTTTTTTTTGTTTGTTTGGTTTGGTTTTTATTTGTAATTATCCCCACTTAATTTTTTTTTTTTTCCAGTCACTTACTGACTTCTGTTTTACCTTCCTCCACTATTCTCCAGTTGGCTCATTGCTCAAACTGGATAATGGTGAGGTCCAGGTGGAGTTGCAAGGTGTTGATTTGGGTACAAAGGACAAGAATGAGTATGCAATGGACAAAAATCAACAAAGCTATCAAGGTAAAGCATTTTATATGGTACAGTATAAAAAAAATAAAATTTAAAACTCTGGTTTCTTCTAAATTGTGCAATATTGTGAATTACAGCAAGCAATTGTCTCCCTTGCCATTATTTGCGGGTTTTAAATCTCATTTTCTTAGCTATTATGGATTAATTGCTTTAAGAATCCAAGTTGGTCTTTTAAGGCTTATGCTTTCAGAAGAGCCACAGGGATTTATGAGTCAGGTTTCCAGTAAAAATAATGAGTCGTATGCCTAACTCTGATCTCTGTTGCCAATGCCCTCAATTCTGAACTCGTCTCTGAATTAAATGTTTATTACCTATTGCTTCTGCATCTAGTTATGAACTATTGGAATGAAGCAAAATTCTATCATTGAATTGCTTATCTGAATTATTTGAAGGCATTCAACTAGGTTGAAACCTAATGGAATCGTTTAATGAAAATGTAAATAGGCTTAATACTGTGTATTACGTGTTTCTGCATCATCCATTAGTCTTTTTCAGGAGGGCTTGAATTAACCTGGTTAGCATGTTGTGTATAGAGTACAGAGGATATGGCTAATTTTGTAATCCTTTGTCACATCATTAATTTTATGTGTGTAAGTAGCTTCATTGAAGGCCGTCAGTTGGTTTTAAGGTTGTGCTCTATGTGTGCCCTTTGTTTGTGTGCACACATACATATGCAGAGAGTTTATTCATTCTCCTTTAATTAGGGCAGTGTTTCATTAAAAACTATAGCCAGTATTATAATTGGAAATATTTCTTCCCTAATATCTGTTTCTATTTCCTCTTTTTGTTATCTGGAACGCTTGCATGAAATCAGGATTGCAGAGTTTAAGAGTTCATCTAGTATCTGGTTTTTTTCCATCTCCGTCCACAACCTTCTTTGACATCTGTGTTACTGCAGCAACCAACTCGTAGAGAAGGAGGAGAAGCTAATAAACTTAAGTGTTGAATTCCCTTATTTAATGTGTCTTCTTGAATTCATACATGGGCATTTTCTTGGAAGCATTTCTGTCCTGTGATTCTGTCACCTTTCGGATGACATAAATAATGGTGTGCAGCAATCTGTGTACTGCAGGAAACATTATCTAGCCTTAATTTCAAGTATGTTGATATCCCAGTATTGCAGTTTAATTTTTTCCTGGCCTTTAGGTTATATTTGTTTTTATTTTCTTGTACTTGGACTTGACTTGGGCCTTCATATATAGCTGGCCCCACTGAGATTTTGTGCTGATTTAGAGCTTGAACCTGGGTATTCAAATTCTCCATGGAAACCAATTTGAAAGTGTTAAGACCTCTGCAAGATCAATGAATGACTCCCAAAAGGGAGGTTCTAATTCATAGTAATCTTTTTCAGAACTAATAGACGGGGAAAATTTAATTTACTGGTAACCAGAAAATAACCATTTTCTTAGATACTTACCCATACAGCCCTCAACATACACAGAACTATAAACACAGAATAGATGTAGGAATATATAGCTTTTATTGGTCTGAATCTGAGGTGATTGCATTACTTATGAATGGCAAAGTCAGCTAAAGGATGTGATGTGCATGCCAAATGAGTGCCAGTAAAACCTTTAACACCGAACGTTTTTATGGATTTTGTTTAGAACACATTTTAAAAAGAAGTTATTAAAGCCCCTTTTTCAAATTTTACTATTTTGTTGATAATCTTTCTAAAATTCCACTGACTTTATGCTCCAATTGGTTTTGTATAGATTTCTGAAATGAGAAAAAGAATATTTAATTAGAAGTTTTAGGAAGAACCATTTAATGTCATAGAGTCTACTTTTAAATCTCCATGCCTTATGTTTGAGGTTTTCATCTGTGTGGCTGGAAAGGTCTGGGCTTCATCAGAGTCTGATTCTGGACTGCATATAACAAAAGTAATTTTCAGTCATTTGGGAAAAGAAAGCAGATGTATTTTCAGTGTCGTTTATTTGAAGGGTGATAAGGGGTTTGAAATATTTGATGTGCAAGTTGAATTAATCAGCAAATCTGAGAACAAGGCCAAAAGTCCTAAACTAATATTGTATAGTTTGTAACTATTCTTCATTTTTATTCTGTTATTATAGAAGTAAATGAATTCATTCTAGTGCTGTTAAGAACAGAATGTCAGGTAAAGAAATATTATCATTCACACGCAAGCCTCCTGTTTTTCAGAAATGCAAAATCATCATAAGATTAGCAACGTGAATATCCAGCATTCATTAAAAGAGATAAATGAAGAGTTTTATTCTGTGGAACATGAGGACATTGATTCAGCCACTGCGTATTCAGGCTCCAAGTGCCTGTGTTCTCTCAAATTGAGTATAACAAGTACAGATGCACTTGATGACTGTGAAGTCATAGACGATATAGAAGAATTGAAACAAAGAATTAAGAGTATGAAGTCTGAGCTTGAAAAGTACAAAATGTTCGTGTTTCATTTACAGACCTCTGACCAGCTTTTATCAAGTGGTATTTCCAATATAGTTTTGAGTGACACAGCCTTGCCCACGGAAGGATGTGTTACACAAGTGCAAGATACAGCTATGCAAAAAATCAAAACATTTTCTAGTGTCCATCAGCTGATGGATTATGAGATCCACACCAAAACCAGGGCTTTAGAGTCTTCAAAAGCATCTGATACATGGACAGCACAAAACCTTAAGGAACTACTAACGGCAAATGAGGCAGAACTTGAAAAAGAGCAAATTGCAAATATGCATCTTGATGAAGTGTATCATCTTAAGAACAACCTGAGAGAAACATCACCATCCAAGTGAGTAAAGCTATTACTGTTTCAAGTTCCTTTTTGTAAACAGCAATACAAAATAACATAGGAAGGTAATATGAAGATAATTTTATTCACATAGGAGTATGTTGTTATAGTAAAGGCTAAATTCCACTAACACTAATATAAAGCAACCGAAATGTTTACTTAAAAGATGCCTTGAAGTACAAAACAGCATTTCTCTTACAACAGAACTGCTCCTGATAAGCTTGTATCATCCTCTGTAACAATTCGGTGTCAGACACCTGTATCTCCCCACACCTCAGGTCCACCGCTCTCTTTGCTGCAAGACATCCTCCCCTGAGCCAAGTCAGATCTCCTCAAGTTACTTCGTGAGATAGGCTGACCTCTGTAAGCAAAGTGTTACAGTTTTGCATCACTTGGGGTTTTTTCAGGTGACAAGTGCAAGGAAATGGAACATCCCATTTAAGATAGGAGTGTTTCCATGGGCAATTGGCTGGCAGATTCATGCTAGCCCTTCTGTTTGTGTGACCAGACTTTATGTGTCAAATAAGAAGTTTATGCTCTGTTTATAATTTATTTTGCAATTGAGTGTCATAATGCCTTCTTTTGAAGGATGTGAAAGTAGATATATAGAAATTAATGAATGAAATTTTATAGTATAAACTCATGAGCTGGAAAATCATTTATGGGAGACTGGCAAGTATCAGTCTTGGTTTTTGTATGATAAGACTGGGGGCAGCATTTTGACTAGCATATACACAAATCACAGACATACAATGGGGTCCCATAAGATCAAACCTGTTTTAACTCCCCCCCTCCTTTTTTTTTCCCTAGTCTAATATTGTTATTGTCCTGAAGGCCTGTAGAATGGCAGGAAGCATAACAAATGAAGGTATTCAGCCTTTTGGCTTCCTTCAGTATGCTTCAGTAGAAATATTTGGAGGCACTGAGCAACCACCAACATGGACTATTGTATATCTCTTAGTATTACTGTCATAAACTACAATTGTGCTACAAAGTACATATAAATTTACATACCTTGAAAATATACCTCATCCATTTTACAAAGGAAGATCTAACTGTAAATTAAGGAATGAGACAGTATGGATTGCTGCAAAGCTTTTATGGCCACTGTCTAGGACAACTGCATGAGTCACAAGTGACAGACCAAAAAAAGAATTATGCATCTATTCCTATACAAATGACAATAAAAATTCTGTAACAACCCACACTGTCATAGATTTTGTTTATGCCCCATATTTTGTTTGATTCCCTGTAGCTTTTCAGATCCTCTTCCTTTTTCTCTCCACTAATGTATGATTCTGTAGAAAAAAAATCTATCTGTGATACAGACAGTGGCAGTATAAAAGGGATGTCTGTATTTGCAAGTGCAGAATAAATTCAATTGATCTGAGTTGAAATTTATATCCTGGCTTGTGGACTGCAAGAGTTTGGACACTACAGTGTCAGTGGTCATGTCTCTGGTAAGAAACATGCAGAGACGTGCAGAATTTTCAGACTGGGTGAAACCATCAGCTCAGAAAGTCCAATATTGTGCTCCTGGCAGGAAATACGTGAAATTTCAGAATAAGGGAGACCTCTATCTGTTATTCCATAGTGAATAATAATAAATAAAAACCAACCAAAAAATAGTCAGGAAAAAGATGTGTATTCTTAAAAATGCTTTTAATGTATTCACTCCTAAGGTCTTTAGTTGGGCACTTTTGCATGCTGTCTGAGTTACTTCCAGGCAGACAAACAAGTCATCACCTTAGTCTTATAAATGAAGCAGTTAAGTGAAGGATAATAGCCCACAAGTTATGCCCATAAATACAAAACTCAACAGTTAGAGACAATACATTTCTCACTGAGGCTGTAAAGGCATTTTAAAAGAAAATTGAGTCACATAAAATTATAGTTTAGGAATATAAGTTTCATTCACTTTTTAGTTATATTTAAATGTTATTTATGGTCAGAAAATTACTTTAAAGGTAATTTCATTCTCAGATATGATTCATTAGTTCATTCACAAGCTCAAGAACTGTCCTTTCAACGCCAACAAATTAAAGACATCCACGGTGGTTGTGTTGCTTACCATCAACATCTGACGAGCCTTATTAAAGCTTTTGAGGAACTGCTTCAAGCCAGTGATGTAGATTATTATGTTGCTGAAGGCTTCCGTGAGCAACTGAATCAAAGTGTACTATTGTTTGAGAAGCTAGAAGGGAAATTCCTGTATGGTAAGTAGCAGTATTTTGTGCTTATTGTCTGAGATATATTAGCATTCTCAAAATTTGAAGCTTTTTTTTTTTTTTTTTTTTTAATGAAAAGGAAGCCTTACTTCGTCATGGTTGCTTTTAAATGGTTTCTAGGGAGGTCTGTATTGGAAGGTAAAATTTTTGTGCTTCAACAAGACTGGGTTTTACTTTTGTAGTTGTCTTCTGTATTGACATCTTCCGTTATGAGTTGTTTATCTTAGCACATGTGTATTTTAACTGTTCGAAGTATAGTGGTTATAGCTTAGAAGAAGTTTAGTTACAAGTGGGTTTCAGGTTTTTCAATTTCAGGAACCAACCCAGCTGACTTTGAGCCTGAGCACCAGATATCTCCATTGAAAGATTCTCGTGGGCATGGCTTACAGTTGTTTTTTAACACAATCTACGTTTAATTAAAAAAAAAAATTGCACGTTTGTGAAGATTTTCCCCTAAAGTGCAGTCACTTGCAAGAAGGGTAAATGCAGTACAGAGATCTGGGCTGTGCTTTTAGAAAGAAAGAACACATTATCATATAGTAGTCCATCTAGGCAATTTTCTATGTCCAGTGCCTTTAAAGAACATGCAAGGAGTCCTGCATTGGACAGTTGGAAGATAATACCACTCTGATTTGCACGAGTGGTATTCTTGTAGAAAAAACACAAGTTAAATTGTGTTATTGCAATTGCAGGTGTAAAATCATCTGTCACTGGATGTATCAAGAAAGAGCCACAGACTTTATGGAGAAACCCACCCAAATGGTGCACAGAGAAAATTAAAACAAGGGGGGTGAGAAATGGAAAATTATTTAGAATGCAGAGGAGAATAATTCCTATCAGAATCTTAAGTAGTTCATGAATTTAAGAGACTGTGGTATTGCAAATCAGTGTGTATTTGATGGTTTCTGTAGGGCATAATAGGAGAACAAGAACTTTCTGAGCAGGAATCCTAGGAAAGGTCAACCAGAGAGGTGTTGTCCTGGTGTCAGAGAAAACCAGGTGCTGAATGGAGTGTGCACCAAGGGAAAGGGCACTGCAATGTGTACTAGTAAGAAAGGCCTTTTTAATTGTCAGTGAGAACTGGCATATTGTCTGAAAAATAGGAGCTTACACATCTGAAAATGCTCTCGTCCTGTGACTGTTTATCCCAGTTTCCTCATCTGTTGTTTGGCAAAGCATTAAGTTGGAAGGGCAAAGCCTTAAACATCTTAAGAAATGGGACCATATCAGGAGATATATTATTCCTAACATTTCTAATTATTTTCCTAAGAGACCTACATCTTGCTGCCAAATAGTCTAGCTGGTTCAGAGAAGCATGTTATCTTTCATAATAGAGAGCTAAAATACAATCATGTTTTCTAAAATGAGCATCAAAATTGACATTTGTCACCTGAAGGAAGAGAGTATATCGTGCATATTGCCTTCAGCCCGTAGCTTGAAGAAAGTTAGCAGCAAAGCGATGGAAAAGGGATGCTAACGTGAGTGAAATTCAGCAAGACAGACCTTTTTTTATTGTTGCAATTGTTGCTTTTTCTGACCCAAACAACTAGCAATACTTCCACAGGTGTCAGCTGCAAAACGGACATCTTCAGCAAAACACTTGAGGTGGCCTGAAATAGGGACCCTGACAGGGCAAGACCCTGACATCCTCCTGAAATTGGCTCTAGAAGAGCACTTTGTTCAGAAACATTCAGGGCCCAGCGATACAATGAACTGTATTCTGCCTTTCATTAAAGATAGTGGCAGCATGCTGCAGTTTCGACTGCTCATATAAAGGAGTTGTATATGAGAAAAAGGTATTATGGCTAGTGTGTCATACAGTGTAATAAAAGATTGAGTGTATTCAATGATTTCAGTGGCTACAGAGATTCCTTGCATTACAAATGAGAAGACTGTGTAGTGAATAAACATTAAATGCCTTTAAACCAACAGATGGTATCCTATATACTATGAAAAGTCACTGACAACCGAGACAATTCAATATATCTAACACAATGGTGTTGCATTGAATCACACATTAAAATAAAATGATGTTTGTAGGGTTATAAAGAACATCCAGCGTACTAAGAATTGACTGTAAAGAAGAAGCATAAACAACCGTCTGTCTCTGCATTTCCATCCTGACCTTCAGTTCATTCCCCTGAAATTTCAGCTGTGCAACTCTTGCCTGCCACTTTTGCTTAATTGCACAAAAATTTTAAAATATGGGGATCCAAGGTGACACCACGAAGCTCATATTTCTTTATTCAAATTAGTGTCTGAGTCCACGTCTCTTGCACTGAATTGTGCTTGTGCGCACAGACTCTACTGCTGGCAGTACCACAGGCAAAACCCTGTGTATGCCCCTTCATTAAGAATAACTGGTTAGCCTGACTCTGGGTGGACAAAATCCAAGTGCAATGGAATTGTTTTTATATAAGTTTTATTGAAGAAGTAATGGCATGTACTCCTAATCCTTTTGCCACATTGTACAGTATTTTACATCTGTATGCTAATTAAAACACCAAGACTGTAAAATCTGGCACCTGTGCTATCTAGTAATTTTTTTGAACTCCAGAGAAATCTATTGCTTTGTTGCTGGGCTATAAATAGTTTGGCTCATGTACAGCATTTGACACTAATACACAGTGTGTTGAGTATCTGTTGGCTTCTCTAATTTCTCATTAATTTATCATTTTATATTTAAATAATCTAAGGTGGGGGGGGAAAAGTATAATTCTCAATATCTGTTTTTAATCAGATATTTCTGCTTTGCAGGAGAATCAATAGGTACAGAAGTTAATATACTTTATGAATTAGCTCAAAGGTAAGAGTGCAATTGAATGTTTATCAAGCATACACTCGTTTGATAAGTTGATAAAGGTGCTCCATGTTTTGTAGCACAACTTTCACTGTTTTACTTTTTGTGAGGGCTTTGCTTATGCTGCCTGTTTCATAAATATCCACTTTGTTAATAAAATATCCATAGAAAACAAACTAAAGCTTTTTTCCCCACTTGTCATCAAACAGCTGAGATCCTGAGAGGAAGCATCACGCTGCCAGGATTGTTCCTTTCGTGAACAAACAAAACATGTGCCGTAATACACTGATGTGTATGTTCAGATATTATCTTAATTTTAGCTGGTAGGAGGGATAGTCCACTACCTTTCTGTTTCCATGACCTTGGGGGCTGGCTCAGGATCACTGAAGTACAGTGCTGTTGAAGTTCAGTCTCAAAACACCCTTATGCTGAAGGTGAAGAGAGCAGGTGTTGTTATGCTGCATATGTTGGTTTTATGCCAGCCTGGGATTCTTCCGCGCTACAGAAATCCTCAGCTGCCTGTTCAAGGCAGCCTGAGGTCCTCTGAACGCGAAGGTGACTGCCTAGCACCAGAACGTGAGCGCTAGGCTGCAGGTCCGTTGATGATTCCTGCTGATTTCAGTGAGGTCTGAATTTCAGTCTTGATACACACCTCTGATGTGTAGTGGTTTGTCACGTTCTGTCATGTAAATTCACTTGCTTTACCTGTGTCCTGTCAATTTGACACCATGCACTCTGTTCATGCTTCCAAAGTAATAAAATAATTTTTATATTTTAAAATGTTTTGTTTGGCACAAAAGGGATAATGAGAACAACACCGCAATGTACCAGCAACTGAAGGATGAATCACCTGTACCATCTGCTCTTCATAGCTTGTCTGACTTTGATTTGTCAGAAAAGTCATCTCTTGGATCACCTGAGCACAGACATGACCTGGAAGGACAGCATGGCACACTGGCACTTCTGCCAAACAAGTTTCCCCCAGGTAATTTTTTTCCCACTGAAGATTCACTAGATATTGGGAAAATGTGATAAATAAGACACAAGGGAACTAATTAAGAAATAATGAAGAATGTTTGTCTGCTTCAGCTCTCCAGTATCTTGCATAATCATTGCAATTTCAGTAATAAGGCATACAGAGATGACAATAATTTGAACTACCTCCTGTTTGAAACAAAATTAACTATGTTATTTTGCGTCCTTGTTGTTTTAGACTATCATCTTTTACAGTACTCCAGACGGTCTTTAAATAGACAACTTATAAAGGGAAAATAGACAGTTGTCAAGAGATTATTACATTGAAAAAGAGAGATTTTCTAATTTTATAAAAGCTAGTGTTGTGTTTCCTTGAGAATTGTAAGTGCTGCATAATTAATAAGCGGTGTCATGTTTGACCTGGATAGTTTCACTAAGCACAAGTGATGCTTGCAGTAGTTTGTTATAGGCAGCGATGAAAATTTAATAGCTGAGATAGCACGTACTGTTCAAGAGAAAAATATTGCAGAGTGAACCAGGAGTGTATGACATGGATAAACTGACAAATAAGATACTGACAGTGAGAACAGATAAGTTCCTGAGTAAAGCTGAAACTTACAGCCAATGGAAGAAAAATTGTAGAATGGCAAAGCAAGAAGGAAAAGGTACGGTAATGAAACTTGATAGAACAAATTTATTTATTATGGTATGCATTGTGTAAGTCAAAGTCAAATTTATATCTGAGTTACTCTGGTAAGCTCCCTATTGTTATAAGGAAAAATGTATACTATTGCTGTGTTGAGCCTGAATGTGAAGCTGCATTGCAGAACTTTGGATTCATTTCCCAGTCCGGGGGATGTTTTAACTAGATAAAGTTGTTATCTGCTACAGTTTTGTAGGAAGAAGAAATTTAAAGTCTTAAAACTGGACCGTTGTTTAAGTTAAAATCTAGAGTAGGCGTTTTAACTAAATGCATGGTTTGGGCACTATATGAAAATAGAATGTTGTGGAGTCAGATATTTAATGTCTGCCATTTTGAACAGCTCTGTATCATTTTTTAGTGTTAGCACACATTAGATTTGACAGAAGTACATAGTATAAAGGAATACAATCATTTACTCCTTATAAGAAGTGGTCTCTTGGCTTATTTAGAGTTATTAATGGAGCATCTGCAAGAAATTAGAATCCTGAGACAACGTTTAGAATACTCCATAAAAACTAATGAGAGACTGAGGAAGCAGCTTGAGAGACAAGTAACAGACAAGGAACTAGATCAAGGTAAGAATATATTTCATGACAAATTAGATCTACTTTTCCTGCTTTAAAGCGTGAGGAATCATGCTGCTGGAAATGTTTACTGTACTTTTTTGAATAAACCCCACCCCTTTACAGCTGGAAAATTTGCCTTTCTGAATACTGCTGCATCTTGAGCTCCATCAGCAGACACAGCATTTCCAGGCTGCCTGTAAAGTGGTATAAATACAGATGTAATGTGCCTCTTCCTCTTTCTTGAGTCCATTGCTTGAAGTGTATCTAGTACCGATGCACAAATCTTTTATGGGATATGAGTACACATAGCCTCAAACCTACAACTGCACATATTGCTAAGAGAGCCTGACTACCAGGTAGTTTTGTGACATTTGATGATGCTGTCGTTGAATTTCATGCAGAGGATTTAAATCCCCTTCTAATTTGGTTATAAGCAAACAGTGTGGGTTTTGTTTTGTTTGGATTTATTTGTTTGTTTGTTTGTTTTTTTCTTTTGTGCGTTTGTGATATGATTATTGTCGTAATGGTCTTGGATTTTAGGATATCATCCTCTTTTAATTCTCTGCCATGTCCAGTCAGGGACAGTTGCAGGAGAGGGAGCTCATTTTATCAACATAACTTCAGTGGGACCTGGGCCCAGTATGAGTATAGGAGGAGGTGCTTTGCTCTAAATTACACTGCTGCTATTATTCCAAAGTAGGAATTTTATGGAATTAACTTTCCTACGCCTACTCCATGTATGCCTGGGGTGGTCAGTACAACACTGCTGCTAACAGAACTGTTGAGATGCCTTCTGTGGAATTTTCTGACTACTTTAAAGCCAGCTTGTGTTTGTATAGAAGGACCAAATATCTGTAAGACAGAGCCTAGGCCACAGTGTTCAGCTTGTCATTTGAATTGATTGGTGTGATAAATGTGTTCTACACAAAATGACATAGTGAGTTTTTAATGAGAAATACCTGACAGAAACTGATGGAAATTTTTAAAATAGAGTTGGTTTTCATTCCAAACTCTAATATAAGGCAGTGGATGAAAAATACTAAAAGTAAGTATGCAGATTCTGAGTCACTTCTCTCTGTTGCTAGTGTTCAGCAACTTTCAAAGCCAAACTCTGTGGTGTGTTTAAAACTTTTCATCAGAAGGTAGCCAGGCTTTCACTAAGGATGCTTTTGTTGCACTTTTCAAACACACCATACCAGGAATGCTTTCCTATACTTTACTCTGTTCTTTCTCTTCCCACATTTCCCCCCACAGGACAGTTGATTAATATGCAATATTACCCAGACTGGAAGCAGGCAATAAATACACACATGCTTTCCTTTTACTGAGCTTCACTAATATTGATATTAGATTCACTATGTTTTACATCATGCCCATGATCCATTTCTGTTGTTGTTTAAATGGAGAATACCTGCAAACGGCAGTTTGCTTTCAGGAATAATTTACAGTGCTGGAAAGGTGTATAAAAAGCATCCATTTCATTCATGAAGTATTTACACTGCTGGAAAGGCATACTGTTCTTGTGAAATAACCACACTGAAACACTTCCAGCTCTTTTACAGCTTCATAAAGATTCTGGCAAGGGCATCCATTAATGCAGTGAAAGTATATTTTTTTTATAAACTGTCTCATGCCTTCCATCTGTCTTCTTGTTGCCTTAGTGCATCTACCAATGCATGGAGAAGAAATTTGGAAAAGAAAGGCAAAAAGCAACAACCTGTTAGAGCATCTCCTTTTTGCTACTATGTTCTTTTGTGCTTTCTGTTTCTCTCTGTTTTGAAGATCTCTTTGGTGTTACCGGATACGCGTATTCTCTCTTCTAGTAACGATGCTACTTTTTTTCCTAATAGATGGGCTTTTTTGACTTTCAGTGTAAAAAGAAGTTCCTAAGTGAAGTTGAAGCAGATTTTGGCTTTGGGACATAATAATTCAAAACATTTTTTTTTACTTTTAACTTAATATCCTTAGTTTGTTTTCCTTTAAAAAACAAAACCAGGTTGTAGCATACTTGATTGTTGAGAGCCTGTTAAATTCATGTGATACTGAGTTACTTGTTCAACAAAAGTTAATGCATAGAATTATTCTTGTCTGATAAATATTATATGGATGTATATACACACATCTGCCCACTATTTTTGCCATGCTATTTTTGATACTTAGATTCTCTAAGCATATAAATGCCTCTGGGCTTCTAGTATTCTATAAATGACTCAAGTGCTGGTAATGACTACATCGTTACTGTAGAGCTGAGGTTTGCAGTGCAAGTAGAACTAAAATAATTGCTTCGATAATTTCAAATGTTAGTCTTCAAAATAAAATCAAAGGCTTAATTTTGAATTTCCTAGGTTTCAAATGTTATTAACGGCAATTAACATTAAAAGGAGTTTTTGTTTGCTTTTTTTAACCCACAAGTAGCTAATGTATTTACTTGGACTTATCTTCAGCTTTAGTATGCCTTTATTTTGCTTTACCTGGGAATGAATATTTCCTTTCTCTGCTGTGATTTTCAATAGTGCCTGTCTTTCAGTCAGTGTTTCCTTTGAAATCTTCAAGGTATGCTTCCTTAACACTTACTTTTTCATCACAAAACATAATGAAAACTCAAGTGTATTGCAATTGTAGGCCCTGATGCTCCACTTTACTCCGGTTAGATGGACTTTTGCATCTATGGAGAGCATAATTGATGTCAGCAGGGCTCTGCAAGGAGTAGTAGTCTCAGTAGTGGGTCAAATTGCAGGACTGTGGCCTTATTACCACTGGCTCTACATTATCCCTTAATATGTAAGATAACTAATAGTTATGTTCTAAAGCCTTTCAATAGAACTGTGATAGCATAACTTTTCAAATAGGATAAAGCTGGGTGATGGGCAATAAATTAAATTAGAATCAAGATGAGACCATCAAGCCTTGCCACTTCAAGTTGAATTGCTTTGTTAAAATCTGAAAGGAAAAAGCCTTTTGAGTTCACATAGCTACCTCAACTCTTTAACATATAGATAGTAAAATGCCATTAGTGCCAGGCTTCTAGAGTCTTTGAGTCTTTCAGTAACGACAAGAGGTGCATATCATGGCACACTACATCCCAGTTAGGTAGTAGGTAAAAGCTTCAATTGGGATTACAATAAAATGAGATTACTCAGAGGAAGAGCAGCACGTCAAATTGAATTGAACTGCCAGAGCTGAAAGGCATCCTCCTCATACATTCAGCTAATTTTTTTGCCAGCTGGTTATTTCTCTATTAACTGAATAGTTGACACTCATGTAGTTATCTCAAGCTTTAAAGTGTAGGAGATACTGGGATAACCAATCAACTGAAAAATACTTTTAATAGTAATGTTAACTCCGGTGGGCCCTGAAGTGTTTTACTGTCGATAAGCAGGTTATAAAGGGCAATAACAATCACTTGGCTTGCATTTCAGAGGCAGCCACCTTGAGAGAGGAATGTGGCACTTTTCAGACTGTCTGTAACATTACACATTGCTGTGGGATGAGTAGCATAAATACAGTATATTATGAGGATTAACTAGGCTGGAATTTGACTGACTAGATACACAATTTCTTATATTCATATGACTAGTGCAGTAAGATCCTCAGAGTAGGATTCATCACCTTTAAGTTTCTAAAAGACATTTAAATCTGTGCTGGTCACCCAGAGCTTTTCATGGAGGCACTGGAGTGAAGTACATTTCTTCAGAGGACAAGGCATCTCATCCTCAGCGAGGTGTGTAGAGAATACGTCGGATGGGTCACTGTCTGGAGGTGCCCATTTCTCCCTAAGACTATTGATGGTTGATCAACACTGGCTCTGGTATCTAAATTGTAGATATCCCTCTTAAGAGGGATGAATCTTCATCCCTGTGATCATAAATGGGTTCTCAGTTTGTAATCAGAGGCAAAGACAGTGAATCCAGCCTTATGCTGTAGACTGGCGTGGAAACAAATCTATTACCAGACTATTTATGTTACTTACTGCATTAGCCACCAGGGACTAGTTGGTCGTATCAAGTGGTCCTCTGCAATGGTGTCATTAAATGCAACAGAGTATGAACAGAGCAAGACTGAAATATATGGTAAACCTTCCTACAGTTTGCATTATTTTCAAAGAATAGCGGTGTCACAAAAGAGTATTTGCTGATAGTTAAAGACTGCCAGGGGCAATTTTGCAATTTTGGTAATGGTTGCCCAGCAATGAGAGGTACTTGTGATGCAGGGCATTGGATTATTTGGCATTAACCTGAACTGCCTTTTAGTCTGTAGGGATAACCTTCAAAATATATAGGGGAGAAATATCTTTCATAACATGTTTTTCTGCAATTTTTTAAATTGTTCTTGTCTGGAAAGTTTAATCTTTAATGACCTAGAGATGACTCATAAATCATCTTTTATGTATATATTTATAGGTTCTGCAAACATTTTTATCCATGGCTCAGAGCAGCATAATTCCCTGACTTCTGAAATACATTTCCTGAGGAAGCAAAATCAAGTTCTGAATGCAATGCTAGCAAAAGGATCCAGAGGTAAAAATGTAAAACTGTGCTTTACAGGAGTAGAATGCAACTCATTCCAGATCAGAAAACAATAAAATAATAAGAGTCCATTTATTAAACTGACTTATCCATTCTTCTCATACCTGAAGTTCCATGCTCAACTGTAAGCATTCAAACTGAGGTTGACAGTGAATAAAGGAGTAATAGTAATGCTACTTCTTTCTGTTTATTTGTAGCATTTTCCATTTGATACATTTTTCCATTCTTCTTTTTGCATTCCCTTCTTTTGATAAATTTTTTCCCTCTTCCCCCTGTGTCTTTTATTACCATTTTGCTGCTCCTTTTTCCTCATGCTTCCATTCTGAAGCCCTCTTATAAAAAAAAAAAAAAAAAAAAAAAGAAAGAAAATGCAAAAGCCATAGAATAGCATTATTGCTGAAAATGAAACTGTTCAGTACAGAAGAGTTGCAAAGGGAAGCAAACTAATTACACTTTGGTTCTGAAGTCTGCTGCAGAGGTTTGACTGGACAAGCCAAGTCATCTTTTTGGAAACACTTCAGAAGAGAACAGAACTAAGGGGAATCTGTTTAGAAGTATTTGTGATCTCTGAGATTAATTTTAAATTTCCCTCATTTTCACACCTGTGAAGAGAGAATATTAAAGTCTTCTCTCTTCTTTTCCCATAAGAAAACCAACTGCTCACCAACTAGGTTCTTAAAAGCAGCTTAAGCCACAATTAGGTTATAATTCTCTATATTTTCTGACTATTTGTGTAAAAGCACTGGTGCTTCTTCCAGCGTCATGTATTCTTGCATCTATTTTGGTGCATCTTGGTGCTTATCAGTTTGCTCAAGTTCTACTTTTTTAATTAATATGTTCCCACTTTTGTCTGTTTCCATGGTTGACAGTATGATCTGATAATACCAGGTTTTCTTTTTTATAAGGACCATAATGAGTAGAGCATTGTCACCCTTGCATTTTAAAATAATGTTGTTATCTGTGGAGTTTGTGAGCTTCTTTTCCGTTTATTGCTAGGTTCACGAGGGAAAGAAAAGCCTCTTAGATACCTCCTGAGTATTTTGGTCTCAGGTGCTTTCTGGCTGCAGTCTTAGCTTAGCCCTTCGGTAGTGAGAGGCTGGTGATGCACATTTCGAACAGCACATGGGGATTGCCATTTCCACATGCTTTCAACAAGGCTGCTGAAGATGAGGGAATGCTGTTCTAACTTTGGGGTGATGGCATGATTCCTCCCTGCTGTTTCTTTGCCAAGATTGCCTCCTTTTCCAGTGGTAAACATAGGGTCACAAAAAACTTGGGGTCCCTGTAAGCTTCTCTGCAGCTGTCTCAAAATGCTCAGTTGCCCCTGTCAGTAATTCTTTGTCACAGAACCAGTTCGGAGAGACAGCTTGTGCCAAGGAAAGACCTGGTGTGATACATTCAGCAGATGAATAGGGCTGGGAAGGAGAGGACAGAGGGATTTCTGTGAGTCAAAAAGGAACATGGCTGCAACATGCCTTAGAACGATCCCACTGAGTTCTTTTTTTCCTAAAGAGAAGTCAAATCCATTATTTTGTGAGGATTGGCAAACCTCATGTACCCGCTTTGGGATCTTGCTGCCTCTAGTTGTTGAATACTATTCTTCGGACCACGTTCCAAGAGGTGTTGGGCACATCTGGCATGTAGGGCTGTACACAGGTTTTTATTGAGCCTTCATGAGTCCTGGGGGTTAAATGTTACCTGTTACAGAAAATGCATCTGGCAAAAGTCATTAGAAGATTGAAATACTGAAATCCTAAAACTCATGAGGGCAGCTGCTATTTTCTGACAGTCTTTGAAAAAGCTGGTTTTGTTAAAAAGAGTAGCTTTAGTGGGTTGTGGGCATTGCAAATACCTTGTGTTTCTTATTATTTCAGATAAACAAAAGGAAAATGAAAAGTTAAGAGAATCTCTTTCTAAAAAGAATGCAATTATTGAACACCTTCATGAGGATTATGAATGCATCAAGAGAGAAAATGAAAGGTTGCAAAAACAAATTGGCCAAAAGGAAGATGAAACCAGATATCTGACATGTCAAATTTACAGCAGTCGTAATGAATTAAACAGGTATTGATTCTGTCCACATTTAGACATTCATTTAGAGAAGAAAACTGTCAATGTGACACGCATGTGTTTAGCCATAGCCATTAACATTAATGAGGTGCATAGATATAATCAAAAGGCAAGGGAGGAATTATGGAGGAAAGGGGAATGGATTTTAGATTTTGCAACCAAATATAAGAATTTAACTTATCCATTTATGGGACTTAACAGGTTGCAAACAGAAATTAATGTAAAGCAACGTCAGCTCTCTGAAAATGAGAAGTTACTGCAGTCACTCCGAACTGAGATCAAGGTTTATGAAAAGTTGGAAGAAGCAAGGAGAAAGAAGACAGGTATAAATACAGAATTATTTCTATACCCTTAGACCTTGCAACCCTTCCTTCTGTGAATATGATCTTGCCAAAGGACAGGAGGGCTAGATCACTGTTTCTTTCTTTCTACTTGTCTGCTACGCAAAGTAGAACTGACAACTTGATGATAAAATGCTGCTTTTTCCTTAGAGTGTAATTGTGAGGTTGAGACGTGTGATTTGTTCTGACTAGGCACGCCCAAGTTTCCTTTATCTTTTTAGCTAAGCTAAAAACAAATATTGAAAATTCAGTGGCTCAGGCTGGATAAGCTTCATGGGGATCTTAGATATTTACTTGTCATCTAAATACATGCTGCTGCATCCTCACAGGTAGTGCTTACTCAGGTAGCTTGTGCTTTCTCTTGTCTGAATATGAGGGTAGCGTCTTCTCCCTAGGGCTGGGGAGAAGTGCTGGCACTGCTTTCTGAATGAGACATTAATAATTTCCCGTTGGCTTTTCTGTCACTGAAGATGAGGGGAAGGAATAAGACTTAATTGAGTTCTACCCCTTTTAAGGAAGCTGTACTGCCACATGGCTGCTGGTATTGCTAGGTAAAAAAGTGGAATGCTGTTCGTTGCTGCATACCTGTTACAGGATCCAGCAAATTTTCCATGGGAAGTTCTTGTAAAAGTTGTCTTTTTTTCTTCCTGCTACTTTAAGTAATGCGCCCCGCAATCACTGTATTTCATGCCTAACTGCAGCCCTGTTGGCATAAGCCTTTAAGCCAAAGCTGGCTCAATGATGGAAGTAAGTCTCCTTGAAGAACTGGGAATATAATTAGAGAGCAGCAGCACCCTTCTCTTGTAGTTGAGCCCCCTCCTACTGTCTGGAGAACAGTTTGATTTCAGCATGAAAGAATACATGGAATTGTTTGTGTACTCACCTCCTTCTATGAAAAGACGAACACTGCCCTTTTTTTCAGGTTCAGATTTGTTCTTCTGGTTGCCAGGTGATGATTATTTTCTTTTTTCTTCTGTGTATAAATTTAAAATCCAAATTCTACTCCGTCCCTCCTCCGCACTCCAAGATTACCCATTCCTTTTTCTTTCCCCAGACTGTGCATTAATGCACTTCAAGTTTTGTAAATCCTTTTAATTCTCTTTTTATTATATTTTTTTTGCTTTTGGCCTGAGACTTATTAGCTTTTATGGACAAAGTGAAAAATAATTTTCGGCTCTTTAAATCTTTCAAGAGTAGAAGCAATTAAGATGTGCTTTTTTTGTCAAACCATTATCTTAATGCTGTTTGTAGTTAATTCTTAATACTGAGGATAACACTGGCTATAATTTACTTGCTCAGCATTCTGATAATGGCTAATATTATTTTAATTGTTAAAGATGTTAAGTGTTTCTTTTGAAATTGTCTCAGATCCCAGATGTGATGCATCAGAAGAATTCCGAAAAGATCAGAATAATCCACTTGATTTACATGAACTGTTGACTGAAATACAGAGTTTGCGAGTGCAGCTTGAAAGAAGTATAGAGACAAACAAGTCTTTGCATGAAAAATTAGAGGAACAGCTTTCAAAAGAAAAGAGAGTGGAAGCGGGATCAGTGTCAGCTGTAAATATCAACTACCTTTTCAAACAAGAATCTCAGCATTCTGCAGGAATGAATGGTACTGTGTCATACATGCTTTTCTTATACTGTAAAACCTGTGCCTTGTTCTTTAAAAATGTCTTAAAGCTCCATACATCATCAGCTGCAGGTTTGGGAGCTGCCCATCAACCTTTCAGATCCCTTTCCTGTTAGAGCTATTAGTGCAGGGGCAGCTGAAATGCACACTGCACTGTCTTAAAGCCTCCAACTGTCACTGCCTTTTCATTCAAGAAAAGCATTTGCAGACAGTCTCTGGGATGGAAGGATGCCTACGTTAAATTGCCATAAATTTTGCTTACCTGGGGGTTATTTTTTTAATGCAGAGCTCTATAGCGCTTGCTAAGGGTGAGTAAGTATTACTCAAGAATGATCAATAAGTGTGCTAAATGGTCTTTGTATAAATCAGTTGTCCCCTTTTTGCCCTTGAGGAGTATTCTACCTTTATTTCAATCACTGTTAAGTGATACAGTTTTAGCAAATTAGGGAAAATGTAGTGTTTACACTCAGGGTTAGGTTACTGTCCCAATATAGAGGAACATGGCATACAGAGGGCACAAGAATGTTCTTTGCTGCTAAAGTACTCCGCATAGTAACTGCTCTCCATACTTCCAGCATAAAGCCACCTCTCCTACTGCCTGTGCATTGTTATGGGAACCAGTAGTAATGGGGCTTTTTGGGTCTGTACACTTCACCTGAACATGCCCACCTCAGCCTTATGCACCACACAGAGCAAGCAGCACCAGCCCGAGGGTTAGTGTGAGAGCTCGTGAGGCATAACAGAGAGTTTTCCCACCTTACCTCTTTTGTGGGTCCACCATGTCCAATCAGTCATACTTCAGATGAAAAACGTAATGAGCATAACTCTGCGCTACTTCGTACGTGTGAGGAGGATGCTGAATGTTGCAAATAACTGGCAACAAACGGTTGCTGCCATTCTCTGTGCATTTTATACTTGAACACTAAATTGTGGCCGTGTGCTCCACGTGGGGACGGTTCCGGTCATGATCAGGTAGGTGTGGAACAGCTGTTGTGGGGAGCCCGTACCACCAGTATCCCCAAGTTGCCTTTGTTCCTGGGTAGTTTCTAGATAGAGTTGTAGATGCTGCTTTTGATCTGCATCAGGTAGAGTAGATAGGAGCTGGAGAAGCTTGTTATTTCTTTAAGAAAATGATGAATAGGGTTATAGTAGCTTGATTTGATACGGACCAGAAAGACTCCTTGGAACGTCAAGAGCTGAATTTGGTAGCTTTTTAGATGGACTGTGATTAGTCTTTACTTATAGGTACTTAGGGAATTTGGAGGGTCTGAAGAGGGGGGTGGGTTATAGATACAATCTTTTGTATGGTATAGCCATGGAAGGTGTCGTACTTTTTGTGGAGTTAATGAGAAACTTACATTTGTCGATTAATCGGGATGTATTTTAGATTTTCTGACTATGACTTGATTTTGGGAGCTATCTAGAACATTGACTAGGTGCTAAAAAGATAAATGTAGGTAAATATTGGAAGATACATGGCATGGTACTAGAAAATTAGCTGTGATTCCCTGCTTCCTGAGTCCAAGTGCATCATCAGCCAAAAAAAAAGAAAGAGAAGTAGATCTAGGGAGTCTTTTTTTAATGCATGTTAACTTATACCAATATGCTCTTCCTTCTTCTATTTTTATATATAGAAAATCTTTGCATATGCTCTGCTGCCAGCAGAAACATTTGTGAGCTGCAGAAACATGGACATTGCATTTTGTTAGCAAAACTGGGTACATCCAGAAGTATCTGAAACATGTGTGTTATCAATATCCCAGACTTGCTGTTCAGAAGAAGTCTAGTGTCAGTTGATTCTACGTGTAAGGATAAAAAAAAAAAATTAAATGATTTTTCTGTCCCAGGTACGCATTCAGCCTCTAAAGATGATTTAGATAGCACTTCACACTGCGGTAGCACTTCATCTTCCAGTACGGCATGTACCCCTCGCCTTGTGCCTGGACATCGTATGTGGGCAGACAAAAACGGGCGCCACGTTCTTGGCCTGATTGAGGATTATAATGCTCTACGGAAACGGATTTCAGAAGGGCAACAGGTTTTATCAGAAATGGAGATTTGTTTAAGAGAGGTCACCGGTATGAAACTGCAGGAGCCCGGTATAAAGGTAAACAGTGAAAGCTGTTAAAGGGTGGTGAATTCTACCCAGAGGTGCAAAATGTGCAGGTTACAAAAGCAAAGAGCCAGATTAATGGTGCAGCAAGCTCCATTAACTGAATAATTCTGTCAGGACACCTCAACCTTGACAGTCCAAGTTTCATCATCTAGATGCAGGCACCTATTTGTGATTCTGGGTTAGTGAGGCTGTGGATAAATCAGTTAATTCTGGTCCTTTAATAAGCAATCTCACTTTTACTCGGAACTTGAAATGAGGTGAAACTACTTGCTTTTACTATGGAAATTGGGGATTGTTACACTGGAAACGATAAAGCCAAACAAAAACAACTAAAAAACTGCAGATAAAACTCTGAAATGCTTTAGAAAGGGCTTAAACTAGGGTTATGTATCAGTTACCTAAGGATAAAAATAATTAAGGAGATTTTTTTGTAATGAAGGCTTGGGATAAACCCAGGAAATATAAGATGGTTAAAAGAAACCTGATACACAGCTGATAAAGTTCCCTTGTATTCAGCCCTTCAGTAACACCAGGTGGTAACTGTACATTAATGATTGATGCATGCTAATGAAGGTTGTTTCATATTAGGGAAGCTTTTTAATATTTTTCCACTTCCTGGTATCAGTTAAACACTTTAGCAATATCAGTAGCCAGTCTAGAAACTTGAATATCTCATTAATGATCAAATATTGACTTCTAAGACATATCATCCTTTCTGCATCATGTGTGACACAGTGATATCAAGTCATGCTGTAGTCTTAAACATAGTAATTCTTAAACCAGCAAAATGTTTGCCTTGTATTGAATAATGTCAATCCTTTTCCTCTAGAATCAGGAGAACAAATAGTGTTTACTTATGCTATTTTTTTCTTCTTTAATATTGTTAATTTCGGGGTACAGTTAATCATAGAATGTTTGGATATTTAGGGTAGACTGAATAAGACCTACTTTATAAGCTTCAACAAAATAATCTGTATGTGTCTGTGGCAGCTAATAAGAAACTAAGAAACTCAAACTGCAACAGGAAAGGCTTGGATCAGGTATTTAAACCAACATGCCAGTGGTTAAAATAATGAAACACTGGAATGGAGGCTCAGAGACACTGTTACTGGAGGTGCTTTTAAGAACAGATTACATGAATGTTTGAAAAATTACGTGTAATGCTTTCCTGGCATGGAGTGGGAAACTAGGTGACTAATGAAGGTCCTTTTCACCCCTATGATTTTATGATAATATAAATGTTATAAAAAACCATGCTCACTGCTCTTCAAAAACCAGAAGGTCTTAGCTGCATGGATAAATTTGTGCTACTTATTTTTCTAGTTATAATTAGTAAATCTATTGAAGATGCAGTTTTCAACAATTCTGAAATTCTTTTTGTGGTATCACATGTGTGCTCACACAGTAAAATGATGTCTGAATGACACTTAAGACTCTCTGAAGTATCATATATTTTCAAATGACCTAGTTAAGATACTGATAATGACTGAAAAAGTAATCTCTCTAAGTTTTTAACTTGTTTTGTTGGTGTAAAGATAAAAGCAGTAAGTTTCACAATTTGCAATTTCCTATCAAGCTTTACATCACTGAAGTTTCAGAGTACTTAGCAAATGGGATATTTTATGTGACAGGAGGTTTCTGGCTAGATAACAATGCTAAGTAAGTATTAAAATGATATGCTGCATGGGGCAGGAACTGTGAATGCTTTTCTTTCATTACCCTTCCCCCTTCTGTCTCACAACTGCTTTGGTAATTCATTTGCTCCCTTTGCATTCTTTCCCTCCTTTATTTCCCATTTATGCAATTTCTTCAGTTTAGTTTTCTCATCTGTCAGCAGAGGAAAACATTTTATGTGTGTCCTGATAGTTATTTTAGCATTAAATGGAACAGTTTAAAGGGTCTGCTAGGGAAGAAACATCTATATTGCTTAAATTGATGTCTGTAATCATTTGACTTTCAAATAACATGACACAAAATGCAAATGGAGAAAGAAGAGAGTTGCCAACTATTACTGTGTAGCATAGCAAATCTAGTAAATATAATCTATTATTAATCATGGTTATTGATTAGGATGAATCCCCTCCCTCCCTGAAATTCTCAAATAATGCATAATTCAGCAGTCTTTGTAAACTAACAAATTAGCTTTTGTGGCACACAATAGCTGTGTACATCATCTTAAATATGAAATCATACCAACTGATTTAAACCATTAATTAAGATTACATTTTCATAATGTTTTAAGCACAAAATGTAACATGTCTCTAATCCTATGATATAGGTACCAGACCAGGCATCGCTGCATAGCTTTTCTGCAAATATTCACACAGTACAGCAGATTTTAGAGGAGGCTGCACGTTTACTGAAACTTCTGTGGAGAGTTTCCCTTCCACTGAAAGCAGTACACAGTACTGCTCATGGCACTCAGGTACTATTATGGTTTCTTGGTTTTGTATTTTTAACTGTTGTAATGTGTCAAGGAAGATGCGCCAGTTAGGAACGTGTGATTTGGGAAAATCTTTTGAAAATCATGAACCCAGGATGCCCATTCTCTGGACACATGGATTCAGTTAGCTCTCATCGCTGAAGGCTAAGGCTGAACGTGTGCTGGCTTTCTCTCCTGATCAGATCGTATACGGGGGTGTTCATTTACAAAATACTTTATATTAAAGATGTACTCTGAAACCCTGTTACATGATATTCAGGAAACCTAGACAGGTGGCAAACATTCCATTTCAACAAGAAAAGGTTTGGACTCACTGTTATAGAACCAAATTCAATTTGATTTTGTATCTACTAGTAACAACAAGAACTTCAGCAACTTTGATGTGATCTGAGCCACATTTTCCTTTTACGTTTTTGATGCCTAAGCTGTAAAATAAGATGATTTTTTTAAAGTGTGACAAAACCCTGAGACAAGTTTTATAACATTTTAACTAAAAAAGGATTGCACTATGCAAATGAATGGAAGTAAACTGAATGAAGAATGAATTATCTATACTGTCATAATATCACTACTCAGTAATGAAACTGTTTCAAACTCTGACTTTAAAATAAATCTAAAGTGTTTTCAGTGAGGTTTTTGTATGTATTTCTTAAGGGAGGCGGGATATTGCTGGGAAAAAAAAAAAGAACTTTAGGAAAGTAAATATTTTATATATCATTTTAATAACATTTTTGTTATTTTCTAGCACCCTTAAATGTGTAAAATGACAAAAGCAGTAAGAATGAACTGTGCTGTCCAATATACTTCACTGATGTTGTGGCTCCCTCTTTGGGATGGCTTGGCAAGCTTGTATAGTTCCATTTTTATCTGTATGTGTATATTCTATATAGACAGCTATATGTTAGCCTGGATTGCAGTATCAGAACACACCATATACACACACACGGGTCTTTCAGTCTGTGTGTGATGCATCTACTACTTTACTGTCATACTGAGCTAAACCTTGATCTGGATCAGTCACTTCTCAAGATCTGACCTCAGTGTGTGACAGATTTCCCAGGACTACACCTAATCAGAGTCTAATAGAATGTTTTCCAGAATTTTTTATCCAACATCCTGAGATCTTAAGGACGTTAGGTTGCTTCTGATGTCTTAATTGCAGTATATGAAAGAGTATCTCTTGAAGCTTGATTCTAAAAGATACTGAGCATTCACTGCCTTCTCTTCAGCCCCACAGGAGTTGTGAGTAATCAGTTCTGCTGAAAAGCTAAATGCTAGGGAAGAATTCCAGAAGATGCTATTATTTAACAAGTAGTACAACAAGAAAAATGTACAAGCTTAAGTTTGTATGAGGATCCAGATCAGTGATACTGGCAGACTGTGTCGGGGCTACTCAAAGACCTTTTTTAAAAGATACTAACCATAACTTAGTTGGAATTGGTGGTGAAAACTGAACCTTAAATAAGCGTACTGTCAAATAATTTTGCAAAAAAACTATCCAGGTCATTTGTACAATGCCTTTTTGCCCTTTGACAGAGGCAGCATCAGCTATTACCAGAACACTGGAGAAGGAAGCTGGAAGTTCTGAACCTGGAAGACAGGATACTTGCTGATCCCATAGCACTAGCCTGCCTTGTATTTTCTAATGGGGGGGAAGAAAGAAGAGAGGAATGGAAGCTTAAAAACAAAAATAGGCATTGGTGTTACGACTTTTCTCAGAAAAATTAATAGCACTAAAAGCCAGCTAAGAATTGTAGTTGCCTCTTGGTGGATGTCACAGAATCATATGTCATTGGGGATGTGAATGTGGAAGGACAGGCACTCAGCAATGTTTCATTCCTTTAAGTTGTTCATAGTCTAAGGAAGCTTGAGGGCTTTTGAACAAAAGTATTTATCAATTCATGATGTGCAAATAATACCTTAATATAATATTTTCTTCTCTTACTTTAGGATGAAGGAATGAAGGCAGAAATATTTAGATTACGTAAGAAACTGTCTGAGCAAGAGAAGAAGTTACATAGCACAGTGAAACGCTTGCACTCCACAAACCAGCTGAAGGAAAACATGGAGAAGGTCATCATTGACCAGTGTAAGTGGATGCTTTATTACGGATTCTGAATTTATTTTTATAGTCTGTGGCTATCACTACAAATGGAGAAACAACAAAATGAACATAGGCACCTGTTCGTTTGCAGTTGCTCTGACTGCTGTTTCCTAGTGCACTCTCAGTTGTTAGTGACAATTCAGGAGGTTCAGACTGTGCAGAACTGATGGAGCCTCATTCAAATGGAAAGTAGTTCCCCAACTACAAAAGGCTGCATAGAATATCATGAGAAGCAGTTCATGGTTTTACACAACCCACTGATAATGTGTCAATCCATGCAGCTGCCAGTAATTGCCACTAATTACTCGAGTTACTTCATTTCAGATACTGCTGCCCCCCAAGTTTTCTATCCTACAACAGTTCCTGACAAAGGCAAAGTTGCTGTAGACCATTCCAGACAAAGTTTTTGACACTGTCCTTCTCAAAATTGTGATTTTTGCTTCAGTCTTGATAAATGTGGAATTAGGTTTTTAGGTTTTCTGAGGTGCCTGTCTGTTGAGTGTATTGCACTAGTTAGCTGAATACTGGGAAGAGCCAAAACTACAGCAGAGATTTATCAACTCTACACCAGACTGAGAAGTGCAAGAGATCAGAAGGCTCAGAACAAGGAAGAAACAACAGCTTACTACGAGTCATTTTGTAAAGAAAAATTAGGACATGCTGTGAGAAAATATTTTGCCCTTAGCAGTCATATCTAGAAAATTATCTGGAAACATGAAAACAAGTGGGACTTGCTCTATATTGTAGCTGTGTTAAACCACGTGTCTGCTTGAAGAGATCCATCTCTTCTGCTTTAATCACTCACCAGAAGAGATTTGAATGGAGCTAACCTCTTCTCTACCTTCATGCTATGGCAATAAGTGTATTGTGGGAGGAGGATTTAATTTTCTTAAATATCTATCTTTACCTTCTCTTGAGAGGTGGGACTAAATGACTCATTAGTCTATGCTGGAATGGCACTTGTGTTATCAGTAGTTCATCTAGACTTTAAAATATTACATGACATACAAAGTTATGAAAATGGCCATTACTCAAGTAATTTAAATGCAATGTAGAGGAATAAATGGTTTTTTGCTCCATAGCCTGTGATTTTTATATCTATGGTACATGTATCTTCTGCCTGCAGATTTTTTTTTTTTTTTTTTTTTAAAGCATTCATGGGCAGGGTTTTGGTCACTTCTTTCAGAATTGCCGTATTGAATGATGTACAAATTACTTATAATAAATCTGAAATTATGTTATTCTGTTTTTAAAGTTAAATAGCTCAGTTTGAGGCTGTCATATAAAAATCAAAGCTATTCTATGATGTCTGTCCAAATAATATCCCCGGGGTTGATTTACTGGTTTAGTTTGGTCAGTTCCTAGTCCCAGTGGCATCTCAGGCATAGGGATAATTTCAGCAGGGCTGGGCAACAGAGATTTACCCTTATGGACACAATGTTTTCCCCGCAGCCACTCCACCCAGCCAAACTTTCAAAAAGAAAACAGTGCCTCTCCCCCATATTTTGCTCACTACTTTTCAGGACATTCAACCTCCTCTGAACTAAGTCCGAATAAAATGAAGCCTGTATTTTGTGAAATCTCCTTAATGCAAAGTGCTGCCTGGCTAGCAGCAGCTTCACTGTTAGTGTCAGATTCTCTAAATTCCCTTCATGTACTGAATTTAATATTTTTGATTTAGAAAAATCTAGTTTGCCAGGTGAAATGAATTTACTAGCAGAGTTCTTTATGAGCAGAGAGCACTCTGCTGCACAAAAAGACCTAGATAGATAGGATTTTCTGTAAGTTCCATTGATTATGGGAATTATGGATGTCAAGTTACCTTTGCCTTAAAGAGCAATTTCAGAAATGTTTCTAAATTGCATCTGTACACAAATTCCTGACCAAGCATACAACAAAACTGGTGGATCATATGAAGCTGCTGGATTTTGTTAGGATGCTTACACTTGTTTTTGATATTTCTTCCTTTCTCCTTTTGCTAGTAAGGAAGCAAGGTGTTGCAGTAGGTGACCTTGCCTGTCATCATTCCCCAAACGTCCTGCTAACTGGCCCCTCCACTGAGGATATTCAGGTTCCCTGTCATTTAGTTGAGCATTCGTAAATGTATTTAGAGGCAGAGACTGGAACATTCTTGCGGCTCAGAATCTTCTGTGTGCTTTCTCTGGTGAGAGAACTCATTGCTTATAAACCTCATCTGAACCTCTGAACATGTAACAATGCAGTGCCAAATTGCAGTATGCTGCCAAGGGTATAATTATCTCATGACAGCTATACCCTTGGAGTTGTTGGGTTCTTATTATTGTAATGAAAAATCTTTATTATGGCTAAATTGTTTATTTTTGAGACTGGAATATTAAATTGGTACTTGTGAATGGTATTTTTCAGCAGTTATGGAGCTGACACAGACTAGAGAATCACATATTTAACCTGACATTTCTAAATATCAGTTTTGTTTAGAAGCATCCCCTCCTCCATTCACAGGTCTTGCGCTGTCCCCATAGAGGCAAGCTAGCTGGATGAACAGAGAAAACTTGGAACCCTTCAGAGCAAGCCACTGATGTGATTTCCCTTAAGCATATATAGGTTGCTTTGTCCTTGAACTACTGGAGAATCTGGCTGACTTCTTTTGCCATCTGGCCTCTTCCCAGCCCATCATCCCCAGAACCTCTCCATTGCAGTCTTTCTCCTTCTCCTAAATGCTCCCCCCGCCCAAGTAGGTTCTCTAATAGATCACATTGTAGTTAGATCATGCATCATCTCCCCTTAAAATTAACACGAATTCTTCCTTCAATGACATAGATCAAGGAAACCAGGTCATCAGTGTTGCAGGGGGCTGTTCTTATCAGTGATGTTAAATGTAGTGATGCGCTATATGTATTTTCCCATGTATTGTTCTCGGTGCGGTAGAAAAACTTGAAAACCACTTCCCTGATGTTTAGATTTGAAAAGCAGATTATGTGCTCGATGGAACATGGGCCGGGGGGTAGGAAACAGCATCCCAGTGGTGGCACCACTTCGGAGCTGCCCTGTGTCCTGAGCAGCGACTCCTGCTCTTCCCTGACTGTCTGCTTGTCCAGCGCTGCCCCTTAATCTTGGGTTGTTGCAACTGGAGCTTTGTACCTCGGCCTGAGCTTCTGGGCAGGGCTCTGGTGGAAAGAACAGTCCTGGATTTTGGTGAGAGAAGGTTGAAGTGGTGGTAGGGGGCTGTGTGTGATTGCCTGGGCACTGCCCATGTGTGGCTACAAGTTCATACATTATTTAATACTTGGTCATGAGACTTGAAAACGGGATAGGGAAAGGCTGTGCAGTATTGGTTTTAATCTCCTCTTTCTTTCCAGTGGTTTTAACTCATGATGTCTTGAAGAAGGCTAGAGGAAACCTGGAAGTAAGTAAATTTCTGCTTGCATTTAATACCTTTGGTATATAGTCATTAGAAATATGCATTGCTGTGTCAGTAGTATTTTGCAGAATTAGTCCGATTTGCTTTCTGTTTGCTGCCTAATCAAGTCTGGGCGACAGCAGTTTAGTATGATAAATATTCTGCAATATTTGATGTTTGAATTAGAGTTTTACGGCTGACCACGTAAACAGCTAAACCCTCTCCTTTCTGATGCTTTCCCTAGATTAATATTCATGTCCGTCATCTTCTTCCAGTAGCTTATTTTCAGCAGATCACAGTCCAATAACCTGGCTCCCGCTGAATACAGCTTATGTATGTGTTAATAACTGGTGGTGGGTTTTTTTTAAATATATACCCAACAGGCAAAGCTTTTGCAAACAGCTACTTGCTAATGCAGCGTATTGAATTAGTTTGAGTGTTTAAGTAATCACTGTTCAGATTTGATTTCTCCCAGAAGATTCAGACTTCACTCCCGGAAGGATGTCATATACTCCTTGACTCCTAACTCCCACCCTTCTCCTCACACCACTCTACTCTGGATGATTGTACCTTTCCCAGCCTCTCAAATTTTCCTCCAGCCTTTTGCGTGGATCTCTCCTCCCTTATCCCGACCAGCAGTGCTGCCTCGAGCACTTCCCCCTGCGGCTGCTGTGCTGTTCTCTCAGCCCTACCTAAGTTAGAAAGTGATGACATGAAGTCGTGCTGCTTACAGAAGTCTTAATCACTTTAATTTGAAGATCTGCTGAACACAGAAGCTCTTAGATGCAGATCCTTTTGCAGCGTCATGGCTCAGGGATAGGGAGCAATTGTGTGCATTTGAAGCACTGTAAAATAGTAATAATTATGCTTTTCTAACCAGGTCCCACCAGCTGAGAATCAAAAATCACCTTCCTATACCAGCAAAAAAAGGATTCTCTGAAGGAGAAAGTTCTACTGCTAAAGACCGGTCCTGTGATTGTTTCTTTATGCCTTACTATTTATTGATGTAAAAATGTTTGTTCAGCTCTTTTAATGGCATCAGCCCTTGACCAAAAAAAAAAAAAAAAAGGACAAAAAAGACATCTTTTGGTAAATAACTTATTTAACGTTTTCTGTAATGTAAAAGATGGTTTTTAATATTTATTACAGAAGCAAGGTACGGGAGGTATTGAAGAAAAATCCAGATTTTTTTAAAGTTGGCTCATTTGAAATTTTATATTTGTACTTGTCATGTTATAAAACTATTTGTTGCTATAGTCAAACAGGTCCTGAAAGAATGAAGAATGTCATCCACCTTCCAAACTGTTTCTCTACTGGTAAAAGAAGGTTTAAAAAAAAAAAAGCTCTGCCTGTTGTCACTGTTTTGTAGCAATGTGAAAAATGTTCAATATTTTAAACATATCTGGAAGACTCTTCTGGAAGCTGCCTGATGCTGAGCGTTCTTACTGCCCTATTAGTAACTTAGATTGATGCTAGGTCTGAAAATGTTACTTAGAATCAGACAATTAAAATGAAAAATAATCACAAACATGTTTGTGTTATTTTGCTTTCAACATCAGACTTTGAGCACTAAAGTGGCTTCTTTGTTCAGTGTGTTTTCTGAGTTCAACTAAAGCGAACCCAGCCCTCTGCGCAGCGGTTGTAAGGTAGGGCAGGAGCTTCTCCTGGCTCAGGGTTGGGAACTTGCTTTGGAGAAGCCACCCTTGAAAGCCATCGTGCTGCTGGCAGAACCTCAGTGTCATCCCAGCTGTCCCAGCTCCGTGCAGGGAGGGCAGGGCCACAGGAGGGTCACAGCCGAACGGATTTGAAATCCATTTTTCTGCCAGAAATTCTGAAAAATGTTTCTTAAATTAAAAACCCACAGTAAGATTTGTGTAATCTCTCACACTGATACATATAATATTTGTGCTCCCCTCATCCTGCAGTTCTGCCCTTGCTTTGAGCTGCCCAAGCACGCGGTTTCACAGCAGCGCTGGCTGCCTGCAACCTGCTCTTGGGGGAGTGGGAAGATAGTTTAGTTTAACTCTAACAAGACCATAACTTAAAGTGATATTTGGTTACAAAAGTAGACTTTATGGTACAATCATGGCTTTATTGAACTAAATGAATTTCACACAGAGCGTGGGGTTTGTTCCCCCCCCCCCCCCCCCCCAAGTTGATGATGTGTCCCCATTACACAAGATAACTCACTTTCATCATCCAGGAAGGTTAGCACCAGGGCTGGGAAATCTCCACGCCAGATCATGGTTTTATATTGGGTCCTTGGATATTGCACTCTAGAGAATAAGCACGTGGGATGTAGGCTTTCACAAAAAATGAGTTTGTGCTCACTGAAAGATGGCAGTGGAGAGCTGGCCAGCTGCGACCCCGCTGGAGGGGGCCGGGGCTGGTGCGGCTGCTCGGGTAGTACAAGCACAGCACAGCCTGGGACAAGTAATAGCTCCCCTCCTTCCACTGAAGCTTGGGTTCACTCAAATGAGTCTGGTGATATTCAGCTGACTCCGAATACCACAAAGATGCTCTAAATCACTTCGCTTTTAAGTTGGGGCTTGATGTTAACTGGTGGGAGCTGCTGCCTCAGCCCTGGCGTATTCCGTATGCCCACACAGCCCAAGAAAAACGTGAGTTTTTAATAAAGAAAACCAACATAAAGCCATACCCTGCCAGGGTGCCTCTTTGGTCCCTGCTATAACCTGCTTTTTGCAGGTTCAGGACACTGGGCCTTCCTTGAAATATGAAACTGGAGTTAATGGGAGGGCGCAGAGCCTCCCCCCGGGCCGTGCTGCAGCCCCAGGTACCGTGAGCGCTCTTCCCTCTAGTCCAGCCAGGGAAAGGAAAGTCCAGGAACAAAACGCCGTTGTCTTTAGCTGACAGCAGGGGGAAGCAAACACATGTGTCTGGATTAGAGGAAAGATGCCAAAAAAATTGGAAAAGTTAAAAATAAACTTTGCAAATTGAAAAAGGGGGAGGTAAGGGAAGCACATGCAGTCAAACTTGTTCTTCAGTCTCTTCACACATTATTGTCCTCACAGCTCACTAAAAACGTCAAGTTAATTTTACTAAGTAGCTAAATTATAGATACTCAGATGTAATCAGAATCTGCTATACATTTCAACTTTCAAAATTAATCATCTTACGTTTTTGAGTTACAACACCTGAAGGAAACAGCTGTACATCTATATATAGTACACCCATGTCTCTTGGTCTTCTTGCAGCTTTTTTTTTTCCCCCCACACCATCTGTACTTAAAAATAAATAAATAAATAAATAAATAAATAAAAGGTTTCCCTTTCCTGAGATGATTTGCCAGTTACTTCTTAATGGTCCCCACCCTGCCCCCTCAGAGCCCTTCTCCTGACCCCTTTTTCCTTCCCTCGGCTCTGGTCGCTGCATCCAGTTCACAGCAGAGCGTGTGCTGGGCAGGTCAAGGGGACAGACTCACTGCTGGGATTTGGTTAACTGGGGGGAACAAAACGTGTATCATTACCTCTTTAAAAACAGATGATCCTACGAGATCAAAGTATTTCATCTTAATGAGAAGCGCCTCTTAAACACACACAATTTACTGGGCCGGTTTAAAAATAATTACAAAAAGGAAAAAGAGCTTACCAGATGGAGGGCTGCAGAAGACAAAGCTTATGGAGTGTTAAACTTTGTTCCCATTAAACAAAATTAAATTTTCCTTTAAAAATAATTATGTTGGAGAAAAATAAGCAGCGTAAGCAAATGGAATTAAAGGAGGGCCTCGTTTGCCTAGTGAGTCCTGTCCGTACTCTCATTATATGTGCAAGGTGATTTGAAACATTACTGAGAGCCTAGTTCACAAACGAGCATTCGAGCAGGTACGGGGAGACCTGCGCGTCTGGTGTCTTTACTTGTGACCTTGAACCTCTGCTCCGCTCCCAGGCTCGCAGGCTGTGGTCTTTATAGGATGCTGAAGGCCAGTTGAGATTAAGGAAAAAAAAAAAAAAAAAAAAAAAGCCTTTTTCCTTCTCTTTAGTCACCCTACGACATGTGCAGCTACATAGGAGCACCGAATAAAGGAAATATTTTGTGTCATTGGGGCAGAGCACGAGTGATACACACACGGAGCTGGGGCTGCCGGCCAGCCCCGAGCCGTCCCCACGGCAGCACGGCTGGGAGCCTGCGCTCGCAGCTTAAGAGCAGCGTTGTAATTACCTCTGCCAAGGAGAACAGATAGAAATAATATTCCAAAATCACAGGTGGTTGGCTGTATTAAAAATAAATCAATGCTAATGCATTCAAGCGTTTAAAAACAAAAGCGCAGCAGCTCTGTGTGGTATTTTAATCTCGACAAAAGCTGCCAGTTTCATTTTTGCGAGGCAGCCGGTGAAGCTTTGCCGGATGCCGTCTGCCAGGGCGGAGGGTCCTCGGGGGGCTCTGGGAGGGGACACGGGTGGGTTTTTGGGGGGACAGGGCGGGTTAGCATGGGGACAGGGCAGAGCACTCGCCACCGGCTGTGTCCTGAAAAAATGAGCAGAGGGCAACCCGCCCGCCTTACGTCTTGGGTTTATTTTAAACCCTCCTGAACGAGACAGAAAGCAAATCCTGTCATCGCTTCCGAACTCAACAGAAATGACAATATGGAAAGAAAAATATAAAAAGACAGCAACACAGAAAGCAACAACACTTTTCGGAGTTCTATTGACACCAAAATCCCGATTTACAAGCAGCCAAATCCCGAGCCCCAGTCACCCACGGACACAAACTGCGTGAAGCCGTGGGTGCCAGAGCTTTTCCACCCGGGCAGGTGTGGGCTGTGGGTTAAAGCCACCGCCCAACTTTGCTAGGAGCAAGCTCAAACCACTCCAGTACCAGCGCGCCCGTACTGCGACTCGTATGAAAGCTCTCCAATGCCCAGCAGCCCCTTTCCGTGCGGGTACACGGCGATTTGCACCCCTGGGCGAGGGTCCTGCTGCTGGCGGGGGGTGTCCAGCCTCCGGCCCTTGCAGACACACACGCTCCGGCCGGGCCTGAGCAGCTCCAGCACTAACCCCCTCCTACCAGCACCGCGCCCTGCAGAGCCTGGCAACGCTTTCATGTCTGTAACAGCTTGGAAAAATGCTGCTTGAATAGCACAGATACCCCCTCCATACATTTCTCCCCCCCGTTCCTGACCTCATCCCCCTCCACCTTGGCCCCGCGCTGGGGACAGGCACTGCGTGGCCAGAGCAGGCTGTGCTGGCAGAGCTGCGGGGCCGTGGCCCTGGGAGCCGCTGGGGCCGAAGCTCCGCGGCGCCCAGCACGTACCTGCGGCTGCAAATCCTCCAGCACGAAGCTGCTGCTGCGCTGGCCTTGTGCTCCTGCCCACCTCGCACAGCTCCGGCTCGCAGGAAGCCCAAGGAAACTCACCCGCTCAGGCCTGGGCTCACTACTGTGAATGGCATTAAAAAGATGAGATTTGGAGCCAGGGCTTACTGACTGTTCAGTACTCAAATGAGAAACAACGCAAACCTGAACAGTCTTAAAACGTGCCCTGTGTTGAATCATAATGACCCACTGGCATGATCATCACAGTGCAATTATCAGCTTGCTGAAGTTTTGATGCTGCCCTTTGCCTGCGGTACCGTTCCCCCCGAGGCAAAGCCCCCCGCCCCGAGCCCCTTTCAACAGGGTTTGGCTTCCAGAGGGGAACGTGCTCCCGGGTGCCCCATCCTCGGCCGGGTGCTGCAGGCAGCCCCGCGCCAAACCGCTGGGCTCTGCTTGCAACGGCAGCCCCGCCGGGTCAATGGGCCAACCCCTTCACCCGCCAGCGTGGAGCAAACCAAACCCCCTCTGCTCCTAAAATGCCATTTTTCTCCACCACGAGCTTTGACACCGAGCCCACAGCTCAGCATCCAGGTTTCCCACTACGCACCGACCACAGCACAGCGCTCTGAGGGAAGTGCCCTCGGAGGAGGGCAGTGAGCCGCTGCCTCTCCTGCCATCCTGCAGTGAGTAATTCAGATTTAGCAGGGGGAGAAGCACGCACGCACAGGGAAGGAGCTTGGTCACTGATTTATGCCTTTTTGCAGCAGAAAAGGCTGTAGCGTGTTCGCAGAAAACACCCCGTGCAGAGAGGAGAGACTGCATCCTCCAGCACCTCCAGGCTGCAGAGCAGCAACCGGCAACAGTGCGGGAAGCCAAGGCTGCTCCTGGGCTGGTGACACCAATGAAAAAAAGAAAGATTTCAAGTCACTTTAGTGGCCCATTCCCACCTTTCTCTCCCCTTCCTCACCATCCTCCCACACATGAAATCTATATTTTGCACAGCTCGCTCCTGTCTCCAGAGAAGCCACACAAAATCTAGCTTCAAGCATCAGCACAGAGTTGCAACATGCCTTTGCAAACTAGCAAATTAAAAGCCATAAATAAACCAACAAGTCACCCCTTTTCCTATCTATCTACCCAGGAACTCACTCTTCTAGTAAGGTCCCAGCAACACAAAATCAAGCCCTCAGACCCCTTCCACAGGCAGCTCTGGGCTCCCCTCATCCATCCAGGGGCTACAAGACCTGCTGCTGCCCC